AACCGGCTACAGTGACCACTAGGTCTTACAATACAGGTATGGAGACATGCTTCTTCAGGCCCGGTCTCTTGGCAGAGACATGCTGCTTTGCCTCGGGATGAAACACTCGTCATCCCCAAATGACCCTTCCTGGGTCCCAGGTGGCAAAAGCACTCTCCCCAACCGGCTACAGGTGACCTTAAACAGGTCTTCAGGTACGGAGACATGCTCCTTCCGATCCGGTCCTTTGGTGGAGACATGCTGTTTGTCTCAGGCTGATATACCCATCAGACCCAAATGACCCTTCCTGGGTCCCGGGTGGCAAAGGCATTCTCCCCAACCGGCTACAGTGACCTTCAATAGGTCTTACAATACACAGGGTTTCTGATCAGAAATAGAACCACATGTGAGAAATTTGTTTTCCCCATGAAACTAGAAAACAAGTAGTTGAGGTTTCCTTTATTCCAGGTTCAAAACTTTCATATCCTTTATACTTATTCCTACTCATCTAGATTTAACCATCACTCTCTTTTAATCTTGGTCCCTTTCCCACACTGGGAAGGACTATACTTCAACTCAGTAGTTAAACTCAGTATGTGGCAGCCAAAAGTCCCTAGCACTACAGATAGGTACCCTCCACTAAAAGTCCCTAGATTTGCAGGGACATTTTGCACCTTTCTGAAACTTAGACCTTGCAAATACCTTATAAATCAGATGGTCACTCTTGGACCTCAGTTCATGACCTTCAAAACCAGAGTCATTACTATCAGAACCAGTTACACAGAGAACCTGACTGCTGCAGTACCCACACAGCAGCAGCATACAGACCATAAATCAGAAGAGAAGCCTTATCCAGGTCCAAGATGGCGGCGCCCATGCACGTGGGGTCATCCAACATGGCGGCACCCAAGCATGCAGGGTCATCCAAGATGGCGATGCCCATGCATGCTCTGTCCTCCATGGTGGGGCACTCACGTGGCTCATCCATTTTACCCAAAATGGTAGCACCCCGACTCTGTTTCCACCCACCTGGGAAGGTTCCAAGACTCCGGTTTCAGGAGCCCCGGAAGCCCCCAAGGCCCCTTCCACCAGTGGGCAAGGGGGCACCACAAAGCTGCCCTCTGCCCAGCGGGGGTGGTGCACTGAGGCTGCAGTCACCAATGCAGGTGGAGAGCAGTCTCCACCCACCTGTGAAGGTGGGGGCTCTGTAGCTCTGATTTCGGGAGCCAAAGTGGCTCCTGGCAACCCCTGCTGCAGTGGGTGAGCAGAGCCCATTTGCAGAGGCTGCGAATCCATGGTGGAGACTTCTCCCACCTGCAGGGCAGGAGAAGCCATAGTGGGCCTCACCTCCCCAGAAAGCAGTGTCACCATGGGAGACACTGCTGTCTGGGGTCCCTCATTCCCTGGGTTCAGAGCATTAATGAGGTTTCTTTCCTCATCATCTCTCTCCTCCTGTGATCTACTATCAGGGAGGGGTTCTAAGACCCCTTTCTCCTTCTGGACCATTACACACTTCTCTGTAGAACTACTCATATAGTTCCAACAAGGAAAACAAAGGCTCAGAGTAAAAAGAATACAGAGGGCGCAAAGACCAGGTATTTCCCTTGCTATCGCCGACCATTCCAGCTCCATTATTGCCAAAGAGCAGTCAGAAACCAAGTTTTCAACCCAAAACACTTTCACGTCTCTGCTCCCTTCCCTCTTTGTTTCCTTTTCACCTTTCCAGGCGTGATTAGGCGGCCGATGCCCTCAAGAGCGCAGAGAAATGCTCAGAGACTGGGAAAATTCCAGAGCCTCACTCTCTCGCACCTGAGGGGGTCGGTCTGCCACGGACAATTATCGTCCCATCTGGGTCGCCAAAAACTGTTACCGAACAAGAGGAGGAGGTGGTCCGAGGGAGGGGCAATACAATATTCGGCCCACCTAGGGATGCCCAAAACTGCTGTACAACAGGGGCCCCTCCCAAAAACCAAAATACTGAAATCTACTGGGCCCTTCTGTCCGCCGCCAATTGGAAACACATCTCTTAATGCCAGAGATTTGTGAAAAGGAAACAAAATGTTTATTTAATGCTATTTAGGCCTAATGCCACCACTAAAATATCAAAGTCCTTTAGGTTATACACCTACACCCACACAGCGCTCCCTTCCCTCTGTCCCAACTCCGGGTACCGTAAATCAGGAAAAGAGCACACGTCTGTGTTGCAGGCCGCTGGCACCATCAGCTGTGTCACTGTGCAGGCAGGATCTCGAGTTAATCCAAAGTACTGTGGTACCCTCTCATAGTCCACTGGCAAGAGTCCTTTGTACCCAGTTCCAGTCAAAGTCTCTCTTGCTTTTCAGGCTACGAGGCCAAAGGGGGCACCCCAAAGCCGCGTGGGCCTCTTCTACCAAAGCTGCAGGAGTCCACACTCCACCAAAAGCATGTGGCTGTCTTCTTCACCTGGCTGCAGGGATCTCCATTCTGGCCAAGCTGCGTGGTTTTTCCCTTTCACCTGGGAAAGAGGGGGTCCACACCCTGCCAAAACCGTGTGGCTCTCCCTTTCACCCCACCAACAGGGGGTCCTTACTCTGCTGAAACCGCGTGGCTCTCCCTCATCTGGCCAAGCGGGGACCCTTCATGTCTCGGAGCCAGTCTTTTCCAAGCTCCCACACAGGCCTTCTCACTCCGGAGCCCAGACCTTAGTTCCCATCCTGAGTCCCCCAAGTTCCATCCTCAGTCCCTGCTACAAACTTCTCCTTCAGGAGTGCAGACTTTAGTTACATCCTCCTGAGTTCCATCTTACTCCCCTTCTCCCTTCTCAGGAGCGCCGACCCTAGTTACATTCTGAGTCTCTGCCACCACCTTCTCTCTGGCCCCAAACTTGGCCACTGCTATTTAACATATCTATGAAACCAGTTAAAGGTTATAGATATGTTAAATAACCATTCCTCCGGAGGTTAGCTCCAAAACTATTGCTATGCAAAATAGCTCTCAATGGCCTGGCTCCATTCATCCCTTCCCCCTGGGGGGGGGGGGTGTGGTGAGGACATCTTAATATGTCTCTCCAATATTTCTATACACTTTGAATTCTGGACACTTTTCTAAATCTTTTTGGGGGGCCCCTCTGTCTGCACCCTGTATCAGCTAGAGGATGGTAACAGAAAGGTTCAGGGATGAGTCTTTATAACTAGAAAGATCAGAGGGCTGATGATGAAGGCTAAGAAATAAGTCCCTTCTGCAGTAAAAGAGTCAGGAAGTGCAAAACACAACTGTGGAATCCAGGACATCAAACAAAATATTCTGAACAAGCTCTTACTCCACAACAAACATCCAACCCTGCACAGCACTGTCTGCTGCAGCCACGATGCCTACAACAACCTGAGTCTTTGCTTAGTGACAGTCTTTCTTCCTCTGCTCTTCTTGGCTCTCGCTGTATGAAGCGACTCTAAACAGACTGTGTAGTCCAGCTACAGATCTATTTGGAGACATGCATGGTGTCACTTGCCCCAAAATAATCTACAATGTTCTTTTGATTGATGGATGGATAGATACATACATAAATACATAGGTATATATCCATTTATCCATCAATAAACATTTATTCCCTCCTTCTATTATAAAAAAAATTGAAGCTGGGTGACTACCTGCCTAGTTAGACTACACCTCCCAGTCTACTTTGAAGTCAAAGTAACATGAATGGAAGTGACATTTATTTACCCTCGTCATCCCTTTAGTTAAAGTTGTTTTCATCTCTTTCCAGAACATCTAAAAACATCTCACTGAATTCTAAATAAAATCTCAAATCCTTAACATAGGTCCCCATCTCTATCTGTAGCCATAACCTTTGCCACTCTGCCCCTCACTACAACTTTTATTCATCATCCAAATACACTAAACACTTTCTTATATCAAGGTCTGAGCCACTATATTTATTTCGTAGGGATGCCATAACAAATGATCACAATCTGGGTGGCTTACACACCACAAATGTATTCTCAGTCCTGGAGACTGGAAGTCCAAAAGCAATGTATGGGCAGAGCCATGCTCTCCTGAAAGCTCTAGCCAAAGATCTTTCTGCCTCTTCCAGCTGCTAGTGGTTGATGGCATCCTCTGTTTCCTAGTTTATAGAGACATCACTCCAATCAAGTTAAATTTCCTTCGATAAGAACATTAGTTATTGAATTTAGGTTCGCCCCCAATACAGTATGATCTAATTTATTTTCACTTGATTACATTTATAATGCCCTACTTTCAAGTATGATCACATTCACAGGTAGTAGAGGTTCGGACTTGAACATACTGTTTTTTGAGGACACCGTTCAATCCATAACAGCCTCACTGACCCCAGCAGAACATGAGTGATAAGAACACGGACTCCGGAGCCCAGATTGTCTCAATTAGCCATGTGATCATAGGCAAGTCACATAACCTCTCTAGGCTTCAGTTTTTATATCCGTAAAATGACGATGGAAATAGCATCTCCATTTCAGAGATATTTTAAGAATTAAGTGAGCTGAGTACAGTTTCCAGAACATAGTTAAAAATTCACATTCCCTAGGCCTACTCAAAACTAAAGGAATGGCAAGGGCGGGAGGGGGGGTAGTAGCGAGGAATCTGTACTTTAAAAAAAGCCCACATCCAAGAGATCATTTTGCAAAGAACCTGTTGACGCAGGTGACTTTTATGCAGGAGGACCACACGCCAAGACTTGGTATTATGGAAACACAACAGCATTCACCTCTGCTGATTTCAGGACTGCTCAGCGTGACCAAGTCCCCTCAGAACAGAAGTCACCTCCCAGTCCACAGTCGCAGAACCGAACTGAGCACGCTCTCCCAAACGCGGGGCAGGGCTCCTTACACCTCGCTTCCTGCGGCGCAGGGGGCGGGGCTTTCCTTACAAAGCTGGTTCGGTTTCTACCAGCTTAGGTCTGGAACCCCGCCCCTGGCTCTCTGACCAATCACACGGTAGGTTGCTGAAGCTCGAGACCAATGCTCAGGGCCGTCCTTAATTCCTTTCTGCAGTTTGAAACTGTCAGGTTGCTGCTAAGGAAGCCCCAGTACTGGCTGTGGCTTTAGCGGTGACGCGGCCAGCATTAGCGGACGCTGAAGTCTGGGTTCGTAGAGAGCTGCGACGGTGGGTAGCTGCGCCCTCGGTCGATCCTGCACCCCTGGCAAAGGCAGTGGAGTGGGATTTAAAGTTCCTTGGCCCGGATTTTCGCTCCTGAGGCTCGTACAGGACGGGGCTGGGAGCATCTTGCCCCGGACGCGGGCCTTTCTGCTATTCTGCGGGGCGGCAAGGTCGAGAGCTTTTCCTCACCGAAGCGTGGAGAAGAGAGGGCAGGAAGGAGTGCCTGGAGTATAGCAGTTGTGTCGCCATAGGCTCTGGTCATTTAAAACGTAAGGGGAAGAATAACCATGTGTAACGCTTTATTGCTTTTAAGTAAGAATTTTATGAAAACGGGTGGGTAGGAAGGTCATCCAAGAGGACTACCCTCTTTGCTTACTCGCAGCTGCTTTGCCCCTCTGCTTCTAGTCCTTGGCGTGGGGAGCGGCTGTTGGGCTCTCTTTTCTTGCCTGCATAAATGGGCGCAGGGACGTCACTCTGCCGCCGGCTTGCACCTCAATTCACTCTACCTCTGCCTCTTAGGGGTTACTTTTGAGTTCCCAGAACCCTCTTTCCCCATCTTTCAGATCATTACCAAGATAAAATTTGATTTCTCTTGCAATAGAGAAGCACTCAGAACTTTTTATCTCCTGGTTTCTGATACATTGGGTTAGAGAATAATGAAAATTTAGTGATGATATACATCCGCCACCTAGTAAAGCAAGCTTCGTTTTCCTCCTTTGTTTCTGAGCCTAGAAGCACCAAGGAAAATGCTTGAGTTTCCTACAAAAAAAAAAAAATTGTAGAGTTTCAAATAAATTGTCTTACCTTGTTGGCATCAGATTAGGACAGCTGGAAGATTTAGAGCATATTTTCCAAAAGTATAATAGTTGTTTTGTGTCTGCAGTATCTATATTTAAAAACTCTTTTTAAGTCCAATCATACTTTTCAGTTCATTTGTTTTGTTTTGTTTTGTTTAAATAATCAGCCTCACCCCACTCCCACTCCTATATCTTAACTGGTCAGCAGACACATCCTAAAGGAAGAAATGAATGAAAACAAATGGACCAAGTTATCACAGTGGTGGATTTGAAGTCCCGAGAAGCAGCCATTTTTTGCTTAGATGTATGTGCTTATTTTATCCTCCCTAATTGGCTTAACTAAGGACAGTCCTGCTGAGATTTAGTTTACTTATTATGTGCATACTCAGTGATACTCATTGAATAAAGTTGAAGTAACCTTTCCACAATCTAGCCCCAACCCATGTTTCTTCTATACAGCACTTTCTCCTTCAATTTACTCCCCTCTCACTTATTTTTTAGCCCACTGTGACTGAGACCTGCTCTACTTTCCACTGAAATTGTTCAGGCAAATACCATAGTAACTTCCCAATTTCAGAATTCAAGAGACTCTCTCCAGGTCTCATCTTTCTTTGCCATGTGAGTCTGACTTCTCCCTTGAAGCTTTTGTGGTGCCATTCTTTTTGAAAGTTCTACCAATCTGCTTCCTTTTTAGTCTTCTTTGCTGGCTATTCTCTTGCCCCTTAAAATGTTAGTGGTTCTGGCTTTAACCTCTTCTCACTATGGTAGTGATCCTTAACTGTATTAGGGGTATGGTTCCCTCTAAACACATATTGGCAGCTAGGGATCCTCTTCCTAGAAAAATACATGTGTGCATTTATACTAAAAAATATTGCATGCAATTTGGGTATATGGGCTTCAGAGTAAGAAATCTTTCTTATACTCCTTTTCATAGGTAATCTTATCATCTTCTTTTTTCAGCATTTCCCATTGGCTGACAGTACCTCAAACTGTATCTCCAACTAAAGTTCCAGTGCAGGGCTCCCACATCGCTTAACTCCAAGAAGCACCATTCACATCACACCCATTGTTAGTGGCAGTCCGTGGAGTGGTACACAACATAATGGGCGTGGCCATATACTGCATACCTGCAGCTTCACCTCAGTGCCTTATAGGGACCTGGTACCCAAAACATCTGATATTGAACCCACTGTTCTTCCTCCCAACCTGTTCATCATCCTACATTTTTTTTGCCTTGGTGAATGGCACTATCATTCATCCAGTTACCCAAGCTAGACATCTGGAAGCCATCAACAATTCCCCCCTTTAACCCCTTAACCAATTACTGATCATGGTCTGTCATTCTCATTGCCATAACACAGCTGTCTCATAGTCAAACCCTCCATCCACCTCCCACTGCTGACTCCTACATTCAGGGCCTCATTTATCTCCTGGATTACTGCCAGAGGGAACACTTACTTCTTGGACTACTGCATTCAGCTCTCAATTGATCTCTTTTTTCAGGACCCCAACTCTCTAATTCATCTAATTCATCCTGAAAGTTGGCAGAGTGCTCTTCCTAAAAGACAAGCATGATCTGGTTATCACTTATTTAAAACACTTTAATACCTTCTCCAAAATAAAGACCAAACTTTTTAACATGACATAATCATGACTTTCCATAATCTGACTGTTCCTAACGTGTGCCTATTTCATCCTTAGCCTTGCTGTGCCTTGCTGTGCACCTTTTGCTTCAGCCTTATAAACTACTTAACGTTCCTAGCACACATGTCCACGCCTCTGTGTCTCTGCTTATGCTGCTCTACTGCCTGGCACCTCCTGATAGCTTCTGTCTTTCAGGTCTGAACACCAGGGTTCTCTTCTCTATGAAAATTTTCTGTGGGTCCATTTCTACTGCTTCACACACTCATGATCTCACCCCAGGAAAAGTGGCTCCTCCTCCCCTCTCCCTTGCCCCTCTGTTGTTTTAGGATCTGGCAGCACTTTTTTCATCAGTCGCTGGCCCTCTCTATAGACTGTAAAGTCCTTCAGGACTCTTCATCTTACTTCCTCACCGATGTCATACCTGTTACTAGTATCCCGGTAGTTTGAATACTCACAACTTGTCTTTTAAATAATTTATTTACTTGTTACTAAAAGTACTTTGTTGTTGTTGTTGTTGTTTGGCTAAGGCTTTCAATAATTTGTGTGTATTTTAGAATCTGTCATTTTGTACAGGCTTGCTTTTCTTAAAATAATACTCCTGAAAGATAAGTTTCCCAAGCAGGGAATTAGCACAGATAATTCATTCTCCTTGGTTCTGGATCTTCACAGAGTGCACAGCACTCAGGCTGTCACACGTTGTTGAACAGATCACAATCTGCTGTTCTCTGCGGCTCGACTGCAGATTCTTTGAGGAGCCTCCATTCTTCTTTAACCTTTTGTGTATTTGTCTCGTCGCCTTTGCTACCTTATACACTCGCTAATTCTGGGAATTGAGTCTTTAACTATTTTTCCTTACCCAATGATTTTTGTCTATAGTTGCTCAATATGTTGAATGATTTTAGCATGTCCAAATGATTGTTTATAGCTTAGGATGGATTCCACCTCTACGTAAAACATTTTATTTTAGTTTAAACATGGTGGGGGAGAAACTAAAGTTTCCTTGTGTTTCACAGTGTTGGTGCAGAATGTCATCAGATGAGGAGAGGTGCTCCCTTCCAGGGACGCAGAACGACTCCAACCGAGGCAGCTCAGTCTCTTCAGACCTCCAGGTAGGAAGACGGGCCTGAACGCGCCAGCGCCATGGCTTCTTTCCAGCAAGGAACAATGTGAGGAGAACCAGGAACACCTCTTCCACTCATTCGTGCCGTTCACATTTATCATTGTAATGTGTGTATAACGGATAAAGTGTATCAGAGTGTATCAAACTTTGAGAATTACGTTACAAACTTTGGGAAATATCTTACATTGTTTTAACCTTTCAGAAAATAATCATTTTCACTCTGTACAAAGGCTTTAAACACACACAGGGAGGCAAAGCTGGAAATGTCAAGAAACTTTTCTTTCATGAACGCTGCTTTCACTTTCATGCCAATTAATACAGTATCACACCACCCAGAGTTCTGGGGCCTGGACTCCTTAGAGTTCTCCTCTGGGTTCCAGGGCCCGTTGCCACAACAGTTACACATTCTGCTGCCCAGCATCTGGACAGTGACAGGTAAATTGACTACAGAAGGTATGGATTTTACATGAAATGTATTATTTCTAAAAGTTTTATCATCAAAAATATGGATTCGGATTTCTAGAATAGATTTAGAGAGAATACTGACATGGTATATGTTGAGTTTTATATTTATATCGCTTAAGAGGAAAAAAAGCTGGACATTATGTTAAGTAGAGTAAGTTCTTACTGACACTATACAATATGAGAAAAGCTTTAGAAAAATATAAAACAAATGTGTTCCTTTAATTGAAATTACAGATTTGAAAAATGGGGAGCTATTTTTTAAATATCTGTGATTATTTACCAGTAAAAACGTGTGAGTTGTGACATTTTGTCCTTGCCTTCCCTTTGGATGGTAGCTCTCCCACTTAGTGCCGTCTTTTAGGTGACACTGCTTTCCTGCTCCCTTCATCTCTGCTTTATGCGGACTTCATTCAAGAAGGAACTGATTAACTCATGTATACTTGTGATATTGTGATTTATAATAAGAAATATGTATTTGGTTTGATCTTCATCCTGATTGCTGGCACAGCGTTCCTAAAACCATTGGAATGTCTTAAGAGATGAGAATGATAAAGGTACCCTTTGTTATCAGGTGATTTTTGAACCCTCACCTCAAGGTGGGGCTGGATGCCAGAGGAACCAACCATGCAATTAGGCAGTTGGAACTTTCAGTCCTTCCCCCTAACCCCCAGCCTCCCAGGAAGAGAGAGGGTCTGGAAATTGAGTTCAGTCACCACTGGCCACGATTTAATCAATTATGGCTACGTAATGGAGCCTCCATGGAAACCCAAAAAAGAGAATTCGGGGAGCTTCTTGGTTGGTGAGCACATGGAGGTGCTAGGTGACTGTCATGCTAGGAGAGGGCATGGATGGTCCATGCCCCTTCCCCATACCTTGCCCTATGCCTCAGTTCTATCTGGCTGTTCCTGAGTTATATCCTTTTATAATATACTGGTAACCTAGTAAAATGTTTGAGTTCTGTGAGCCACTCTAGGAAATTAACTGACCCGAGGAAGGCGTCATTAGAACCAGTGATGCATAGCTGGTCTGTTCGAAGCACTAGGGATCGGAAGTTGCGGGTGGGGTAAGCAGTCTTGTGGGGCTGAGCCCTTGACCTGTGATCTGATGCTGTCTCTGGTGATAGTGTCAGAATTGAGTTGAATTGTATGACACCCAACTGATGTCCAAGAATTGCCTGTTGGTGGTGGCGAAAACCCATACATTGTGATTGTTGGGTCTAGACACTTTATTACTAAAATGTCAACACCCTACAGAAGATCTCAAGTTGTTGTTGTCAGGAGACAAAGCTTTACATCAAAAGAATAGACCTCTGGAGTAGAATTTAATAGAGGAACAAGGAAGGATGTTCTAGACGTGCCAGAAATCATTTTGTGTTATTGGTTATTGGTTAGAATGTCAGCCCAACTAAGATTCTGTTTCTTAGAAACCCTCAACGGTGACCCTACTGGTTCTTGACTACAGTTGAACGCCTACCCATGTTCCATTATTGAAAACATTTCCAAAGATAAATAACAAAAATGATGTTAAAATAGCTATACACTTTTACACATAGTAAATATGTACCACCTTTGTTCTTTTGTGTGAGGGTCCATTGTAGCAGTGCTATAAAACATTATTTATTATTGGTTTCTCACAGGAAGAGTATGAAGAACTGCTTCGTTATGCTATAGTGACGCCAAATATTGAATCGCGTGTTTCACAGCCATCTCATTCTAAGGGAGAAGTGGTGACAGATGTTAGATTTCCTACTATAATTGATGATATTCTTCATAATCAAGGTTATGTATATTTTTCAATATCTTTTAATTTAAGATGTTATTTGAGCTTATTAATGTTATTGACGTACAGAGAATGCCTCTCCAGTTATTCTTCTTAGTCGATGGTGTGTATCACTATTATCTGGGGAAACATTTTACATTTTAATATGTTATTTTGGCTCTTCTAGGACAGCTGGATTTTTATATGAGCTTCTTTTGATTATTACTCTTACGAAAAGTGATAAAGTTAAAGCAACATTGCATGTCTCCTAGTGCAGTATGTTGTGTCTCTGTACTTGCTCCAAGGGCAGTTTGCCATTGTCATCTTGGAAAATAAATGCCCAATCTCTCAAGTTAAAGATGGTCCGTAGGCAGCCCTCAGAACCCCTTAATGTTATGAACCATGTGCTAGGGCTTTGTCAGCAGTCTGTGTGTGGGCACGAAGGACTGTTTGGATTATCACCACAAATGGGAACCCATCTTGGGACTATGTCAGTGACAGAGTTGAGAGCTAGTACAATCCAGGATGTGTATTGACAGATGAGTAAAGGTAGAAAAAGGAGGGTGACACTCCTTTTACTTACGCGTTCCTTACTCAGTAAAGTACAGGATCCCAAGCAACTTGCTCTGAATAAGGGTACAGAAAGCCCACATAAATAGCCCTGATAATAGGCAGTTAAACAATAGGTATAACTCTAAGGTTCCGCCTTGAAGGCAGATGACACAGCTGTGTCAGCAGGCTCCTGGGTTTCTGGTAAGTCTCAGCCCTAGTGTCCGTGGTCCTTCTCTCTCTGTAGACGTGGAGTTTTCATTGCTTCTCAGTCTTTGGCCTACTGCATTGAATCAATAAATAGACCACAATTGTAAAGTAAATATATTTATTTACTCTACCACTGAAACATTCTAATACTGAATATTTTATACCCAAATTTTATTGATCTTGAAGTGATATAACCCTTAGATTTATTTATTAGTATCAGTGGTCCTGACAGTGTTTTGATTACAATGGCGCACCTCAAGATGGAGTTCATGCTGAGCAAACCCAAAGTTCTGTGTACTCTTACAAATGTGCACAGACAGCCGGGTTATCGTCCTCAACCTCTGTCCTGAAGGTGGTCACCGAAACCTTTGTTTCCCATTGGCTACAGTACTGCTGTACTGTTGTTCCCAGTGACGCGATGCGGAAGACCTTTCCTTGCTCAAACTGCAACCTTTCAAAGTACCATTTGGGATTTAAGACCCTGCTCTTTCTAGCATGTAAGATAGTATTTCTTTAAGTTTTGCCTTTGTCAGAAAGGACTTGGGACCTAAGCATACAACATTCAGTGAATTTAGATGATTGTGCTTCACACATAGACTTCGTTAGAATGGACTGTGTAACTTTACCACCCCATTCTCGTTACTTGTAGTACTGCCACTGTTTGGTGTAAGTGAGGTGTGTCAAAGTTGGCAAAGTCATTCCTATGAGGTTTTTCCTGGTTTCCTTTTCACCATATATTGACTAAATACATGGAAGTAATACTGAGATGGAAGTAAGGATATCCCTGTTTTGAGGGGAAGCGGTATCACTTCAGTTCGATTGCAGCTAATGAAAAGCAGCAGGCCCCTGGAAATATCACCCTTGTTAGGTAGCATAGTCTTTTCTAAGTTCTAATGTCATTCACCCACTGATTCTCTTAGTGTGAATTGAATGCCATAGTAGACTGAATTCTCTTTCACCATATTTGGTGGGTGAAATTGAGCTTATTAATGACATAATAACACTTCCTCTAGTTTGAGAGTCTTTTCTTTATCCTTGTTCTTTGTTTTAACCTTCCTATGACCCTAGCATGTTGTATATTTCTTGTTCTAAAATTTACTTATGTACCTTACCTTCTTAAATTAGGTGTCTGTGGTCAGGCATTTTATTCAAGAGTGCTTTGGTGTAAGGTTTTAAAACCACTTTTTCTTTTGAGTAGGAAATAGCCCTGCAGAGAGAGAAGCAAAGATGGAAGTTGGAAAAGGACGGGATGTAAATACTGTAAGTCATCCAAAGACAGAAGGTACGACTTTCCCTTAGCTCATTTGTTATTAATATCAATAGATAGTGGTATTAATAAATTTTATTAATATTTATTAAGTATCATATTTGATAAATGTCATTTATTAATATCATAGGTGAATATCATCTATGTAGTAAGAGAAATAATTTTAGCATATTATTGGCAAGATTTTAAAATGCTATTGTTGCTCATTTAGTGGGTAGTATTATTTAAAATAATTTCACAAGATTCAAAAGAATACAGTTAAGACAGGTCTATGTATTATAGTGTGTGACATCCTTTCTTAAATCTGCTAGATTAAGGGCAAATATTTGTAAAGGTTCGATGGGATGCCAGACAGTTTGGCCAGTTTAAATTTTGTCCTAAACCTGTGCATCAGTCCCCAAGTAAGTGCACTGACGTAGTGATTGTCATCCTGTCTTTACACCACCTATTCTATCAGTCACATGCTTTTCTTCAGATATGTTTATTTTTACCTTAACTTTATTTTAAAAGAAACATTCACATGTTACTATTGGTAACATAAAACAAATATACATTTGTCACAAATAGAAAGCAATGGTAAAAATAAGTGAATCTAAAACAAAGTTACTAAAGTTTGGTTGAATACCAGTTGGCGGTGTGTGCAACCTGAAGTCTGTTGAGAGATTAGCAAGTGTTACAATGGTTTTAAAAGGGTGCTGGCACCAGTTTGAAACTTTCTTTGACATGGAGTAATTAATACCATAAAAATAGAACACTTTTTCATACTACGTGATTCAATGGTATTTAACTTAGGGGTCATTTAAGCCACTATTTAAGAAATGCCTCTATCCTTTAGTTTCCTCACTTGTAAATAGAGGGCTCGGGCAATGTAATCTCTGAGGGACCTTCTGAGTTTTTCTGTGCAACCTCTGCTTCTGGTTGAGGACAATCAGCTCATTTTTGGGGAGAATCATCTCAGTGGGGTAGGGAGAGCTCCTGTGTGGGCTAATCAGCCTAGGAGCTCTGAGTTCTATGCCACATCTTGGGAACTTTGTTCACCTGAATGTGCTCAATAACCAGAGAATCTACATGTAAACCCTTCAGGTCAGCATTACTCTCTTCATTTGTAAGCATGTGCGGCAAAACTTTAGCACTCTTTTTGATCCCCTGACCCTGTGTCCATCTCCACTGTTTGGCCTGGGCACACTTACCAACTCCGCCATTGTATCAACAGAATGCCACACATTGCTTCTGTACAGTGCCACCCTTCAGATACTTGGTGGCTTTTTGGATATGCATACTCTTGATAGCCTGGGCAGTTTCACAAGTGCTCTTAAAGTGAACTTGAAGATTTGAATGTCTTGATTTGCATGACTTTATAGGGTTTTCTAGGTCAAGTGATTAGCAAATTATTTTCAGAGGTCACCTCAGGCTGCTTTCTGGAAGAGCCCAAGCTAAGTTACATGCTTTTTTTTTTTTAAGGGTGAATATTTAAAAATAAATGAATAAATAAATAAAAGCCCTGGCCAGATAGGCTCCGTGGGTGGGGCAGCATCCCATACACCAAAATATTGCTGTTCAGTCCCCAGTCAGGGTACATAACCTAGGTTGTGGGTTCCATCCCTGCTTGGGGCACATATGGGAGACAGTGTATTGATGTTTCTCCAGCACATCAATATTTCTTGCTCACTCGCTCGCTCTCTCTCTCCCCCTCCCTCCCCTTTCCTCTCTAAAACACATATCCTCAGGTGAGGGTTTAAAAAGAAAGAAAGAAAGAAAAAAAGCAGAGGCTATTGCTTTTCCCATGAATGCAGATGTAGTTGGTAAAATCTACTAAAAGAGATAATTCATGTACTTTGTCATTCCATCTTATTGAGTTCCTAAACCATCTTCAGAATATATAAGTAGGGTTTCTTTTATTTATGCTTTTAAGTTATATTTTATTGATTTTGCTATTATAGTTGTCCCAATTTTTCCCCCTTTTCCCCCATCTCTCCAGGACCCCACAGTCCCTAGGGCAGTCCCCACACCATAGGTCATGTCCATGGGCCATGCGTGTAAGTTCTTTGGCTGTTCCATTACCTTTACTGTACTTTACCTCCCATGGCTATTCTGTGACTATCTATTTGTACTTAATCCCCTTTTCACCCATTCCCCCACACTCCCCTCCCGTATGGCAACCATCAAAACACTTGCTGTATCCATGGTGCCGTCTCTGTTCTTCTTGTTTGCTTAGTTTGTTTTTTAGATTCAATTGATAGATTTGTATTTTTTGTCATTTTCTTGTTCATAGGTTTGAACTTATTTTTCTTAAATCCCTTTAACATTTCATATAATAATGGTTTGGTGAAGATGAACTCCTTTTAAAAAAAGTTTTTTGCTTGTCTGGGAAGCTCTTTCACTGCCCTTGATTCTAAATGATACCTTTGCTGGGTAGAGCAGTCTGGGCTGTTGGACTCTGCTTTTCATGACCTTGAGATTTTCTTGCCAACAGCTTTCAAAGCCTACAAAGTTTCTTTTGAGAAATCGCCCAAGAGTCTTATGAGAACTCCCCTGTAGGTAACTAACTTCTTTCCTCTTGCTGCTTTTAAGATTCTCTCTTTATCTTTAACATTTGGGATTTTAACTGTGATGTGTCTTGGAGTGGGCCTCTTTGCATCCATCGTGTTTGGGACTCTCTGTGCTTCCTGGGCTTGCATGTCTGTTTCCTTCACCAAATTAAGGAAGTTTTATTTCATTATTTTATCTGGTAGATTTCCAGTTTCTTGCTCTTCCTCTTCTCCTACTTGCACCCCTATGATGCAAATGGTGGAATGCTTGAAGTTTTCCCAGTGGCTGCTTACACTATCCTCATTTTGGGGTTGGTTTTTTTTTTTGCATTCTTTTTCCTTCTTGTTGTTCTGATTGGTTCTTTTTTACTTCCTATATTCCAAATCATTGATTTAATTTTCATCTTTATCCAATCTACTGCTGTTTCCCTGTAAATTGTTCTTTATTTCGATGAGTGTATCCTTTGTTTCTGGCTGGATCTTTTTTATGTTGTTGAGGTCCTCACTGAGTTCCTTAAGCATCCTTATAATCAGTGCTTTGAACTCTGCATCTGATATATTGCTTATCTATATTTCATTTAGTTGTTTTTGTGGAGTTTTGATCTGTTCTTTCATTTGGGCCATGTTTCTTTGTCTCTTTGTTTAGCAGCCTCCCTGTGTTTGTTTCTATATATTAGGTAGAGCTGCTTTGACTCCATGTCTTGGTAGTGCGGCCTAATGTAGCAGGTGTCCTGTAGAGCCCAGTGGCACAGCCTCCCCTATCACCCAAGCTGTGTACTCAAGGTGTGCCCTTCATGTGGGCTGAGTACACCCTTCTCTTTGAGCCATGATTGTTGTTGATAGGTTAATAGGAGGGATTTACCCAGGCCTGTCAGCTGCAAGGACTGGCTGTGACCACTGACATCAACCTCTGCCCTTTGTGGAGGATCAGCTGTACAGAGGCAGAGTGGTGGTGCTGCGACATGGTCGGCAGATGCCCAGTGGTTGCACAGTCTCTGGGGTTTCCTGGGTGGTGCAGGCCAAGGTGACTATAAAGCATTCTGAGATGGCTGCTACTTGTGCTGGTCTTAGAGATTCCTAGGCAAAGCCAAGTTGTGAATCTCAGCTGGCTGCTGCTATAGCCAGGCCTGTGGACACTTGCAAGAGGTACAGGGGCTGGGGACATACTGAGGCCTGCTGTTGCTTGTTTGATGGGATTTAGGAAGTTGTGAAGCTTGATCCAAGACCAGCCATCATATGGAAAAGTCATGATTAACAGTTTGGATGGGCCTGTACATTGGGTGGGACAGGGTCTCAGGGAATCTACAGAGAGAGGCAAACAGTGTTAGCCAGCTCGATGGAGTCTCAGATATGGCACCTGCCTGCTGGGTCTGTGGCTCTGTGGCTCTGTGTGGGGAGGGCTCAGAAAAGAGACAATGGCCTCTGCCCTCCTTTCTGTCTGGGAAAAAACTGTCCCCCAGTGTTCACTTTGATTCCAGACACTTCAGTTCCTTTCATATGCCACTGGTGCCTTTCAAGATGCTACCCTGGTGCTGGAGCTCAGAGAAGTGAGTCTGAGTAGATGAGTCTATGTGTGAGATTTTTAAGAGGAACTGCTTGGGACTCTAGAAGTTTCTTCCACTGACTCAATTTGTCCTGGTTTTTGCAGCCAGGAGTTGTGGGGACTTTTCTTCCTGGCACTAGAACCCTGGGTTGGGGTCCCTGGTGTGGAGTTGGGACTCCTTGCTCCTGAGATATCCCTCCCAAATTTTTATCCACCACACATGGTTGTGGGACCAGCCCGCTCTGCTTCTCTACCCCTCCTGTCAGTCCTGATGGATGTGGCTTAATTCCGTACTCGTCAGACTTCCATTCACCTCGATTTCTGACGGTTCTGAGTGGTGGCTGTTCTATATTTTAGTTGTAATTTTGATGTGGTTATATGAGACAAGCTGTGTTCACCTCTGTAGCCATCCTGACTGGAAGTGCCGAGGTAGTGGTTCTTAGTTTAACTAGCTTGTGAACATCCGTTGATTTTTTTTTCACAACATATATATTAGGCCTGGCTGGTATAGCTCAGTGGATTGAGCGCAGGCCTGCGAACCAAAGGGTCACAGGTTTGATTCCCAGTCAGGGCACATGCCTGGGTTGCAGGCCAGGTTCCCAGTGGGGACCATGTGAGAGGCAACCACACATTGATGTTTCTCTCTCCTTCTCCCTCCCTTCCCCTCTCTAAAAATAAATTAATTAATTAAAGTATTAAAAAAACAACAAAAGAAACCATATATATTAGGTAATGATTTTCCTAATAGTTTTTTTAAAAACATCTTGAAAGATTTTCTTTGAAACAACAAGTTCTGTATTAGATTATCTTTGAGTCATTTTGTAAGGATGAGAGAAAAATCTTTCAGTCTTAGTTGTAGGAACTTCATAACAAAAGTGTGATAGGTGAGAAATGATGATGAATCCTGTCTAATTCTAATATACATGTGTGATAAAACAGTGACTTTTCTAGTTTATACTTTTTAAAGATAGATATCAGTTCTCTTTCTGACTCTGGCTTTCACCCCCATTTCCATCCCCCATGTATATGAGCAGGGAATGGAAGTGTGTGTGTGTTATTTAAATATATAAATATTATATTTCTCTTCTATGTGTCAGAGGCAAAAAGGGTGCCTTACAGTTGACTATCTCATGAAGTACATTCCTGGTCTCTTCTCTACTTAGAGGGTTGAATTTGTAGTGTTAACACCCACCCCAGTGTTTGACATAAAGTAGCAATGACCTACATACAACCGCTCTGACCTTGGTCCATTATCTAATCCTTTCTGAACCTCAGTTTCTTCATCAGTAAAATGCAGATAATAATACCCTTCTTTTAGGGTAGCATGTATTACATAAGCTAATCCTTATAATATTTTTATTATAGAAACATACAAAGCACTTAGAACATGTTGATATGATTACACAGATGATAATGGAGTCAGCTTAGGCTGGAAGAGGATACACGAGGGGAGACCCCCCCAGAAAACAGAATTTACTTATAAAATACTGTATTGTATATTTATTCTACATGTTTAAACTTCAGTCACCTTTAAGGTACCCTCCATTTGATGCAGTACACCTATTGAGACGTTTTCCCACTGCTCCAAACAGTTACTGAATTCATTGATTTTGATGCCTGTGGGGTTTTTTGAGTTTTTTTCCCACCTATTTCCACATCAGCAAAACATCTCCCTTTGAGGATTTTTTTTCATTGAGGGAAACAAAAAATTGCTCAGGGCAGGATTGGGTGAATAGAGAGGGAAGGGCACAGGGTCAAAAATATTTTTGGTCAAAAACTACTGTACAGTTAGTATGGTGTGGACAGGTGCACTCATAAGTCACCCATCATGAAATAGGGAAAAGTATTGAAAAAGTCTTCAAAGATAGTCACATTAGCCCTGGCCGGCGTGGTTTAGTTGTTTGGGCATCCTTTGGCAAATCTAAAGGTTGCTGGTTCAATTCCCAGTCAGGGTACATGCCTGGGTTCCAGCCTCTGTGCCCTGCCCGTCAGGGCCCTTGTAGAAGGCAGAAGCCAACCTGTCGATGTTTCTCTCTCTCTTTTTCTATCTCTTCTCCTCTCTCTAAAATGAAATTTAATTTTTTTTTTAAATTTCTAAATAGCCAGATTATATGGAAATGTTTTTGCTCTGCATTTTTCTCAGCCTCTGTTGTAACTGACATCTTCTAGTCTTCCAAAGAAAGTCCTAATTTGGGTTGTTTTGAATTTGCCTTGACAGCTACAACTTTTTTAAAATCCTAGGGTCATCACCAGTATCATCACCAAGGAAGCCTTCTCACCCAGTCATAGATTTTTTCAGCTCAAATCTTTTAGGCGACTCTTCCTCTGCAGGGTCCAACTCTAGTCCTGCAGGTGTTCATGAACTGGCTGTGGGTGATCTTGTTTCTGATGAAAACCTTCAAAAGTTGGAAAACGTACTGGATCTTTGGAGTTCAGGCCTTAAGGTACTGTCATTGAATTGGCAAACAGTTTTGCTCTTAATTCCATTGTTTTTCTTTTCCTTGAATGAAAGTTGTTTTTTTTTTTTTTTTTTTAGTTTTATAACATCAGTGCAGTGTCTTAAATGTGTGCTTCTCAGTCTTTAATGTCCATATAAATCATTGTTGGGAATCCTGTTGAATTGCAGCCTCTTGGTCTTGGCAAGGCCTTCAGGTGCATTTCTAATAAGCTCTCAGATGATGCGCTTGTTCAGAAAACATACTTTGAATAGCATAGTTTTAAACAGTTGCTGGAACAGCTTTGAACATTCTACTGAATTTCTCAGAGGTTTTGAAAAACCTCGCCTGCGTGTGACTGAGACACCCACTAAGCCTTTACTGTATTGTAGCTCTGACTAATGGAAATGTCTCCTTTTATATGAAACACAAAATCCAAGTTTAGCAACATATATTCATTTTATAGCCACTCTTATAGCACCACAATATATAACTGATATGTCTATAAATATTGGTTCTTATTTTGGTGATGTTAGTGGCCTTTAAGTAAAACAAAGTATTATAGAAATGGCAGGGGGTTTTTTTGCTATTTAAATATAATTAAGAAAATAATCATTTTTCTGAACAGTTTGAGAAAACAAAGCTGAGTATTCCACCTGAGTGGATAAATAATGGTCATGACAGTTCTGTGGTATCTATATTTCTCAGTTATTTGAACTGTAAATTCCAGATAAAATCTTTTAGTACAGTTTCTACCATTTTCCCCGATGGAAAAGGTTTCATACTTCCAATCATGGTGTCAGTCAACTGAAATTGTGTACCACCAACCATTTAAATTGTTCTGTATTCAGATAACATGATTATTTGGTCTTTTTACTTAGGCCAGTCAGCAGGGTGAAAATGGATCAGACTTAGCAGTTTGTTCTCGTGGCCACTGTGAGAAGTGATCTGGGGGAAGAAAGCGTGAATCCCTGTGGTTCCCGCCGTCCCCACCTGCCTAAACAACTTCTCGGTCCTCTGGCTCAGTGCGGGGCAGAGCCCCTACGTTTCTTTTTTCTTGATCCATCTTAATATGGACATTTAAGTCCTTGAATGAACAAAGAACCTGTGTATTAGTGCCTGAGACTTGGGATTTTTTTTAAATGATGAGATTCCATATAGAGTGACTTAAAATAGGAAATATTTCATAACCGTAGTATGGTGAATGTGAACTAAGAGGAACTGTAACTGTTGAACTTGTAAACATTTTCATTAGTGACTTTATTTCTTTTTAAATAGTTCCCATGTTGATTGCTTGTTCTGATTTTTTTTTTATGTTTCTAAATTTTAGTGTAATTTTAAGAAGCACCATGAAGGAACAAACTGCTTAGTTATTAGTATCTTTACTTTTCAGACAAACGTCATATCTGAACTAACGAAATGGAGACTAAATTTTATTGACTGGCATCGTATAGAAATGAAAAAAGAGAAAGAAAAACATGCAGCACATTTAAAACAACTGTGCAACCAGATCAACAGCTTGAAGGAGCTGCAAAAAGCCTATGAAATCTCTATTGGGAGAAAAGATGAGGTGTTCTTTTTTTATATTTCTTTTTAACTAAGATTCAGTAAATGCCTTACTAAATAATAAACACCAGGAAGTGGTTTTTTAGGTCATACAAGATACAAGGTGGGGGGATCGCTTCAGAAACTGTTAGAAAAATAGGTGCATAGATGTATGATTTATTCTTCCTATTAAACATTCTATGGTCACACCATTTTATTATCTTTGAAATCAACTTCAGTGTGCTTGATGTTTTAAGAGTGCATGCTAAACATGGGAACACTGATTTTTTCCTTCCTGGCTGCCCTTAAGAGAACTTTAGAGAACCAGCATTATCCACATTTTCAACCATCCTTTTTAGGGGTCATATTAAGTATCTCACTTCTATCTATGATATGTTTTTATTCACAGATGAAGTCTTTTCTTCTTTTATTGGTAAACAGCACTTTTTTTTATTCTTACCCAAGGACATTTTTTTTCATTGCTTTTAGAGAGAGGGAAAGGGAGAGGGAGAAACATCAGTTGGTTGCTTCCCTGATGGACTGGGGTTCAGACCTGCAATCCTTTGGTACAGGACGATGCTCCAATCAACCGAGGCACACAAGTCGGGGCAGCAAACAGAACCTTTTATTTCACGTTGTGTTAGCCTGTTTAGAACCTGAGAGTCAGGTTCAGGTGTCTGCTGATTTACTGCCTCCAGACAGCAACCTAAACAAAGCAGATGGGTAGCAAATCTGCGGCCACCCCCAGGAGGATGGTGGCTTTCAGAGAAGAGGGACTCACAGCAAAAACTTCAGTTGCTTGTCTGCAGATGCATCACTCACTATTCTAGATAGAGACTGTGACTAGATAGAATTAACTAGATAAAGATTATGAGTTTTTCAAAATAAAAAAACAAAACACACATTTCTATTGGTATTACAAGGTATAATATAACATTGAACTTTTTCATAGTTTACTTTTTTGAAACAAGATATTAATGTTAGTAATTTTCTCTATTACCCTCAAAACTATATCCTAAGGTTTTTTAATATTTGAAGTTTAATGTTTTAAATTTTAAAGTATCACACATAAAAAGTTGTACATATGTCACATTTTTTAAATGAAAAATGAATAACCATGTGCCAACATACAGCTTAAGAAAGAATGTTAACAACATCTAAGAATGTATGCCCTTTTCCATTTTTGAAAATGTATACAATATACTACACAGCAGAGAGAAAAAATGAATTCCTACCTTTTGCGACAGCATGGATGGAACTGGAGAATGTTATGCTAAGTGAAATAAGCCAGGCAGTGAAATAAAAATACCATATGATCTCACCTGTGAGAGGAAACTAATGAACAAAATAAACTAATGAATAAAATAGAACCACAGGCACGGAAACATGGAACAGACTGACAGTTACCAGAAGGGAGGGGTCGTGGGAGGGAGATGAGGAGGGAAAGAAGGGGAAGGGACTAGTCAAAGAACAAGTACGAATGGCCCACAGACATGGACAGCAGTGTGGGGATGGACTGTGGGAGCAGGCGGTGGGCTGGGCAGAGCAGTGCAAAGGGGGGAAAATTGGGACAACTGTAATAGAATAACAGTTTTTAAAAATGAAAATTAAGCCCCGGCTGGTGTAGCTCAGTGGATTGAGTGCAGGCCTGCGAACCAAAGGATCGTGGTTCGATTCCCAGTCAGGTCATATACCTGGGTTGCAGGCCAGTTCCCAGCAGGGGACACGTGAGAGGCAACTATACATTGACATTTCTCTCCCTTTCTCCTTCCCTTCCCCTCTAAATATAAATAAATAAAAATCTTTTAAAAAAATGGAAATTATTTAAAGAACCAGAATAAATGTCTCTCAGTAAATGAGTCCAGTTTACCAAATCTCTTTTTAATGTGGCCTTTTTTCAGATACATATTTCAGTTACTCAGTTCTAAGAGTAACTCGGTTATAAGAGTGAGTATTAGGATTTGAAAGATTTCATGGCTTTTTATTAAAAAGAAGAAGAAGAAGATCACTGAAGAAGTATGTCAAAGTGTAACAATTATTTGCTTTTATGAGTTTATTGAATACAGAATGTAATAATACAATTATTATTAAATAATTGAGAAACATCTTATTAAATGTACTAAAGGTATTTTAGGGAACAGAAAGATGTTTAAAATCTGGCCTCTGCCTTCAATTGTAGTCAATAAAGACCTTTTTGTGTATGTAGCAAAACTTTCAATGTATGGTTGTTTTTCTGAATTAAATGTCAGTGACCATACAGGGTTGGGCAAAAGTAGGTTTACAACTGTGAGAACATGAAACACAGAGTTTATTCTTGTATTATCTTTTAATTATTGTATTATTTTCCGTATGAACAACTATAAAACTACTTTTGCCCCACTGGTACTCATTCTTTTTTTTACCTGTTATAGTTTAAACTCATTTTTATTTTTATTTTTTTATTGTATTTTTTCCATTACCATTTTTGTGTATATAAAATTTTTGGGGTGATTACCAACATACACATGAGATTTCTTTTCTATTTTGTTCCTCTTCATTCATTGATATTTAATATATTTCTGTTGGGCAGTTTTGAGGGTTTTCTAAAGATAATAATGAGATTAACTGGATGAATGTAGTGGTGATCCTTAGGTATTCTCTAGCATTTGTTAATATATGAGAAAAATTGCTTTACCAGTTGCTGTTATTACAACATCAGAATAATTGGTTTAACTGCTGTTTACAGGTGATTTCCAGCTTGTCTCATGCCATAGGCAAGCAAAAGGAAAGGATAGAGTTGATGAGAACATTCTTCCACTGGCGAATTGGCCATGTCAAATCCAGACAGGATGTAAGTATAAAAATGAAAAGACAACTGACAAATATTAGACTCCTGAACTTGAAAGTGTTTAGGATCACACATTAGAAAAAAAGTTAAAGAAGGTTTTATTGTCTAGTAAGTCAAAATGAATTTACAATTTAATGTAGCTCTGATTTTAAATGAATTTGATTCAGTATAGTTTGGGATACAGTATAGTATGGTTATAACTATACTTGTAGTACAGCTCATATTTTATAGGTCTATTGATATATCATTTTCTACTTCACAATATATCAGTAAGAATTGTGCCTAGATTATAAATGCCCTGGTAATGGAATGCCTTTAACAGATTTGACTCAGATGAGATTATATGGAAAAAATTTACAATCTTTAACATAATATGCTTCCTGTATTGTTTCTACTTCTAAAGTGCCCGAATACATTCTCTCAAGAAGAGCCAATGTTGTATTTATACATTATAAAATTGTATAAATGTTTGTTGTGTAGACTTCCCTTAGAGTAAGAATTTTAAAAAGCCATGTCTGCATAGCTTTTTAATTATACTCACTTTGTACATAGTTTAAATTTGAACATTCTTTATTTTAATTAAATAAGAGCTGAAGCAGTATATCAGAGTAAATAAAAACTGAGACAGAATAATAGTTTATTGCGTCAAAATTTGAAAAGTATAAGTATGGACTTCAGGTCAAGATGGAGGCATAGGTAAACATGGCTCACCTCCTTGCACAACCACATCAAATTACAACTAATGTATAGAACAGCCATCAGGCAGAACCATCAGAAATTGAGCTGAATGGAAGTCTGACAACCATGGAATTAAAGAAACCACATCCATCAGACTGGTAGGAGAGGCAGAGACAGGAATGCGTTGGTATCATATCCATATATGGTAGATAAAAATTTAGGAGGAATATCTCAGGAGCAAGGAGTCCCAACCCCAGCCCAGCCCAGCGTTCCAGAGCCAGAAAGAAAAGTCCCCATAACTTCTGGCTGCAAAAACCAGGGCAGATTAAGTAAATGGAAGAAACTTTTGGAGTCCCATGCAGTTTTCCTTAAAGAACCTACACAGGAACTTACTCAGACTTGCTCCCTCTGAGCTCCAGCACTGGGATAGCAGTTTAAAAGGCACCAGTGACATACAGGGAGGAACTCAAGTGTCTGGCATCAAGGCAGGAGCTGGAGGACAGCTTTCTCCCAGACAGAAAGGAAGGCAGAGGCTATTGTCCCATTTCTGAGCCCTTCCCACATAGAGCCACAGAGCTGGCAGGCAGGTGCCATATCTGAGACTCTATCAAGCTGGATAACACTGTTTGCCCCACCCTGGAGATCCCCTGAGATTCCATCCCACCAAATTTATAGCCGTCAATGGTGGCTTTTCCATATGATTGACTGGTCTTGGCTCATGCTTCACAACTCCCTAAATCCTATTAACCAAACAACAGCAGGCCCTAGTTTGTCCCCCCAGTCCCTGAAACTCTTGTTCCATAGCCCCAGGCAGGGAATCATAGCAGCGCCACCTAATACACAGAAGCAGAAATAGGGACGCTTCAAAAAGAGGAAACAAAGAAACATGGCCCAAAATATAAATCTGTCAACAATTGAATCTATAAAACAAATAGGAACAAAGACAGAATTATGGATATAGTGAGAGTTTTGCTAGTTGCCAGAGGGGAGGGGAGTATGAGGGAATGAGTGAAGAGGTGAGGGGATTAAGAAGTACAAATAGGTAGTTACAGAATAGCCATGGGGATATAAAGTACAGTATAGGAAATGGAGTAGCCAAAGAACTTACATGCATGACCCTGGACATGAACAATGGTGTGGGGATTGCCTGAGGGAGAGTGGGGTGCTGGGTGGAGGGGGACAAAGGGGGAAAACTCAGGACAACTATAATAGTATAATCAATAAAGTTTTTTTATTTTAAAAATGAAAAGTATGAGTATGTACATATCATAGATGGAGTATAAAGGCTCAACAGTCTAGAGGGAAAAACTATATATATATGTATATATATATATGTATATATATGTGTATATATATATGTGTGTGTGTATATATATATATATATATATATATATATATATATATATAATCTTTCATGTAATGCTCATGTGAGCCATCAAGTGATTGCTGTGCATTTAGTTCTAAGAGGTTAATATTTCTAGTGGGAAATATTATTTCTTAGAAATAATATTTCTAAGAGGAAAAGGTATTTCTAGTATATGGTTTTTCTTTCAGCATACTTCTTAGTGCTTTCCAATAGATTAAATTTACATTAATCAACTGAAAAGAGCCATGTAAAATGAGTATTTTTACCATATTTTGAAAGCTATTTATCAAGTGACATGAGAATATGTTATGTTTAAATGTTTGCTAAAATAGTTGAGACTGCCATCACTTTTTTAATAGCTTTTCAAATGTCAGAAAATTGAAAATTAGAACTACTTTAAAAGAATTTAAATTCATTGATAAAAAGGATGGCATACATTCATTCCTGTTTGGATCAGTTTGGCACTATATATTCTACAAAGTGTGTAAATTAAGTTAATCTTACCTATGGTTGTGGCTACTAAACTGAAGAGAAAGCAGTGCCCCCTGAAGCCACAGTCCGCTGCCTGCCTTCCAGCTGCTCTGCTGTTCTCCTCGCCCTACTTTCAGCTCCAGGGCCTGTGGAGTCAGAACTAAGGTGGCAATTGGCAAGTCACTCATTTTCTTTTGCTTGTTTATTGTGGTTGTTGTTTCCCTAGCTTGATTAGTTACTTAAAATGATATAATGGATATGAAAGAGTTTAGGCTCTGGGATAAAGCAAGGATGGCTTTTTGCTGTCCACTGTGGGGCCTGGGGAGATTACTTAACCACTCTAAGCCTGTTCTCTTTTCTGCAGATAATAATTACACAGGATTGAATGACAGTGTATGTACAGTGCTTACCATGCTGTTACATTTCTTCTTATTACAGCCGGTACATTTTCCAGTACACTGTGTTTTAAGGTTATATCACTTTCATTTAGGTTTACGAAGGTAAACTAGCTGACCAGTACTTCCAGAGAACTTTACTGAAGAAAGTGTGGAGAGCCTGGCATTCCACGGTGCAGAAGAAGTGGAAGGATGTGGTGGAGCGAGCTTGTCAAGCAAGAGCTGAAGAAGTTTGTGTCCAGATTTCCAATGATTATGAAGCCAAAGTTGCTGTGGTAAAACATTTTCTTTATAATTTTCACTTTCCTTTAATAGAGATAAAGATGGGTGGCATCCCTCACAGTTAGTCTGTGGTTAGGCAGCATGACCTAGCTCTCTAATTCCATTTAACGCACTGTATCTTCAGATGAGACTAGGCTATTTGGGAAAGAACAACACTAATAAGTCAGACTCACAGCCTTACTTACTCTTTCAGATGGTGTGACTCTTATGGCCTCCAAACTTGTGTTGGATTTCTTGTGTGTACACGTGTACCCGTCTCTTGAAAATGTAAATCACCCATAGATCCTTACATCTCTAAGAAAGTACACTTTCTTATGCCCTTCTTTGGCTTTTATTTAGCCAAGAATAGAGACCAAAAAACAAAAATGTTTATCCTCTTGTTAATTTATTTTTATTTTTATTATTTTTTAAATTTTATTGATTATGCCATTACATTTGTTCTATTCCCCCCTTCATTCCCCTCCACCCTGCAACCCCTCCCCCACCATTCCCCCCCTTTAGTTCATGAACACGTGTCTCAACTTCTTTAGATTCTATATTTCCCCTGCTATTCTTACCCTCCCCCCTATTTTCTATCTACTGTCTATGCTACTTATTTTCTGTACCTTCTCCCCCCTTCTCCTCCTCCCACTCCCCTGTTGCTAACCCTCCATGAGATCTTCATTTCTATGGTTCTGCTCCTGATCTAGCTGTCCTCTTAGTTTGCTTTTGTTTTGGGTGTGGTTGTTACTAACTGTGAGTTTGCTGTCCTTTCACTGTTCATCTCTTTTATCTTCTTTTTCTTAGGTAAGTCCCTTTAACATTTCATATAATAAGGGCTTGGTGATGATGAGCTCCTTGAATTTGGTCTTATCTGAGAAGCACTTTATCTGTCCTTCCATTCTAAATGAAAACTGTTGCATCCACCAACGCGAGAGACAAATTGTCAGAAACTTTCAGGATTCAGAAATGTTACTTTATTGGCCAAAGTTTTAACCTGCGCAGGGGCGAACCCTCAGAGTGCCCAGAGACACGGTGCTCATAAGAGCTGCAAACGAGAGCCACGCTAAGCGCTTACAGCTAAGTCTTTTTATAGACGTGAGCAAGCAAGCATTGTATAGAAGCAAATGTGGCTGTTAGCTATTGGCTATTTGGGTGACGCGAGCATGACCTAAGATTTCTGGGTTTTGAGGAATGGAAAAATTTTAACCTAGACGCTTGGTCCTCTATTTGTTCAGCCCCATTGGTTTTGTAGTTCCGCCTTCCCCACTCCCTATGTTCTTTCTTAACTTACTTGTCGTTTCTGCTCTAAGTTCCTTGTTCCTTTTATTCCCTATTTTTCTGGTTTCAACAAAAACTTTGCTGGATAGAGCAATCTTGGTTGTAGGTCTTTGATTTTCATGACTTGGAATACTTCTTTCCAGCCCCTTCTTGCCTGTAAGATCTCTTTTGAGAAATCCACTGACAGTCTGAGGGGAACTCCTTTGTAGGTGACTGTCCCCTTGTCTCTTGCTGCTTCTAAGATTCTCTCCTTCATTTTAATCTTGGCTAATGTAATGATGATGTGCCTTGGTGTGTTCCTTCTTGGATCCAACTTCTTTGGGACTTTCTGAGCTTCCTGGACTTCCTGGAAGTCTATTGCCTTTGCCAGATTGGGGAAATTCTCCTTTATTATTTGTTCAAATAAGTTTTCGTGACTGTTCCTCTTCCCCTTCTGGTACCCCTAGAATTTGGATGTTAGAGTGTTTAAAGATGTCCTGGAGGTTCCTAAGCCTCTCCTCATTTTTTTGAATTCTTGATTCTTCATATTTTTCTGTTTGGTCATTTTTTCCTTCCTTCTGGTCTACTCCCTTGATTTGAGTCCCAGTTTCCTTTCCATTACTATTGTTTTCCTGTGTATTTCCCTTCATTTCAATTAGTTTAGCCTTCATATGTTCCTCTAATTTGTGACTAAAATCAACCAGTTCTGTGAGCATCCTGATCACTAGTGTTTTGAACTGTGCATCTGAAAGTTTGGCTATTTCTTCATTGCTTAGATTTATTGGCTCTGGGGCTCTGAGTTGTTCTTGAGCCATGTTTTGATCTGTTCGTGCCTGTTACGTATGAGGGGCGGAGCCTTAGGTGTTCACCAGGGCAGGGCCATCCAGGTTGCTGGTTTGTGACACTGTATGTGGGGGTGGGGTCAGAGAGGGAGCAATGGTGGTCCTCTCCTTTCCCCCAGTCTGCCTCACTGCTCACCCCCGCCTGCTTATCCGAGCGCAAATGTGCAAGCCCACCACCTTGCGCTGGCCACCGGGGCCTGCTCGATCTGTCTCAATGCTCTTTACTAGTTTATCTGCATGCAAATGCGCGACCGACTGCAGACAGCCAGCCGTGCCTCTTCCCTCGGTTCCTCCTGTAGCTACCCTGCACCTGGGATCCGTGCCCTCGGCTGCCTGTGCACCACCTGGGTCAGGGGATCTTTTTTGCCCCACCTGCTCCGCTGCTGGCTTCACCCCTCTCACTGGTTTAGCTGAGCAGGTCGTTGTTTTCAGACTCTGTATTGTCGATTTTCGGTGTGGTTTGGTTGCGTTTATTGTTGTTAAAACTTTGTTGTTTTTAGATTTGGTTGTGGGAGGACGCAAAGTGTTTCCACCTACACCTCCATCTTGACGGAAGCCTCCTCTTGTTAATTTAAATAAACTTTGTTCATATAAGGTTGATTTAAAGCAGTTGTGTATAAATTGGAATTATTTTCTCATTGACTTTTAATTATAAAGTTAGCATTGTTTCCATGGGAATACATTTAAAACTCAAAATGAAATAAAAACCATACTGAAAAATGCAGTAGGCCTCTTGAAATCAAATACTAACAGGGAAAAAAATCATCATTATAGTACGAGTTCTTAATATTAAAAGTCAGTGTCATAATACACATAATTTTCTGCAGTTGAAAATGACATGCAAAAAAGAGCCTGTTTAGATTTGGTCTATGGGAAAGTGTTGTAACTAATATCACTTTGCACTTTAAATTCTATAATAACATTTAGTTTTTTTAAATTCTGTTCATATTGCAGGCATTTAGTTATTTTTTTCTAAAATGGTGAGGTTTGTCTGTGGCCCTTAATGTATTTTGTTTAACATCCTACATAAAAGATTTACAGTAAAAAGTGGCACATCTTTTCGTATAATTAAAACACATCAACCTTCAATGGGGCTGGTATGAAATTCCCCTTGTTTGAACTTTGACTTTATGGGTAGAAATGAAAATGGTTTGTTGACAGAAACAAAAGAAATTGAGACACATAGCAGAAGAGGTATGTGGGAAATTGTATTTAGTATTTCACCTAAAAATCACTTCACAGAATAAATTTATTTCTTAACAATAAATAATATTCTTCCTTGTATCGTGAATCTTTTTCTTTAAAAAAAAAAAACTCTTTATTTTAGTTATCTGGAGCTTTGGAAAATGCAAAAGCTGAAATCCAAAGAATGCAGCATGAAAAAGAGCAGTTTGAAGATTCCATGAAGAAAGCTTTTATGCGGGGTGTTTGTGCATTAAATCTTGAAGCCATGACAATATTTCAAAACAGAAATGATACAGGTTAGTGTCTTATGATTCTCTGCCTTTCAGAAAGGACTTGGGATTTCAGTGACTGGTATGGCCTACAGCGCTGATTTTCTGCAACGACTATGCCTCATTCAGGCACCGTATTTTTAATTTCATAGTGTCATGCCATTTCCAGTTTTAAATGTCATGAAAATTCAGTCATGTGGGGTTACTTACGGTATCTTAGATATGAACAAGTAAACTGTCAACTCTTAAGTATTTAGGTTCATTGTTACCATAATGCTTTGAATGTGTAACATTTTAAGGTTCTTTATAATCATAATGCCTTTAAGTTCAAAACTTCTCTTGTTTTTTCCTAAGTAGCCAAATTCCTTGGACTATTTTTTCATTAAATATTTCTTATCTAGTCATGGTTTCCTGTTTTTAAATATTGCTTGTTTTCCAATTTAAGAGAAACCTCAACTAAAACTCATTTTCAATAGTTATAAACACAGGACTATCTATAGAAGTAAAACATAATAATTTAATTTCGAGAATAATATTATTGGCTTGGATCTGAGTTGTTTGTCAGTTTCATCACCATGGCTTGGAAGAGCATATGATAAGAATCCTTTGCCACCAATTTATAATTAGCCCTATTTTCCTTATTGGGCTTTAAGAAATAAAGAAGATAATTTACCTTTTTTACCTGCTTAATAGGCAGTTCTTGTGGGAATATAGTGAAATATACTTAAAAACACTTTAAAAGACAAAAAATATTTGGGCCTGTAAGATGATAGTCATGATATGATTACTGTAGTCTTCATTCATTCAAGTTGGCCTCCCGTGCTTCATGCAGACACGTGAATATGTTTGCAGTATTATAGTAAGTCCTATTTGAGACTCATAGTTAACTTATCAATGAAACAATTTCATTTTGTAACAGCATTACATGATTTCATTCCAGGGAATAGCTCCTCTGTGCTTATTGTGCCTCGTTTTTGTGCATCAACAAACTTTTATTATTTAAGTTGTTCATGTTGGGGATGTCAGTGAGTTAAGGCAAATTGTTTTCTCTCTGAAACAGTTTGACTGTGGCCCATATGTAAGTTAGAAACTTAGAATTATAGATTATCAAGGCTAAATAATTTATCTTGCTGATACCCCAAAGTGTGCTTGATTCCTGTAATAAATTGTCTTTTAATTGAACGTCAATGCTGAAAACAACTGACTATCTCCAATAATAGGACAGTCTGCTTTCAGTTATAATTGTTAGCAAGTTATATGTATTAAATTTAAAATTTAATTTATCTACTTAGAGGAGATATTGGGCTTCACAAGTAAGGTGACAAATTATTATTAGAACTTATGTGTAATTTTTAAAATCTGTTTCTCATAATCTACTTATGAAGATTATAAATTGACTTAGGACAAAGTATTTTGCCACTTTTGTAAATTGAACATCTTAAATAAATACAGCTGTCTCCTACAGGCAAACATTCATAACAGGATTCAGAGAAAATATATTCTGATAATTGCCCAACATGATTTGTTTTGCTCCTGTTGCATTCATGTTTAGCATCTTCTGCAGCTACTGTCAAGTTCTGGGAACCCAGCTGTTCTGAGTGGCCTTGTGCTTTATCTTAACAGTGAGGGACAGGTATAACAGGAATAAGAAGACACAGAATAAGCAATAGTATTGGTGGAGCTATGAAAGGCAAAAAAAGGTTCAATGTATGAGGCAAGACCAAAAAACTGGGAATTGTCTTCTGGAGGGTGGGCCCCTTGTAATGCAGGCTTCGCCCGCTAGGTGAGTGTTCTAGGAACTCCTCTGTATCGGTGTATTAGCTGGTGGTGGTGTGAGAGGTTGTGTTTGGCTTCAGTCAATTTTTTTGAAGACTCTTTTAATGTTTGCCCATTTTGTGATAGCTGATTTACAAGTGCAATTCCCCACACTGTGCTGAGTGTCCAGTAGTTTTTGACCAAAAATGGCATGATCCCTGTGCCCACCCTCCCTATTCACCTAATCTCACACTGTGAGAGTTTTTTTGTTGTTTTCCTGATTTAAAAAAAGTCCTCAAAGGGAAATGTTTTGCTGATGTGAAAGAAGTGAAATGAAAAAATGGCAGAAACAATAAAAGGCATAAAATTAAGGAGTTCAAAAACTGGTTTTGAGCAGTAGAAAAAAGTCTCAATAGATGTAGTGCATCAAATGGAGGGCACCTTGAAGGTGACCGAAGTTTAAACGTGTAAGAATAAATATACAATGTTTTATAAATGAATTCCAGGGTTTTGGGGGTCCCCCCTCATAATCTAATGCTGGATTTGCTCTATGATGTTTAGGTTTTGTGGCATTTTAAAGACAGCTATTAATTCTCACACAAAAAAAATTACATTTGGCCTCTTTTTTCTTTTCTTTTTTTTTTTTTAAGATTTCATTTATTTATCTTTAGAGAGGAAGGGAAGGAGAGAAATATCAATGTATGGTTGCTTCTCGTGTGTCCCCTGCCGGGAACTGGCCTACAACCCAGGCATGTGCCCTGACTGGGAATCGAACCGCAGTTGTGTGGTTCACAGGCCTGTGCTCAATCCACTGAGCTACACCAGCCAGGGCTCTTTTTTTCTTTTAAGACAATTGGTTTTTATAATGCAATTTATTTTTTTAAAAATTTTAATCTTCACCCAAGGATATGTTTATTGATCTTAGAGAGAGAGGAAGGAGGCAGAGAGAAACAAACATCAATGGGAAAGAGAAGCATCAATCGCTTGCCTCCCATACCCCAACCAGGGATAGAACCTGCAATCTAGGTATGTGCCCTGACCAGGAATCGAACCTGCCATCTTTGGTGTATGGGACAGGGCTCCAACCTACTGAGCCACCCAGCCAGGGCATAATGCAATTTTTAATAATACGATGTTCTTAATGTTATCTGCCTTATTAGAACAAAACTAGTATTTGATTTATTTGTCCTGATTCTCTGCTGTCTGTCATCTGCAGTGCATCTCAGTTTATGGCAGTGAAAGTAAGAATAATTATGAAAACTTACAGTTATCTCACAAACAGGAACTGCATACACCTGCCCACATCAGTGAGAGTTGGTCATCTGCCTTTCTTCCAGGGAGTCCCTTAGCCAGACACGACCTGTGCATTGGTCCCACATCTCATACGAAGTCTACCACCCACCTAGAAAGTTACAGTCAGAATCACTTTCTGTCAATAACATGTTAAAACTCAGTGTGTGTATGTGTATATTTCAAAGTAAAAGTATTTTATATCAAATTAGTCCCTTTCACCGAATGATTTCAGAAGACCTCTGCATTATAATCCTAATTAAACTTTGTTAATAAAGTTTACATATTTTACACACATTTAGTCTAAGAAGAGGACTTATTCCAAAGCCTAAATTTGTAGATGGAAAGAGAACAACATAGAAAACTATTTATCCACAGGGTTACACACTCTATTCAGATAGTCTGAAACATCTCAGTGACTGAATTGTGAAACCCTCACCCTGGTCTTTGGCATCACATAGATAGAGTTTTAGAAATTTCAACCAAATTTTAATACTCTGAAAACTGTAAAAAGTACCTTTCATCCTAGCTTGTGGAAGCTGATATTCACTCCCTTGATCTAAAGAGATAAGGTTACTTGTGTTTCACAAAAATCAGTTAAGTGTGCAAAATATGCTCTTAATTCATGATTTACATAATCTACCTACAAGAGCTCGTTTTTTTTACAATGTCAATATTTACTTACTGATTAATTACTATTTGCTGAAAAATCAAAAATAAAAATACATTGTCTTGGTTAGGCGAGGAGCAGTGGAAGGAAAAGAGAGTGTATGGCGATACAAAATTATTCTAAAGATCTAAATAACAGGTCATTTATCGGGTATTGCATGAAAGAATGCAAAAGGGCATATGTCCTTAGGCTCATGCGATCTTATTATTGTAATGATTGTGATAGCAGTACACTTTTCTCAACGGAGGTACTGGCTGAGCACGTAATTTATTTTTATCTTTTAAATAAGAGCGGGCCATTCATTAGCTTTTACATGTTGAAAGAAGTGGTCTGAAGTCTTTGGTGGTTAATGCTGACATTAACCAGTTAATACTGACAAACTAGTAGCTGAACATTGTATCCAATCTATGACAAATTTCTACAATTCTATTAAAACCAAATTGTAGGGACTTTCAGCCACGATGGAGGTGTAGGTAGATACACTTTGCCTCCACGTACAACCAAAAGAAGGACAACAACAAATGTAAAAACTAAAAAATACCAGAAGTTCCAGAAAATCAAATTGTATGGAAGTCCAACAACCAAGGGTTAAAGAAGAAACACTGATCCAGGCTGGTAGGAGAAGCAAAGACTGCAGCTGGGTGGAGAGGACTCACAACAAGGCCGGGGCTGGTGGAGCGGGCAGTCCCGCATTCACATGCAGACAAACCAGGAGGAAGAACTGGGGAGTGAGACCATGCAACCCAGGGTTCCAGCGCAGGGGAATAAAGCCTCAAAACACTGATTGAAAACACCTGTGGGGGCTGAGGTGGCAGCGGGAGAAACTCTCAGCTTCACAGGAGAGTTCGTTGGAGAGACCCACACACAGGGTCCTAGAATATACACAAAACCCACCCACCTGGGAATCTGTACCTGAAGGGCCCAATTTGCTTGTGAATAGCAGAAGAAGTGACTGAAAGCTGGCAGAGAGCGGAGCATATGGCACTGTTCCCTCTCGGAGCATCAGCTCCCCCACATACAGCGTCACCACGCAGCAACGTGGATTGCCCCGCCCTAGTGAACACTTAAGGCTCCGCCCCTCACTACATAACTAACAGGCGCACTGAGAGAAAAAGAAATATGGCCCAAATGAAAGAACAAGTCAAAGCTCCAGAAAAAATACAACTAAGTGATGAAGAGATAGCCAACCTATCAGATGCAGAGTTCAAAACACTGGTGATCAGTATGCTCACAGAAATGGTTGAGTATGGTCACAAAATAGAGGAAAAAGTTAAGGCTATGAAAAGTGAATTAAAGGAAAATATACAGGGAAGCAACAGTGAAGGGAAGGACACCAAGACTCAAATCAATGATTTGGAGCAGAAGGAAGAAACAAACATTCAACCAAAACAGAATGAAGAAACAAGAATTCAAAAAAATGAGAGGCTTAGGAACTTCCAGGACAACTTTAAACATCCCAAAATCCAAGACATAGGGGTGCCAGAAGGAGAAGAGGAAGAGCAATGAATTGAAAACTCACTTGAAAAAGATAATGAAGGAAAACTTCCCTAATCTGACAAAGGAAATAGACTTCCAGGAAGTCCAGGAAGCTCAGAGAGCCCCAAAGAAGTTGGACCCAAGACAGAACATACCAAGGCACATCATCATTACATTACCCAAGATGAAAGATAAGGAGAGAACTTAAAAGCAGCAAAAGAAAAGGAGACAGTTATCAACAAAGGAGTTCCCGTAAAACTGTCAACTGATTTCTCAAAAGAAACCATGCAGGCAAGAAGGGGCTGGAAAGAAGTATCGAAGTCATGAAAGGGAAGGACCTACATCCAAGATGACTCCATCCAGCAAAGCTTTCATTTAGAATGGAAGGGCAGATAAAGTGCTTCCCAGATAAGGTCAAGTTCAAGGAGTTTATCATCACCCAGCCCTTATTATATGAAATGTTAAAGGGACTTATCTAAAAAAAAGATGGTCAAAAATACAAACGGTAAAATGACAACAAACTCACAACTATCAACAACTGAACCTCGAAAACAAAAACAAACTAAGCAAACAAGTAGAACAGGAACAGAATCACAGAAATTGAAATCACATGGAGGGTTATCAGCAGGGAAGAGGCAGAGGGAGAATGGGAGAAAAGATACAGAAAATAAGAAGCATAATTGGTAGGTACAAAATAGACAAGGGGAGGTTAAGAATACTATGGGAAAAGGAGAAGCCAAAGAACTTACATGTATGGCCCGTGGACATGAACTAAGGTGGTGGAATAATGGTACCTCCCCCTGTAGGGGAGGTACAGGGTGGAGGGGAATAAAGGGGAGAAAAAAATGGGACAACTGTAATAGCATAATCAATAAACTATATCAAAAATTTTTTAAAACATTGTACTATTATGTATTTTTTCTATTTTTTCTTATCCTTTTTATCCCCTTCCTCCCTGTACCCTACCTATTATGTATTTTTATTGTTGCAGGGGTGAAAGTAATTTTGGAAGAATTTTAATGGAATTAATTTGTGATTTATAGGGATAGACTTCACAAATAATAAAAAGGAAGAATATGGTCCTGGTGTTCAAGGGAAAGAGCATCCTGTTCATTTGGATCCTTCGGCTCCTCCAGTACCCTCAGCAGCTGCACCAGCACCATCCTCATCAGCAGCCACCATGGGAGTGACCAGCACTGCTGCCTTTCCCTCTGTGGCTTCCATCACTTCCACCGGGGCTGCTTCCGCTTCCTACACCCACCTTCCTGTTTCTGCTCCTCTCGGTGCTGGACCTACAGCTCCTGCTGCACCAGAAGAAATGGTTAGTGAGGTCCATGCGGGTGCCTGCACTGGGAAAGCATTCCCAACTTGTTTGTATATTGGATGTTTTGAACTTAGAACATATTTTCTCATGGAGAAAAATGCCGATATGCTTTTAGGCCAAGTCACAGAAAGTAATCAGTACACAAAGTGACTAAAACCTTAATTTGTAAGTTCTTTTAAAAGTTCTATTGCAGTAGTGATAATTGAACAAAGCTAAACTTCTTCATTTTACATTTGCCAAAACTACTTGGGAAAAATAGATTTAATTTAGAGGTTTTTTTAAATTTTAAAGAAAATCTGTTATATTAAAGGACTTAGGAGGTAATGGCTCTTTTGTATGTTTGCTGTTCAAAGGCAGCTTTCCCTTTTCCTGGATGCAGGCATGTTATTAACAGTACTACTCTATAGTAACACCATCTTGATTTGGTTAGGCTTTAATTTTTAATTCACAAAAGAAGTGAAAATAGGAACAGTGTTCCTAGAGTCACCATTACAGAATGCTTAGAGGGGAAGAGTGTTGTCTGGGGGAGTAACTGCAAGAACTGACCCGAAGTGAAAAGAACCATGCTGTTAACACGGTGAGAATCGCAGAGAGCACCTTGTGCTTCTGACTCCTCAGCCTCCTGGTGCTAAACCTGTATCTTCGGCGTTTCTCAGAGAAAGGTGTAGGGCTACAAGGCAAGCTTATCAGACTCACCTCTGCAGGGCTTCTTTTTTAAAAATTTTATTGATTATGCCATTACATTTGTTCTATTTCCCCCCCTCCATTCCCCTCCACCCTGCACACCCCTCCCCCACCATTCCCCCCTTTAGTTCATGAACATGTGTCTCAAGTTCTTTAGATTCTATATTTCCCCTACTATTCTTACCCTCCCCCCTATCTATTTTCTATCTACTGTCTGTGCTACTTATTTACTGTACCTTCTCCTCCTCCCACTCCTCTGTTGCTAACCCTCCATGTGATCTTCATTTCTATGGTTCTGCTCCTGATCTAGCTGTCCTCTTAATTTGCTTTTGTTTTAGGTGTGGTTGTTGATAACTGTGAGTTTGCTGTCCTTTCACTGTTCATCTTTTTTATCTTCTTTTTCTTAGGTTAAGTCCCTTTAACGTTTCATATAATAAGTGCTTGGTGATGATAAACTCCTTGAATTTGGTCTTATCTGAGAAGCACTTTATCTGCCCTTCCATTCTAAATGAAAACTTTGCTGGATAGAGCAATCTTGGTTGTAGGTCTTTGGTTTTCATGACTCGGAATACTTCTTTCCAGGCCTTTCTTGCCTGTAAGGTGTCTTTTGAGAAATTCGCTGACAGTCTGATAGGAACTCCTTTGTAGGTGACTGTCCCCTTATCTCTTGCTGCTTCTAGGATTCTCTTCTTCATTTTAATCTTGGCTAATGTAATGATGATGTGCCTTGGTGTGTTCCTTCTTGGATCCAACTTCTTTGGGACTCTCTGAGCTTCCTGGATTTCCTGGAAGTCTATTTCCTTTGCCAGAATGGGGAAGTTCTCCTTTATTATTTGTTCAAATAAGTTTTCCATTCATGGCTGTTCCTCTTCCCCTTCTGGTACCCCTAGAATTCAGATGTTGGAGTGTTTAAAGATGTCCTGGAGGTTCCTAAGCCTCTCCTCATTTTTTTGAATTCTTGATTCTTCATATTTTTGTTTGGTCATTTTTTTTCCTTCCTTCTGGTCTGTTCCCTTGATTTGAGTCCCAGTTTCCTTTCTATTACTATTGTTTTCCTGTGCATTACCATTCGTTTCAATTAGTTTAGCCTTCATATGTTCCTCTAATTTGTGACTAAAATCAACCAGTTTTGTGAGCATCCTGATCACCAGTGTTTTGAACTGTGCGTCTGATAGTTTGGCTATTTCTTCATTGCTTAGATTTATTGGCTCTGGGGCTCTGAGTTCTTCTTGAGCCATGTTTTGATCTGTTCGTGCCTGTTATGTATGAGGGGCGGAGCCTTAGGTGTTCACCAGGGCAGGGCCACCCAGGTTGCTGGTTTGTGACACTGTATGTGGGGGCGGGGTCAGAGAGGGAGCAATGGTGGTCCTCTCAGCTCGCCCAGTCTGCCTCACCACTCACCCCCACCTGTGTTTATCTGAGCACAAATGTGCGAGCCCACCGCCCTGTGCCACGAGGTCTCAATGCTTGCCTCTTCAGTGGTTTATCTGCGTGCAAATGCGCGATCGACTGCAGACAGCCAGCCGCGCCTCTTCCCTGGGTTCCTTCTGTAGCTAGCCGGCACCTGGGATCCGTGCCCTCGGCTGCCTGTGCACCGCCCGGGTGGGGGATCTTTTTTGCCCCACCTGCTCCGTTGCTGGCTTCACCCCTCTCACTGGTTTAGCTGAGCAGGTCGTTGTTTTCGGACTCTGTATTGTCGATTTTCTGTGTGGTTTGGTTGCGTTTATTGTTGTTAAACTTTGTTGTTTTTAGATTTGGTTGTGGGAGGACGCAAAGTGTTCCCACCTATGCCTCCATCTTGGCGGAAGTCCTGCAGGGCTTTTTTAAAAACACTATACTCTTCCCTCCTCTAGCTCAGCACAAAGGCATGTATAATTTTGTAAAGATCCTGAGATGGTTTTGATGTGCTTGTCTCCCTTTTCTTCCCCACCTGACCACTTACACAGGAGGGGAGGTAATGGCAGAATAGGTCTTAGGTCTTACAGTCCCCCCACAGGCCATCAGAAGGTGCCTTTGCTCAGAGTCACTAGGGCAATTGGTCATGCTTAGCATTCCAGCTGCCTTTTGGGAACTGCCAACTTTAAGGAAAAATATATTGAGATCTGCTCTTCATCATGTTTGCTCTTGATTGAAAAAAGTTTTAAAAAATGTTAAGAGAAATTTGAATGTGTGAGGGAGCTTTGACTTAGAAATAAGACACCAAAATTCAACCCTGAATATGTTCAGCTGTGTTTATTTTTCATGATTATGCATTTTGAACTGTAATTCTATACAGATGATCTCATTTAAATAAACATTTAAATTTCCTGTTTGTCATTCACGTTGCATATAACACACATGAGCTAGAATTTTTCAAAATTCTCTTAAAATATGACTATACCATTTATTCATCTGCATTTATATATAAATCTGAAAATGCATGGGAAGAATGGAATGAATGTGCTTACCAACCTTTTTGTTACTAACTTTTAAACACAACTGATCACCTGAGTTAATTTTGAAGTCTTTGAAACTTGAAAAACAGCCTTTATTCACCCCCACCCTCCAACTATGTTCTACTGCTTCAGAAACAAATACACATTCAATTTCATTCACAGATGTACAGCCTTTAGGGCCAGGGAGAAAAGAGAATCACAAACCAAAGTGTAAGGCTACTTTTGTCCTTCCTTGTATAATTATAATACTCAGATTCACCTCAATATGTCTTCTTGTTTTTAAAAAGAACCGAAATAACAAAAGTAGGATTTACAGTTGTTTGTATTTAATGCAATAAATAATAATACAAGAATAAGCTCTGTTTTGTGCACTCACAACTGTACACCTACTTTCCCCCACCCTCTATATTAATTGGATAACTAACCTAATGTGAAATCATCATTGTTAGAAACAGGAAAAGAAGAAGAGAGATTCGTGATCCAGGCCAGTTATTGTTCTGTCCATTTTAATCACAGAGGCTTCCTGCGACATTCAAAACTTTTTCCAGTCATCCTCAGTATACCCAATAGCTAAAGGGAAGAGTGTCATTTGGGAAACAAATAACTGGAGAAAGGAGGATAATCATTCTAGTGAAATAATCTCCTCACTGTAAAAGTCTTTCCTTTCTGCATACATCCTCAAAGAACTTCATGGTGGAAAACATTTTTCGAAACTACATTAGGCAGTTATGCAAGCAAATAAATTGCAGTTCATGAGTTTGAACAATAGATGGCACTTTGCTTTTTCGAACTCCATTTCAGATATATAACAGGAATTTTTGTTGGATTTTTAAGCTATTCAGTAAAGTTTCTCTTCTAATTTTCTCTTCATCTGAATGACTATGAAAGGGCATCATTAGGCCGTTGCTGCTGCTCTACCACTTTGTAAATGACGAGCTTGAGGCTCAGACTAACTTGGCTGTGGGCACGATTAGTAACAGAAGTAGAAAATAGAATACTTCAGTTCCCTCTTTTCTTATTCCTTTCACTTTTGGCCCAGCTAATGTAATTAGTTGACAGAGGGAAAAAGTGAGTACACATATGTATTGTTCCTGATGTAAATTTAATTTTTATGGAGTGTTGTCTAGCAGGAAGCAACAAAAGCTGTAAAAGCTACCATGTGTGACCTTTTCATCTGATCATTGCATTGTTTTGCAGTATATTCTACAGAAAATGTCATAAGAAAATACGAATTCTTTTTTTACAAAACTTTGCTATGTATAATAGTAAGAGAACTGAGATAACTAGATAAACTGTAGTTTGTTGACTTTAAAATCTCTCAAAAATTATAGCAGTTCTCTATTCATAAAAAAAATTATACTAAAAAAGCTAAGAGAAAAGGCAGAACAGAGAGCATATGCTTAATGATAATATTAATTATGCATAAGGATCAGAAGAGTTCATAAGAGAGATGAGTGGCTGCCCAGAGTTGGGGGTGGGGGGAGATGGAGACCACTGAAGGGTATTTGAAGATCTTTGTGGTGACGGGATAGTTCTGTGTGATGCTTCTTAATGGCCATGACTGTTACAGGAACCTACACATGTAATAAAGTGATACAGATCTGTACCCACGCATTATGCCAATGTTAGCTTCCTGGTTTTAATATCACAGGATCTCTCTACACCTTCTTGGAACTTCCTGTAAATCTATAATTACTTCTAAGTTAAAATTCCTTTAAAAACTTTATGAAGTCCTATAAAATAGCTGGTATACCAAAGTTAAAGTACAATGTTGTTTTATGTTTTGATTTTTGTCTCATTGTTTAAATTTTTTATATTTTGCATGTTAAAATTGGTTGAATATACAATTATTTTAAGTGCCTGTGTATTTCCTTTATAAGTTATAGAACCAACAGTACTATAAATTTGGCTGTGGATTTTCTACCAACTGGTATTTCTTTGCTTCTCTAGCACATACCCAGAGTTGTGACATCTGCACAGCAGAAAGCTGGAAGGACAATTACGGCCCGTGTCACAGGGAGATGTGACTTCGCTTCAAAACACAGAATTAGCAGCAGTTTAGCTATAATGGGAGTTTCTCCTCCCATGAGCTCGGTTGTGGTGGAAAAACATCATCCAGTCACAGTGGTGAGTCCACATTTAATAACCTTTTGTCAAAATCCTTTTCCTGAGATTTATACACTAATAAACACTTCAATGACATGCTGAGATCAACATTCATGATGACCAGTTCTTATTCTGCCTTTTACTGTTATGTCTTTCTATACTTAGAGTTATCACACCTGCTCTGAATCTGCCTTTTTTCTTTTAAGAAATTAATTTCAAAAACATCATTTCTTCTGGACAGTATAAAAACGATCAAATACAAAAAGTAATCTAGTATGTCAGCCATCAGAAGGGTAAAATATATAAATAATTACTCATTAATTTAAAAAAGAAGGAAAAATGGTCCACTCATTAACTAGCTGTTCATGTAGCAGGTTTTTGATCACAGGAAGCACTTCCCTACTTAATTTTTGCTCCTTTTAAAAAAAGTCTTCTTCCCCTTTTTCAATACAAGTGTCAGCATATCTCTAGTTAGGAAAAAATTTTTAATTACAATAAATTCATGTGCCATAAAGAAAAGTACACGGAATTTAAGCAATAATAAACAAAAAAACCCTAAGTTAGTGCCCCAGTGTGCTATTTATTGCCTCTGTGATCATATGGAAAACAAGTAAAATATGGGAGCGTTCATTTTGTCTTTTGTAAAATGGGAGTGATGAGACCACTTAGCTCCTCGGGTTTGTGGTCAGAATTTGGGGTTAATGTGAAATTAAATGAGATGTAGAAAGACACTTTGTAAACTGTAAACTATAAGCAAGTTTAATTTAATAAAAATTACTTAAGAAAGATACAGGGATACCTATGTATTGTTTCTTATAACTGTATGTAATTAATAATTATCTCAAAAAGTTTAATTTTTAAAGTTATAAGAATATATCCCTAAAGAGAAACAGGATTGATTTCAAAAGAGAGTAGCCCTCCATATAAATTCTCAATAGTAGACAACATCCTTCCTGCTTAGTATGTCAGAGTATTAGCGAAAAAGACATATGGAATGATTTTAAATCCTTTTTTCCTGGTCACTAGATTAAATCCAGAGAAGCTAGACTGATTATTTAAATTTAGTCTCAGGTAAAGTGTGACCACAGTGAGGTGGAACACTGACATGGGGCACCAAGTCAGAGAGGGGACGGGGAGGGAGAGGGGCTGTCGCAGACTTCACCAACTGGATGGACTCCAAAAGTCCTTGGATGACATCTCTGCGTATTGTTTAATATGTAGATAATCAGAAATGAGAAGACATGAGCACATTTCTATTTGTATCAGCACTTATGTACGTAAAGATGTCTGCTAAGACAGAGAAGGCTCACAGAGAACACACGTGTTTATTTTTAATTTAGACAACCTTTTGCTTTTGGATTAATAATAGAAATTCACATTTTACAGAAGAGAAAGAAGGACTAAACTAAAGATGTACAGCCTGTTTCTGGTGTGTATCTCCCAAACTGTCCTTTGCTTATTCAGCCTGTGCAGCACTTCTGCAGTGATTGGCCATGAATCAGGAAACCACGCCCTGCTCCCAGCGTTGCCTAATTTGGATTGTGTGACAGGCACGGTGGCAGTCCTTTGTAAAATTTTTCATTTTTCCCACCAAGATCTAGAACTGCCAGAAACACTTATTACTAATAAAACAGTGATCAAATCTCTGACACGGTGGCCCCACCTGCTGGGTGGTTTCTTGCCCCTGGGGCTGCTTCCTGGCGGAGTCTGTAGATCATGATAACAGTGGTAACACGAATCCACTTCCTCAGTTCCTCCTGCCCATCCTCCTCAAGGCAAAATATCTCTTTCAACAGGGTCAGATTAAGGGGTTACCAACTAAAAGTTCATACTACTGGCAAGACTATCTTCCATTTGCAATGATTACCCAGTTATTTATGTACAAAGAGACATTTATATAAAATATTTTAAGGTTATTTTTCCATTTTATTAAAAAGGAACTTTTATTCTTAAAGCAGAATCTGAAATGAAGACCTGTGTAGCTATATCATTGAGCTTTTGAAATATATAGTGAATGTTTTAATGAAATACATAATTTTACTTCAAGTATTTGAGATGACTTTTCTAAGTAGAAGACTTACTCAGAATCTACATGCGCTGGTCAGTGACGTGGGCTGAGTGACTCATCTGCGTAACAAATTCCACTACTGCCTATGAAGAAGCTGTTTTGGATATAATACAGAAAAGTCTTATGTGTGTACATATTATGCATGTATATACACATAACGTGTACTTAGCATAGTATGAACTTAAACATGTTCCATGTGCAGGTGGAGGTGGATATGCCCTGACTTTAATGCTTCGGTGCTCATGTCTGAGATGTCCCTCTGAGCATGGATGTAGTGTACATATCCTCCCTCTAACATAGGTGCTCAACATCTAGTTACCCCTTTATTTAGAAAGTTGTGGTCCATATTAAGAGAGCACCAGGCCTCTGGGAACACTGCCTCATGTGTGATCATAAAATGTTTAGTCAACTTCCAGGTGAACCAGGTGGAATGAGGGACCTGCTTTACTGGTTTGAAGCAAGGACCAGGCCAGATTCCTCCAGGGCTTCCTGCAAATGTTCCCCAGGACTGGACTCCACGTATTAACAGTTACTAACAGTTGGATACGAGGAGGAGGAAGTTGGATAGAATGAGCGGAGAGGAGAGCTTGGGGCAAACCCTTCTTCCAAACACCACAAAGCCCTTTCTATACTTAGCTTCTGTAAACATGACAAGATCCCACCCACCTGAGTCTTCCTTGAGGAGTAGATGCCCCCGTGGCTCCTCTGGAGCACAGCTCTGATACACACTGTGGGCACTGGGCAGTCAGTCTAACTGGTGTGGGCTCCTTTCAGACAAGGACCACATCTTGTTTGTCTCACTGGCTGCTTCATCCAGTTCATTGCGTATTTCCACTGGCACAATGATTGTTGGGTTAAATTATAGATGATAAAATGATATTTGATATGTATAATTCTATGGGATTATTAAAACAGATTTTTATCTTTTCAGCAAACCATTCCTCAAGCTGCTGCAGCAAAATATCCCCGGACTATTCATCCTGAAAGTACTGCTTTGGCTTCCAGGTCTCTCGGGACCAGATCAACTCACACTCAGTCTCTTGCGAGTGTTCACTCCATCAAAGTGGTTGATTAGAATGGATGTGTTCATATGAGGCTCTTTTAAGTCCTCTGGGTTTACCAAGGATTATAAGTCTTTAGTTTCACATTTTTCCAGCGTGGACACATGATGCTCATCTTTTCAAAATCACAAGAGACTTTTTCAAGCCACACTATCATTTGTAACTATATGTAGGATTATTTTAATGTTATTTTTTAATTTAAGCAATTAAGTAAAACTTTTTTAAATTAAAAAGAAACTGGACTATATTCTTTAATAGATTCAGCCTGTGGCTGATTATATCATCAAAGTATATAAATTCTATTCTCTATATTACTCCAAAATTAATCATTTCCAGTGTTACCAAGTAAACTTTTCAAAAGTATACTTTAAAAATTATTAAAACTATTAGAAACTAAGGTACTTTTATCTTTAAGTGAAAAAGATAAAGACCAAGAGTAATGGTATTTTCATCACAAATTTTTTTGTGACTGTACTATATTTATCTTCATTTTTCTAGTACTGTAGTGATTAAAATAGGGGGAAATAGCAATACCTATGAATAATTTTTAATGTTAAAAGGGAAAAATTTACCAGCACAAAAATTTTCAGAAACATCAGAAGATCATTTCCTTTTAGAGTGAACCTATTTCTGGTGTTCCTCCTCGCCTCTTTTGAATCTGTAGTTCTGAACTCATACTGTGTTCTCTGAACATCCGCACAGCATCCTGCGGTAGTGTGGCTCCAGGCAATGCAGCAGGTCTTCCCAGCCTGGTAGAGACTTTTCATTGGCTGGCTTCTAGGAGGGAACCACTGGGGCGAAACTGAGCCAGAACAGGACCAGGCTTCGAATGGTTTGATTGCTGGCTGTCTGGGTTGAAGTACTTACGGGTTACATAAAAACAAGTAGAGTCTGGAGGATCTGTCTCGGACCTCAATTTTCATATTTTCAACAGAAATGCATGTATTTAATCTGAAGCCTGTTCCATTTTGAACATGACCTAGCTGTATGCTCTAATAGTACTACAGGAAACAGTTTTTCTTAGTGCCTTACATTGTCAACAGGACATCAGAGAATCTGTAAGAGAGGCAAATATCCCATTTTCTAAAGGGACAAACAAAGGCTTTTATTTATTATTAAGAGTACCTGGCCATGTCTTAAAGAGTGTTAGATCCTTCTCACGAAACGCTTGTCCTGGATTCTAGCCAAGCTACTCCTGTGGCAAACAGCCAACAAATAAGCACAAACCAACAGCACCTCTTCTGCTGCCTGTACAGAGGGGCACACTCCTCCCCTAGGATTCCCCCACTCCCAGTTAGTCATGAGAGATGGGTGGGCTCTGCCGTTGTGGTAAACAGATCGGTTCCTCCTCTCTGCCTATGTGAAGGGTCCTGAGATGCACAACCACCCCGTCTCTCATCTCTCGGAAGAGAGTGCCCTCAAGGTCAAATCAGTTGTGCTTGATACCAAATGGCAGCCAATGTAGTAATTCACTCTGGTCTTGGCTCTCCCTCCTTCCCCATATCACCCCTTTTCCTTCTCTCCCGTTTCCTTGGATTTGTATGCCTGAAAAAGGCAGTGGCAAATAAACTTGGGCTTCGGGTTTTGCTTTTTGAAGGACCTAGATTACAATTAGGAATGGTTTGCAGTATGCAAGCCATAACCATGTGGACAAACTGAAGGCAATTCTATGAACACTAATTAAGAATATTATATCTTTTTAAACTTTACCTGAGCTCTGAAAACTATATATTGTCTAAAGCATCCAGTAATTAGTGTCAGCCTATGTTAACTTAAATTCGATGATTAAAACACTTTGTACAATAAGAGTATGTTTTCATATTTATTTTTATATAAAGAGGTTACCAGATTTTGGAGGGGAGAGGATTATCAAAGTCACTAGAAACTGGCCAGACTGAAGACCATATGGAGGCAAGACTTTTCACCGAATTCCTCTGTTAAAAACTGTTGGGAATCAAGTGAACATGTTACCTGTTTTAAACACTCAGAATGTCACATGGGCCAAAAATGTAGAAATATAATTCATGACAGAATAACTGGACCCAAATTGCTCATGATATTATTTCTGGCCTTATAGACCTACAGTCAGAATTTGAGAATGAAGGGCCTTAAATTTTAATGAATAGGTGCATGTGTGCTGACATAAATTGATACTTGATTTCTTATCTATTTAGTAACTTTCTCAGATTATAAAAATAATACATGTTCATTGTGAAAAAAATTGGAAAGTACCAAAAAGTACAAAGAAAATAAAATCACCTTTAATTAAATCCCCAAGAGAAAAAAAATATTGGTATATACACTTTGTTCTTTTTAAGTAAAATATTACACATATGTGTATTTAAAGCCAACAGCAACTACAAATTTCCAAAGCCAGTTTCTCTTACAAAAGAAACAGTAGTTAATGATTTCAACACTATGGACATGGAATGATACGTTTCACAGGCATTGTCCCTTCATTCTCAGCGAAATGCTAGGGTAGGCATTTCTCCCATTTTGTAGAGAAGGAAACTAAAAATTTGGGGATTTGAATATTAGAATGCTCAAAGGTTCATAAATAATAAGGAGCAAAACCATGACTCAAAACCATGTCTCATCTTAAAACCCCAGGTTTTCCCTTGCACTGTGATGCTGCCCCATCACATTTTTAAACCATGATGTACAGAACCCTCCCAGACTATGCTATCACATATGTTGCATCAAATGAAAGAAATGGGAAAATCTTATACAACTTGCCTGAAGCAAAACCCTCCCCAAATTTCGACTTCTCAGTGGTTGGGAAGTATACCATTTTTTTCTGTTAAGGGATCCTGCTACCACCATCTTCACAGTGGAAAGGAAAATCAATCCTACTGCTACAGCTTTATGGCATTAAAGAACTAAATTTAAAAGGACTGGATGCTGAGTGGAAAATCATTTAAATGCAGTTTCTCTAGGCACTTATGAAACTGCACACTTCTTGGGCTCTGGGTCGGTTTCGCTTTTGAATTGATGGATTTTTTTTCTGGAAAAAATAGCATAACATTATTAATGGCTAACACTTATTAAGCACTTCCTGTGCAGGCATTATTATGCACTTAACCCCACAACAGCCCTTCGTCACAGATTGCTTCTTTTACTAGTTAATAAATGAGAACGCTGGCAGGCTGGCACAACGTCTCAAGGCCACACAGCCTATGAGCGTTGGAGTGCAGGTACAAGTCCAGAGCTCACGCCCTTTACCGCTTCAGAGAACTGCCCTAGTCACCCCCTGGGAATTCTTATCGAGACACTTTCCCAGGAATGAATAAATATAAGGTGGAAGGAAAAACCCCAGTGCTATGAGTATAATGTCATAGAAGGTAGGCTTTATCCATTTGTACGTTTATAGTCTCAGCTTCAGGTAAAGCTGCATCATGAGAATAATGGCAGCTGCTGCTGTACTTTGCTTGAGTAGCTATTATTACATGCAAGTTATAACAACAGCTAATTTACTGATAAGTTTTCAAAGCATTTTCCCTGACAGTATGATCTTTGACAGGGTGCTTTTTTTAGCAGTAACCTCAGCTGGCAAAGCAACAGCCTGTCTACTCTTTTCTTTCTACCTAGACATACCATTGTTAAGTACACTGACTTGCAGTTTTCCAAACAGGGACCAAATAGCCTTTGGAGCGAGACAATTCTTAGTTGTAGAGAACCTACAACCTGATATATAGATTCCTGTCCCCCTGTCACCTTCCCCACCCTCTCACCCCTGCCCACACAGACACATAAACAAAAAGACTCCTATACTTGTTCAAATACCCAGTTGACACTGAGGTAGACACAGAACCACAGGGCTAAAAAAAAACAAGACAAGTATTGACTGAGTCACTCACCAGAGGAGAAGCTGCATATTCTGACTGAGCCACAATGATCACCCAGCTGGGGCTGTTGCTGTTCAGGGCAGTTGTATTTCTGTCAAGGGTCCCCTAACATTTTAAGGGAGCAGGAGTGTCTGTTTATTGAAAACCGCCACTCACCGGCTAATTCTGGGAAACCTGCACGCACCAGCTCTTTGTACAGGTGCTTGACTGGCGTGTCCTGCATCACCAGGGTCCCATGCAGCCAGATGAGCAGAGCCCTGTAGCCGTGTTCTTGGAAGCTGTCCTTCCCTGAGCCACACACAAAAGGTCAGAGGCCAAACACCACCTGCTGATGATGTCTCTTTTTATTGCTGTGATCTCGATTCTGAGGTTTCTCTCTGGCTGGGGTTGCAAATTCACTCCTCTCCTGATGAATGTTAGTTAGGTCAAGGCCCAGTGGATGAGAGCCCTTCCAGTTGGCCTCACTGGGGCTGCCTCTGGGTAACCAGTGTTCGGACTGACCCCAGTACTTCCCATGCACCTACTGGGTATGACCTAGCCCTAAGGAGCTGATAGATTGTACAGCTGTGTCCCTGCCCTGCAGTCATGAGCCATCTCGATGAGAAGTGGAGCTTTTCAAACACAAAGGGCATTGTCTCACCTGGGGATCTTGTAAAAATGCAAATTCTGGGGACTTCTGGCCAAGATGGAGGCGTAGGTGGACACACTGCCTCCTCTCACAACCAAAATAAGTACAACAAAAATTTAGAAACAAAATAACCAGAACTGACAGAAATCAAACTGTATGGAAGTCAAACAGCCAAGGAGCTGAAATACATGCATTCATCCACACTGGTAGACGGGGCAGAGTCCAGCGGCTAAGCAGAGAGGGGTTGCAGCACAAGAAGCAGTGACACCGAGTTCGCAAGGCACCCTAGGTGTGCAAGACAGCAAAAGGCAGACCCTGGGAACCAGGCAGCAGTTGGAAGACCCCGGGTGTGGGGTGGATACAGGCAGACCCAGCGAAGGGACGAGTGTAAAGCAAGGCACTGTACGCAAGGTGGCTGGCTGACCAGGTGGTCCCACGTTTGCATGCAGATAACTGGGGAGCAAGACAGACTATGCAACCCAGGGTCCCAGCACTGGGAAATAAAGCGTCAAAACACTGATTGAAAACACCTGTGGGGATTGATGCATAGAAAGAAACTCCCAGCCTCACAGGAGATTTCAATGGAGAGACCCACAAGGTCCTAGAATGCACACAAGCCCACCCACCCAGGAACCAGCATCAGAAGGGCCCCATTTCCTTGTGGGAAGCGGCAGAGGGGACTGAAATCCAAGAGAAAGTAAAGCAAGCACCATTGCTCCCTCTCTGAGCCCGCCCCAACATACAACATCACAACCCAGCAACTGGGTTGCCCCACCTAAGGCTCCGCCCCTTACTACGTAACACGTGCAACAAGACAAAAAAAAAAAAAAATGGCCAAAACAGAAGAACAGATCAAAGCTCCAGAAATAATACAACTAAGTGACCAAGAGCTAGCCAACCTATCAGGTGCACAGTTAAAAACACTAGTGATCAGGATGCTCACAGAATTGGTTGAATTTGATTGCAAATTAGATGGAAAAATGAAGGCTATGCTAAGTGAAATGAAGGAAAATGCACACGAAACCAATAGTGATGGAAAGAAAACTGGGACTCAAATCAATGGAGTGGACCAGAAGGAAGAAAGAAACAACCAGACAGAAAAAAATGAAGAAACAAGAATTTAAAAAAATTAGGACAGGCTTAGGAACCTCCAGGACATCTTTAAACGTTCCAACATCCAAATTATAGGGGTACCAGGAGGGGAAGAGGAAGAGCGACAAGTGGAAAACTTATCTGAACAAATAATAAAGGAGAACTTCACCAATCTGACAAAGGAAATAGACTTCCATGAAGTCCAGGAAGCTCAGAGAGTCCCAAAGAAGTTGGACCCAAGGAGAAATGCACCAAGACACATCATAATTACATTACCCAAGATTAAAATGGAGAGAATCCTAGAAGCAACAAGAGATGAGGGGTCAGTTACCTACAAAGGACTTCCCATTAGACTGTCAGCTGATTTCTCAAAAGATACCTTATAGGCAAGAAGGGACTGGAAAGAAGTATTTCAAATCCCTTCTTGAAAGACAAGGACCTACATCCAAGATTGCTCTATCCAGCAAAGCTTTCATTTAGAATGAAAGGGCAGACAAAGTGCTTCTCAGATAAGGTCAAGTTCAAGGAGTTCATCATCACCAAGCCCTTATTATATGAAATGTTAAAGGGACTTATCTAAGAAAAAGAAGATAAAAAAGATGAACAGTGAAAGGACAGCAAACTCACAATTATTAACAACCACACCTAAAACAAAAGGAAACTAAGCAAACAACTAGAACAGGAACAGAGCCACAGAAATGGAGACCACATTGAGGGTTAGCAACAGGGGAGTGGGAGGAGGAGAAGAGGGGAGGAGGTACAGAGAATAAGTAGTGTAGAAGGTGGGGAGAAAATAGGGGGAGGGCAAGAGTAGTGTGGGAGATGTAGAAGCTAAAGAACTTGTGACACATGGACATGAACTAAAGGGGGGGAAGGTGGGTGGGAGGGAGTGTGCAGGGTGGAGGGGAGTGAAGGGGGGAATGGGACAACTATAATAGCATAATCAATAAAATATATTTTAAAAAATAAAATAAAATGCAAATTCTGATTCAGTCGGTCTGGGGTGAGGATCTGCATGTCTAAAAAGCTCTCAGGTGCTGCTGTTGTTGCTGCTGTCCGTCACCCGCACTCCAAGCAACAAGCATGGACTGTCCCTCTGCTCTAGTTCCTGACAGAAGTCTGCATCCTCACCATCTGGGGCACTACATACTGGACCAAATACTCACTGGACACTGAACGCTGAGAAGTGCTGGGGGAGGGGTGCTGGAGTGTGGAGATGAGAATCCACTGGCAGGAGGGTTCTCATCCAAGCAGGAGTTCACAGTTACAGACACATGACCGGCTTCTAGCTCTATCAAGTGTGTGCCCCTGAGCAGACAGATGCCACAAGAGAAGGGACTGAGCTCCAGGGAAGGAGTTTGTTGGACAGACTGTTGAAGGGGCAGGCATTTTGGAGAGAGCAAAGTACATGCATGCAAAATGTACTCTGAGGTGAATCCTCTTAATCTTACCCTTCCCAAACTAATTTTTCTCAAATATCATCAATAACATGTCACTCTTTTGCTCAAAAGTCCACAAACTCCCTAGTGCCAGTACCTGGATCACAGTATAAGCAGATCGTGAATGTTACTGTTAGACCAACTGGAGTATAAACTCCCTCAAACATGCACCGGTTTACCCAGGAGATGTACCCTCGCCTGTCCTAAACACGCTCTAACCACTCTAACATTGGACTGCAACATTTCAAATTCCCCTTACCCTGATGGCAAGTACTCTGAGGGTACACTGTAGTTCCAACTCATTTCTTTAGGTCGAGAGATTTCCAGAAGACATCTTTCCTTAAGACTTCACAGAACACTATAGATGTCTAATTAATGACAAGGGATAAATAACAAAGAATTCTTTTTGGAAACTGTAGTCAAGAGTCAACATCCATTTTCTTCACATGAAGTCATGTTGTTAGAAGTAGCCATGAACATGCCATAATTTGTGGTACAAGTCACACATGCCCACGGGCTGTGCTTCTGCACCTACGGTCCCCAGCAGGAAGCAATTCGAACTGGCCTCAGCATAGGACGCATTCACATCTCATTGTATTCACGACGGGAAGTGCTGTAAGTAGGAAATTTTTCCAAGAAAAGTGTTTCCTTCTGTGTTTAATTAGTTGGTTAATGCCAAACAAACTCTATATTTTCTAGATTTGGGCCAAATCATTAAGAAGCAAAGCTAAGGACTCCGGCTGACGTGACTTCATTAATCCTGACAGCTAGCCTGGCTGAATGAGTTCATGGCTCAGCATCCTCTGAGGGAGCCCAGAGTCTGTGTCCCTGGCACTTACTTGGAAGATCTGTCCCCAGGAAGGACTGCTATCCCTAACACGGAATGCCTCCTGCCACATCATCTATGCCACGCTCACCTGACCACTGTTCCTTGATAGCTCTGATCTGGTCCTCCGTGAAGTTCCACGAACGGGCCAGCCTCTGCCACTCACTGGCCTTCAGCTTGGTGGTAAGCCAGGTGCCAGAGGAGACTGCAAATACGCTCAGTCTCCTGACTGTGATCTTGCTTGAATGTCAGAGGAAAGTTGGTTGTTGGGACCCTGATGTTCTCACCATGCTTCTAAATCAAAGTATCAGATGGTTTCAGACTTACTGCCTTTTCCTCTTATTGCCTTATTACAGAATATATATTTTCAGATATAACTTGGTAAGGTGGTAAATGAGACCACGCTTTCAATGTTACCTGCTATTGGATCATTTCTGTCATTCAAAATGTAGACAAACATCTGAAATAAAGAGCTTGAATACTCTCTGTCTGACACAGATTAATGTAAGGGATTTTCAGTGTCATGTCCCTTGCTTCTGTCTCAACCTGCTATTTACCACCCTCCAAGGAAAACAGAGGTGATACCTTGGCTAAAGAAATGTCACAACAGCAGATGCATCTTTAATTGAATCATTCTTCCATACCTCTCTCCAGCCGTAGTATTATTCTGCTTTTATGAGCATGTCCATGACAAGTCTGTGGTTGCTCCTGGAGGCCACAGCCAAGGCCGTCTTCCTTTGCTAAAAGTTGAAAATGAAAATGTCAGGTGATGTAGCCTCGTGGTTAAGAACTCTAAAAAACAAGAGAGCCTGGGTCCAGGTCTGGATCCTACTGCTTCATTGACAGGTGAACCTGGACCACCAGTCCTTAGCTTCTCTCCATCTCAAGAACTACCCCATGGTGTAGTGGAAGAGGCATATGTGATAACACATGTCATGCTCTTAGGACAGCGCGTGACATGTGCAAATTGTCCAAGAAATAGTAGATATTGATAGTGTCTGGTGCTGTAGCAACTGGTCAAAGGAAAGAGTTTGGGTTCAGGGACCCACCATCAACAAGTAACGTTTTACACAGGGTCTATCAACGAGAACCCAAATGTTTTCCAATACCCTCAGGGGTCTCCCTGGCTCACTGCACTGGGCTGTCCTCAGCAAATAACGTGCTTCTACATTCTTCTCCTCAAAGGCAGACTCCACCTGTGGCAGAAGCTTTAGCCAGTGGCCATGCCCCAGCCCTCAATTGCCTTTTCTTCCTTTCTTCTATAGGAAGAGACCTCTGAGTTTTAGCTGGGCATTTGCCATTCTAAACATTTTCTAGCTTTCCTTGCGTTTAGGCATGTGACCTAAGTTCTGGCCAATGGTATAAAAATGGAAGTGGCACACACATCTTCTGGGAAGAATCTTTAGAGGGAGGAAGGGCGTCATTCTCCTTCCGTTCCTCTTCTTCCTGAGTAGAATGCTGTCACTAGTGCAGGACCTTATACGGCCACCTTAGACCTGGAAATGGAAGCCATGTGTTGAGGCAGGCAGAGTAGTGAGACAGAAGAGGGCTGGACCTTATTAAAAGTAATATCAAACGTGACAACATGACTAGTTCATAGTACAGAATTCAGATTGCTGGACTCCTCGCTAGAACTTTTTTCTATTATATCATACTGCTTCTAACCCAGCGTGATGGTTGGAATCTTAACCAAACAGAATGATCGGTAAGGGCTGTTCTAGACATTTGGGGCATGAGTGGTCTGGTGCCCATACGGTACCTTACACAAATTACAAAAGACACCTCAGTCATGATAGATACATACAGGTTTGCAAACAGTGTCCCCTAGATATGTTTCCCTAGATTTTATGCAGCACATGATCTAGACGTCTCTACATGTTTTTTTCCTGAGCAAAAGGTGGTGGTTTTCATTTGTTTTGCAAATCACCCATGAAATTTTGTTCAAGAATCCTTACGAGAATTATAATGAGTGGTCAGACATACCCCAAAAGAAGTTCCAACCCGGGGGGACTTCCGCCAAGATGGAGGCATAGGTGAACACGCGTGGTGCCTTCTCACACAACCAAGTTTAGAGACAACTAAATATTAGCAACAGAAAACACAGCCAGACACAGAAAATTGAACTTTTCGGAAGTCTGATAACAACAAATTCTTCAGCCTGACCGGTAAGGGGCGAAACCAGCAGCTGGTGGAGCGGGGTTGCACAGGAAAACTCGGTCAGACGGACTCAGGTGCGCGGAATTCAGGCGCAGGGTTGGACCTAGTGAGAGACCGAGCAAGCGACCGAGCGAGCGACCTCGGGGAAACAGCGAGGAAGCAGGGCTGCGGGTTGACTGTGGTCGCACATTGGTGCGCGGATAGACAAGCAAGGGAGTGGGCGATTGGACTGGGACCCAGCGGGTCCCTGCGGCAAGCGGCAGCGGAGGGCGCCGCCATTTCCCGGCTCTGACCCCACCTCCACATACAGCGTCATAACCCAGCGACTCTGAGTGGCCCAGCCCTGGTGAACCACCTAAGGCTCTGCTCCTCACCCAGCAGCTCGAAACAGCAGAGGGTACCGCCATTTCCCCGCTCTGACCACACCCCCAAATATAGCGTCACAACCCAGCGACCTGGGAGTCCAGGGCTCCGCTCCTCACACTTAAAGGGCACGAACAGACCAAAAATGGCTCGAGAAGATCTCAAAGCCCCAGAGCCTATAAATCTAAGTGATGAAGAAATAGCAAAACTCTCAGACGCATGGTTTAAAACACTGGTGATCAGGATCCTCACAGAACTGGTTGATTATAGCCACAAATTAGACAAACATATGAAGGCAAAACTAATTGAAATGAATGGAATTGCACAGGAAACCAATAGCGATGAAAAGGAAACTGAGACTCAAATCAATGGAGTGGACCAGAAGAAAGCAAATAATGGCCAAACAGAAAAGAGTGAAGAAACAAGAATTCAAAAAAATGAGGAGAGGCTTAGGAACCTCCAGGACATCTTTAAACGCTCCAACATCCAAATTATACGGGTACCAGAAGGGGAAGAGGAACAGCAACAAGTGGAAAACTTATTTGAACAAATAATAAAGGAGAATTTCCCCAATCTGGCAAAGGAAATAGACTTCCAGGAAATCCAGGAAGCTCAGAGAGTACCAAAGAAGTTGGACCCAAGAAGAAACACACCAAGGCACATCATCATTACATTAGCCAAGATTAAAATAAAGGAGAGAATCCTAGAAGCAGCAAGAGCTAAGGGGACAGTCACCTACAAAGGAGTTCCCATCAGACTATCAGCGGATTTCTCAAAAGAGACCTTACAGGCAAGAAGGGGCTGGAAAGAGGTATTCCAAGTCATGAAATCCAAAGACCTACAACCAAGATTGCTTTATCCAGCAAAACTTTCATTTAGAATGGAAGGCCAGATAAAGTGCTTCTCAGATAAGATCAAATTCAAGGAGTTCATCATCACCAAGCCCTTATTATATGAAATGTTAAAGGGACTTATCTAAGAAAAAGAAGTTAAAAAAACATGAACAGTGAAAGGACAGCAAACTCACAGTTATTAATAACCACACCTAAAACAAAAGCAAACTAAAAGGACAGCTAGATCAGGAGTAGAAACATAGAAATGAGGATCTCAAGAAGGGTTAGCAACAGGGGAGTGGGAGAAGGAGAAGGGAGGAGAAGGTACAGAAAATAAGTAGCATAGACAGTAGATAGAAAATAGATGGGGGGGCAAGAATAGTATGGGAAATATAGAATCTAAAGAACTTGAGACACATGGTCATAACTAAAGGGGGGGTAATGGGGATGGGGAGGTAGGGTGGAGGGGAATGAAGGGGGGAATAGAACAACTGTAATGGCATAATCAATAAAAAATAAATACATTTTAAAAAAAAGAAGTTCCAACCCTAGGAACCGATGTTTCTATTCTTAGGGATCCACGAATGTATCCCAGTAAATCTCTCATACATGACTATTTGCAATTCCCACCATCCCAAGTGATTTGGCTGTTAATTCAGGCATTAAGATGGAGGTGAGCCTGAAAATTAAGGCTGAATGTAATCAGGTTCTAATCAAAAGAGACGGTAATGAAATTAGGAAGAACTGCATTTTGCAGGCATTTAGTAAGCCTCTAATTGTACACTGTTTAAATTCTGGTTTGTAAAGCCATTTGCGTCATCATAATTAGTCTATTTTGGGAAGGCAGCATTCTGAGAGCCAGAGTCTCCAGGCTCCCAGGAAACCTTTCCTGGGAGTGTGTGCTGGGGTGGAAATCTAAACACTGAAGCCATTGAGGGGAAAAGGCCCTCGGGGGCCTGGTGACGTAAGTCTCAGGCCCAGAGAACAGGCTTCTGAAAAATCAAATTTACACCAAATCTCGGCTCCTTTTATCCATTAGATCTTAATTCAGTTTTAGAAACAGTCACTTATCTTTGGTAAAAATTGTAGGAGCAGATAGAAAAAGTAGCTTTTATTCATTAATTAAATATGGATTTGGTGCTAGCTATATTCCAGACCCCGAGAAGAAAGAGGGAGGAGGAGAATGGAAATCAGGGAAAGTCACATTGTGAGGTCTAGTAAACTGCGGGCTTTCATTCTGAAAACAAAACCAAGTGGTAGCAGTAATGGCGTTTACCGGAGCAGCCAGTGCACTAGCACCAGGGGACCCAACGGGAATTCCCTGCCGCTCCAACCTAGATTCTCTACCCACAAGACTTCCCTGGGGCCGTGACGTATTCATGAGAAAGTAGAATAAAGTACAAAAAGAAAGCATAGAAAAATACTAACACTAAATGTTAATACTAATGCTGAATGCTATCAGAAGTTAACTGGTGGGATTCTACCTAGGTGATGAATTATGGGTTATTGTGTTTTCCTAATGATTTTCTACGTTTTCCAGATTGTCCGCAGAGGGCTTGTATTACTTTTATGATCAGAAAAAAATTTTAAGTTAATTTAAAAAACCAACATACAGAGATATGTAAAATAGCACGTCACTACTTCAGATCCTAAAAATATAAAATAGGTGATTCTGAAATCCAGCAGGATGGATTCAGGCTCACCCTAGGAATTAGGGATGCGCTGAGCTGATGGATGGTGTGCGGGAGACAAGGGCAGGAAAAGCTGCAAGTTGTGGAAGCTGCCTTTGCTGCCAGTTCTAGGAAAGCACTGGACAACCAACTGGCCAGTAGCCTTGGGTCTGAAGCCAGGCTTTTACTATATGTGCATCCTGCTGTCATTAAATCGCTCAAATCTTGTTTTGAAAACGGGGATTATTTTGTCTGCCTCACAGCGAAGATGTCAAGACTGAAAGAACACAGAATGTGTGTGAGCCCCCAACAGGGCTGCCACACAGCAGTCTCCCGTGTGTGCACCTTTCAGTGAAGCTGGACTCTAACGGCAGTCGTCTTACTCCCCTCTGACAGCTGAGCCAGCACTACCTCATCCAACAAGTCTGCGCAGCAGCCAAGAGGAGAGAGCCACCCAAATGTCCCCACAAATGGAAGAATAAAATGCGGTACAGTCATACAATAAATACAACTCAGCCTTAAAAAAGGAATCAAATTCTGACACACACACAACATGAATGAACCTTGAGGACACAAAGCTAAGTGAAATAAACCAGTCACAAAAGGGTCAATACTGTGTGGTTATACTTACCATATACTGGTAAATCCTGTATGGTTATACTTACATGAGGTACCGAGAGACAGTTTGAATGGCAGTTGCCAGGGGTTGGGGGTGGTGTGGACGAGAAAACGGGTGGTTGTTGTCCACAAAAGTTCAATTTCGTAAGATGAAAAGTTCTAGAGATTGGTTGCAGAATAGTGTGAATGTAATTAACAATACTAAACTGCACTCTTAAAATGGTTAAGATGGTAAATTTTATGTTATATGTATTTTAGAATTTAAAAACTTTTTAAAATAAAGAAAACAAGTTTAGACATGCATGTGTCCATTTATTCATGGCATCTCTTTTTATAATAACACCTCTTAGGAACAATTTAAATGCCCGTCGGCTGAGGATTAGTTAAATTAACAGTGTGTCCATACCACAGTCTATTACGCAGTTGTGCAAAAAAGAATGAAGAGACCGTTCACGTACTTACATGGGAGGGTCCCCACTTTCTGTTGTTAAGGCAAAAAAGTCGCGTGCAGAGCAGTATGCGGAGGCACGTCGCCACTGTGCAGAGAGGACAGAGGAGCGGCAGGAGATGCAGCACACTTCTGCCTGCTTGTCTCTGCATGGAGACCTTCTGGGACGAAGAGAGAAGCGCATAATAATGGATTTACGGGGCAAGGGTGGCAGGGGTAGGGGAAAACTTATACTGTCAAACCTTTCCTAATTATATGTATTTTTAATTGAACCATATGAATCTATAATCTTTTCAGAAAGTTAATAATTTGAGTTTTAAAAATACATTTTTAATTGTTCACAGTTAAATTTCTTACTGACCTATCTTAATAAAAAATGGGATGTTTTACTGACTATCAAGGCACAGGTTTTCTCCAGTTTGTGTCCATTTCTCACAGGCTATGCTGCTGCTAAGGGCGGAACGCCTACACGGTGTTCTGGCAGCCACCTTAGCTGAGCGGGGTGAAAGCACCTCACCAGCAGCCTTCAGATGGCAGCCTGCCTTCAGCAGCGTTCCCCCAGTTCCACATTTCCAAGGTCAGCAGCCAGGTGCAAAGGAGCCTGCTGCCTCTGCCACGAGAAACTTCAGAAACGTCATCCACACACACTACAAAGGGGGGGAATGAGCATCATGAAAAGACAAAGGGAAAAATACAGATGGCCTATATAGGCATAAAAAAAAGAGACAAAGTCACATGTTTTTAAGTAGGTGCAGGGGACATTCATGGTAGTGTTGTTTATGGCAGTGAAAACTGTTAGGAAGTTACACATTTAACAAGGAGATTCATTAGATGAACTATCGTGTGTCCACATATTATAACAGTAAGCAACTATTAAAAAGGTATTTAAAAAATTTTTTTCAATATGAAGGAAGTACCCAGAATAATCAAGTTCATGGAGACAGAAAGTAGAATGGTGATTGCCAAGGGCCGAGGGGGGAGGGTGGGCAGTTATTATTTAATAAGTATAGAGTTTCAGTTTGGGAAGACAAAAAAGTTGTAAAGATGGGGAGAGGTGTAGTTCTTCAATAATGTGAATGTACTCAAGGCCACTGAACTGTACATTTACGAATGGTTAGAAAGGTAAATTGTATGTTATGTGTATTTTGCCATAATAAAAACTGGTTTCAAAGATTGTTTTTTTTAAATGAAAAAATACTTACTTAACATTAAAAGCCTTAGGAAATAAGGAAATGACATTGTATTTAGCCAAGCTATCTCTCTCTCTCTCTCTATACACACACACACACACACACACACACACACACACACACACACACACCATTGTTAACATAAGAAGAACAGTTTGTGTGACATCGATGTAACCTTGCAGCCAAGGAGAAGACTGGAATGCACATGTGAACAATGACAACTTCAGTGTACCAGTCAGTGGGAGTGGTAGATTCTGTTGAATGATCATGTGTATACTGTGTGGTCATTGCATTGAAAATAACTCAGCAAGTAGAACAACAAATATGCATCAACTTTTGCATTAAGCTCAAACATTCCTTCACGAAAACCATTTGGATGATTGAGAAGGCCGCAGCTACGGGCAGCTGGTGACTGGCAGTCTCACCATGACAACACGCCTGCTCACGCATCACATCGCATACAGAGTTTTTCTGAGAAACATTGAATCACCCAGGTGACTCAGCCCCGCTACAGCCCAGATTTGGCGCCCTGCAAATTCCAGCTTTTCCCAAAACTAAAATCACCTTTGAAGGGGAAGAGATTTCAGAGTGTTGATGAGATTCAGGAAAATATGATAGGACAGCTGATGGTGACTGGGAGAACTATGTGAGGTCCCAAGGTGCCTACTTAGAAGGGCACTAAGGCATCATTGTCCTGTGTACAATGTTTATTGTACCTTGTATCTTCTTCAAGAATTGTCTCTATTTTTCATTTACATGGCTGAATGTTTATATATATAAAACTCAATATACATAAGAAAATAGCCCTGGCTGGTGTGGCACAGTGGACTGAGTGTTGGACTGTGAAATGAAGGGTCGCTATTTCGATCTATTTCGATTCCCAGTCTTGGGCACATTCCTGGGTTGCAGGCCAGGTCCCCAGTAGGGGGCACGTGAAAGGTGACTACACATTAAAGTTTCTCCCCCTCTCTTTCTCCCTTCCTTCCTCTCTCTAAAAATAAATAAATAAAATCTTTTAAAAAAAGAAAATATATCAACAATGTTTTTAAATGATAATATCTAGATGGAGGGATCAGAGTTTATTTTTATTGCCTTCTCCATTTCATATTTTGTAAATTTCCTGCATTGTAATATAGAAAGAACAACAAGACTTTTAATTTTTTTCTGGAATAATAATTTTCCTATCAAGAGAATGAGAGTGTTTCAACAAATTACATGAAATCTCAAGAAATCATCTATCATAACCTCTCATCCAGACCACTGCTCATGTGAAACATTTCTAAACTGTTAGGACAGAAAGAACACTGGTTATGATACAGCCCAGCCCCGAAACCAGACAGAGGAAACAACTTTCCCAGGGTCACACAGCCGGGCAATAACATCTAGCCCGTACTTGCACAGGGACAATTTGCTTAGGATGTTAGCATAATTAAAGTAGAAAAGCACTTACTAAAGACCCCCTTTGGCCAGCAGTGTGCCCTCAGGGGGCTCATCATCCAAGACATTATTACATTTACACTGACAAACCTATTGAAGGTCTGTACCAACATGGAATAGAGACACAAGTGTAATACGTCAAATGCCAATGAAATTTCATGTGACAGTGGTGTTGTAAGTCTAGAAGGCAGGAAACTGCCCCAAAGTGTTAAGAGTTCTCTTTTGGGGGGGAATTACAAACAAATTACAAGTTGTCAGCTTATTTATGTTTTCTTATTTTTATACATTGAGTGTATTCCTGGTCTACCAAAAAAAAAAAGAAATGATGAAGTCTGGCTCTGTAACTGGAGGGTAGTCTGTGGAGTGGACTTGGCCAGTTGTGGTGAAACCAAAACCACATCTGTGTTCTGTCTGTGTGTGTAGCAAAAAGCCTGCCCATGAGGAAAGACTGGGGGCACTGACATATTTGAACACATGATTATATTTAATAACATGAGGAGTTTTTCTTTCCCCAAACTTTTGGGATAGTAAACAATGAGGGGGGAGGAAGGCCCTGGGGAAGGAAAGGACCAATGGGGAAATAAGTCTCCATTCAGCTCAAGGCACAGACGACCTCACAGGAGAAGACTGCAAAGATCTGAGCCGGTGCTCTGGTTGGACAAAGGAGAAGCAGAGTGTTATACAGCCGGTGAGCATGGCCCAGCCACCTGGCCTGGCTGGTCCCCACCCAGAGGGCTCTGCTGAGGCTACTCTGGGAAGAGGCAGAGAAAGGCAGGAGGAGCCCAGAGGTCTCTGTCCTCAAGACTCTGGAAAGGCTCCTCTCTGAGTTTCTCTTCCCAGTCCCTCCCTCCAACTCCTGGAGGGGGCAGCCCAATGCCAGGAGCAGGCCCTGAGGCCAAGGTGCCCCTCCCCATCCTTGTTAGTCGTCCACCGCTGCCATTTCCAGCCAGTGACAGATTCTGGTTATGAGGAATATGATTCTGCTCCAGCGGATTGCATTCATGGTGATTTTTTTATATGAAGATTTTGCCTCTGGGCTAAAAGAAGACACATTTACTGTCTATAATATAATATAGAAGCAAAGCTTCCTTCTAGAGGTGAAGGGCTCCCCCAGTTACAACATTTCATACAGGGTGAGTGGCTTTTCATTTAAAGAGCCTCTGGCAATTTACCTCTGAACTATTGCTTATCAGAAGGGCTGGGCCTGTTAAATGAATGTACTGGCTGAATCCCAGTTGTACATTTGAAAAAGACACAGTATTTATTTGCAGGTTACAGAAAAACAAAGGAAGAAGAAAAAGAACGTGCACATTCTTCCCAAGAAATTTTAAAGTACCTTGAATTTGATCAAAACTACCCCTAAACACACACTGAGTTGAAACACATAAGAAAATAGACACTCCGGGTGCTGACTTGCTTGATACGATGTCAGTGTCATGCTGTGCACTTAATAAGCTGTTTACTACGGTGACATGGTTGTTGATAACAGCTAAATGAAGAGGGGACTCCTTAGGCTGCAGGAAGAAATGAAAACTTCAAATCCAAAATATTCTGGCTTCATCATTCAGATCAAAAGCAACTCATTTCAGCAGACACTTCCTGATACTCTGCTGAGTACTGAAGGTAAGTGTCCAGCTGTCATTTCCGTACCAACAGTACGCAGCAAACCTGCTCACCAGCGATTGGTTTCTCCCTTCATCACTCTAGAACTATACACTGAGCACCTGCCGTGGGCCAGGCTGAGGACTGAGTGGCGAGCATGGCCCATTCTCCGAAATCTTCCAATTCAGTGCAGTAAGCAACTATTAACTGTTTCTAGTCACTATATATGTATATATACACACAATTACAAATTATGATAAGTGCTTTAAAGGAAAAGTAGAGAGTAGTATGAGAGCACATGTCAGGGTTTGGCAGAAGGCTGACCTCATTCTGGAGGTCAATAAAGGCTTTCCTTAAGAACTGACATGTGAGCTCAAATGTTAAGAATAAGAAAGCAATTAATAGGCATAACTGCAGGACTTCTCAGAGCCTTCAGAGAGCTACAGTGCAGTGGGAAGAGCCACCAGGAGGAAACAGCAATCACATCTAGCATTTCCTGAACTGATTTGATCTCAAGCTCTCCCCACTCACCCAGAGGCACCATTCTTGTGCTCAGCCCTCCAACCAACATGGAGTTCTGCCGTGATGTATTCACCACATACTTGCAACCTGCTTCCCTTTCCTTCTTGTTTCTGGCTAAAATTCCTGTTTTCCGGCCACACCCCCACACTCTCACTCATCTCCACCTCGTGCTCCTTGCCCAGCCCTCTGGGCGGCAGTGCCCACCTCCAGGAACACACTTGGCCTCTTGCTGCCTCAATCTCACCCAGCTGCCACCGGCCCCTGAAGGCATGAGAGACAAGATGTTTCCAGGGCAAAGAAGGCAGCTGAAAGCAGGGGAGGGGAAGAACAGAGCTGTGAGGGAGAGTGAGGTGAGAGGCATCCCGTGGAGAGGACTGGAGGCGGGTGTGAAAGCACAAGGGCAGAAGATCCAGTGCGACTGGTGAAGAGTCGCTGTGCTGAAAGCAAAGTGAGTGAAGGGAGGAAGGCAGGTGTGTGTGAGCATGGGTGAGGATGGAGGCGGTGGTGCTCAAGTGGAATGGGTGTTTATAAACAGCAGTTACTTGCATCCAATGTGTTCTTCTAATGGTAGTGAGTATACTCACTTCCCCAACAGTACTCTGTATTAAATACAACTTTTCATTCGCAATAACCCTAGCAGTTAGGTTTTCTACTCCCTGAGTGGTATATGAGGCACAGAGAGATTAAGTAACTTCCACTAGTCATAGGAGTGAGGAAGTGGCAGACACAGGATGTGAACCCAGATCTTCCTGATGCCAATATTGCATCAGGCTCCTCCCCAGAAAACAGGGGTAGATTGACAGAAGAGAGATGTGGTGAGCTGGCAGGTGTGTCAGCAGCACACAGAGGACGAGGAGAAGAAGGGGCACGTAGGATGCCATGGCTATGTAAATCAGGTTGTCTGAGGGTGAGCCAAGGAAACGGGAGACAGATGGGGCTGCAGCGGGCAATGTGAGGGGAAGGCTTTCTGTGCGGGACCCTTCCACTCAGGAAGGGAAGAAGGAGGGAGGGGGAGGAGGAGGGAAGGGAGGAAGGAAGAGCAGGCATCCCTCTTCCCAGGAAGTGGGCAGTGTCCTTCCTGCTGGGACCACCAGCCTTGCTGGGGCCCAGCCCCTCCTGAGACACAGGAAGCATCTTTGGACCAGCCAGGAGAGTTCAGGGCCAGTTCCCTTGACGCCATTCTCTGAAAACGACCAGTCATGATTCAAATCACATCCCTTCTCTTGAGTTCATACAAGAAATAGTAATGGCTAAGCATGATCAGAGGAAATAATATTCTCCCAGGAGAAATGAAAACATAGTGAAAAATAGAGGAATGTTTCCCATCTAATTCCAGCACAGAGAACTTTTGTAAATTTTACCAAAGCCAATTCAAACTTCAAAAAACCTAAATCAGCATAAAGGATTGATTTTCAAAAGAAAAACAAGATTGTTCAGTGAAGGGGGTAGAAATAATCATTCTCATTCCTATTGACAGCAGCTTCATCATTTTCCCAGACTGATAAGTTTAATCCAAGAATAATGGCATCTCTAGACACATGATAAAGTTTTATTACTGTGAATATAAATATTTAAAGCACACAGATTTCATTTTGTTCAGGAACTTCAATGACTTTCTAAAATTCAACCCTTGGATTTTATTTCTCAAGATTAAGTCTCAGCCTCCAAAAGAAGTCAGCTGGCCATCCCAGAAAGAATTCCTCCTTTGTGAACACCTCATCCCCACCATGTATCTGCAAGGAGCATCTCTCAGCACAGCCCGCCTCCCAGCCGGATCAAAGCCCGAGTTATTAGCATAGACTCACTTCCCCATTCTGGTGCAGATCAACATTCTCACTGAGAAGAAAGCCGACAAGCGATGCATGGCCATTCTGGGTTGCTATCTGCAAAGCACTGACACTGAGCTGCAAGACAGGTGAAGAGGGCCCAGAGGGATTCCTGTTAGAATCCAGCATGCTTTCTGGTTGATCACATGGCAATCAAATAATACAACAAAGTAGTACAACTATTTAATAAAGAAAACCCAATGTGTTTTTGGTAATTTGCAGGGTGTGGGCACTTGGTTACTTCTAAGTGTCTCCCAATAAAGAGTCAGAGTCCTAGGTAATACATACCTAGGACTAGATACCTCTTGTCTAGGAAGTACAAAGTAGACTAGTGACAAGTCTTTCTATACATCCTGCAAACCCCCTCCCTGAGCCAAAATAGCTGACTTGGTCCCAAGAAAAGCCCTGGCATTCTCCTGCCTCCCTGACTATTTGCTAGCAGCTCTCCCCTCCGGCATAGCTCAGCGGGATTGCTGCCTACGTGCAGTGTTCCCTCGTGGCCCCTTTCCTCAACTCCTTTAGCACCTCCTCTCCTTCACTGCCAGCAGCTGTGTCCCACAGCTCCCTGTGCTCCGATGTCTTCAGTCAGTGTCCACATTAGGTGCCAAAGTGTTTCACATCAGGGCCTGCTTTTAATGATCCTGCCATCCTCCAAAAGGCCTAGCGGGTGCCTTGTAATAATACAAGATCAATTAATAGTGATTGATGAACTCATTGTAAGATCATTATGAAGTATTTTCAGGTCCTCCAAATAAGGATGCTGTAGGATATTACGTTTTCCTAAAAAGGCTGCATAAGTATCTCCCATCCCAGATGCTCTTCTGCAGTGTGACCCTGCCACTCCCCCATCAAGCACTACAATAACAAGTAAGAATAGAACCGGAAGACTACTCCCAGCAAGTAATCAAGAAAGTCTTCTTGGATAGAGTGACATTTAGACTGAGATCAGAATGATAAGAAGGGCCGCAGTAAGGAGATCTGAAGCAGAAACAAGTTTGTGAAGAACCCAATGCCAAGGACCCTGTAGCAGGCAGATCTGTGGGATTTTGCAGCATTGTATCCATGAGGTACTACAAGCTCAGTGCACAGGGCCTGCATGTTACCGAACAAGAGGAGGTGGTCCGAGGGAGGGGCAATACAATATTTGGCCCACCTAGGGATGCCCAAAACTGCTGTACAACAGGGGCCCCTCCCAAAAACCAAAATACTAAAATCTACTGGGCCCTTCTGTCCGCCGCCAATTGGAAACACATCTCTTAATGCCAGAGATTTGTGAAAAGGAAACAAAATGTTTATTTAATGCTATTCAGGCCTAATGCCACCACTAAAATATCAAAGTCCTTTATGTATACACCTACACCCACACAGCGCTCCCTTCCCTCTTGTCCCAACTCCGGGTACCGTAAATCAGGAAAAGAGCACACGTCTGTGTTGCAGGCCGCTGGCACCGTCAGCTGTGTCACTGTGCAGGATCTCGAGTTAATCCAAAGTACTGTGGTACCCTCTCATGGTCCACTGGCAAGAGTCCTTTGTACCCAGTTCCAGTCAAAGTCTCTGTTGCTTTTTCAGGCCCCGCAGCCAAAGGGGGCACCCCAAAGCCGCGTGGGCCTCTTCTACCAAAGCTGCAGGAGTCCGCACTCCACCAAAAGTATGTGGCTGTCTTCTTCACCTGGCTGCAGGGATCTCCATTCTGGCAAAGCTGCGTGGTTTTTCCCTTTCACCTGGGAAAGAGGGGGTCCACACCCTGCCAAAACCACGTGGCTCCCTCTTTCACCTCACCAACAGGGGGTCCTCACTCTGCTGAAACCGCGTGGCTCTCTCGCCAAGCGGGGACCCTTCATGTCCTGGAGCCAGTCTTTTCCAAGCTCCCACCCAGGCCATCTCGCTCAGGAGTGCAGCCCCTAGTTACATTCTGAGTCCCAGCCCTTCTCACTCCGGAGAGCAACCCTTAGCTACATCCTGAGTCTCTGCTAGTTCCTTCTCTCTTCTTCCTTCTGCCTCCTTCTTCCTGGCCCCAAACTTGGCCACTGCTATTTAACATAACTTGGCCACTGCTATTTAACATAACTTGGCCACTGCTATTTAACATATCTATGAAACCAGTTAAAGGTTATAGATATGTTAAATAACCATTCCTCCAGAGGTTAGCTCCAAAACTGTTGCTATGCAAAATAGCTCTCAATGGCCTGGCTCTATTCATTCCTTTCCCCTGTGTGTGGGGGGGGGGGGTGAGGACATCTTATATGTCTCTCCAATATTCCTATACACTTTGAATTCTGGACACTTTTCTAAATCTTTTTCTGGGGGGGCCCCCTTTGGCTGCACCCTGTATCATGCAGACTTCTTAGGGCCAAAGAAATATTTAAAATCTTTAAAAAAAATGTTTCCAAGATACCAAAAGAAACTAAATATCTAAGTGACATATTTATACTTCATTGATAGTTAAATATAATATTCATAAAATATACATTACATTTGTAAACAATTTGTAGGTTAAAGTTTTTCACTTTCCTGAAATTTCCAAGTACAAACAGAGGCCTAAGAAATCAGTCAATCAGCAGTTAGGGGAGTTTATCATATCCAAGCAATAATGAAAGCACAAATTTTAAAAATCCTTTAAAAATTATTTTCAGCAAAAAAAAAAAAACTGTTTAACTTGAAAAATGGGAAAATTTAAACAGGTTTAATAAGGTGAGGATAGGGTCTCCAGAAATATAAATTCTTACCATCTACAAATGTCTTCGCTGGACCTGGGCAGTTAGTAGGGCCCTGAAGGGAGCCTGCTGCCCAGAAGCCTGAGCAGTCTCTCCCCGCAACACTAATGGAGGAACTCTGTACCATCAGCTAAATCCACAATCTACCTCAATTACCTCCTCATAAATGACTCAACCCTTTACCACCCCGTTTGGTTGGGGGTGGGGACACAAAAGCAATCTTGTGGAGACCAAGACTAATCAATGGCAGCAGGTGGAGCACTTCCAGGATCAAACACAGTAATCACCTACAGATGTGAAAGCAAAACAAGTCTAGTGTATCCCCTGAGTAATATCTGTGTGCAGGTGGCTGGCCTCTTGTTTCACAAGGCCTCTTTCCCTGGGGTCCTCACTACATTGGGCAGAGACAGGTGTGGTGGCCAGTAGGAGCTGAGGTTGTAGATCCAGGAAGTATGCTAATGAACTCAGTGGGAAACCTCAAGATAACAAAAGAGCTGAAAAAACGGACTCAGGAGAATTTCCAGGCTGCCTACATGAGGCCAAGACCATAAAGATATGGACAACGTGGAGTCTGTAGTCTTAGACAGGTGAAGAGAAGAGAGCTTGTAAAAGATATTACGAAGGGCCGAATAATTAGGTCCAGAAGGGCGGGAGGGTACACATTCTGAATATTTCCTGGGCCCCATGAATTCTTAACTTCGTGCTCATTTATTGCATAAGTAACCTTGCAACACCAGTGTGACTCACTTTACATTATCTGCATTTTTCATACTCTCACAATCCTGTCTGTGTATATATAAATTGTACATGATGAAAATATATGTATAAACACTATTTTTTTCAATTAGTGTTCTATCATGAATATTTTCTATATTATAATATATTTAGTATTTATAATTCATATTTTTAATAATTTTATTTAGTTATTTTTCAAGTACAGTTTTGTGTCTATTTCTCCCATCCCAGCCTCCCCCGCCCCGTGCTCCCCACCTCCCTCCCATTTCCACCCCCCTTAGTCCTCATCCCTGTGTCCTTATAATTAATATTTTAATGGTACACAATTTTCCATGAAACAGGTGAAGCAAATTTTTATTCAGCCTTTCCTCTACCATTCATTACACTTATAGGTTGTACCTAATTCTTGGCTATTGGAGGAAACTAACATCTCTGTTAATGCCTGAAGCTTTTTCCCCCTTTCATAGTATTCCCTTAAAATAATTTCTCAAAGGTGGGTTGTGAAAGGAAAGTGACAAACTGCTTTTCAAGAGGATTAAATAAATGTATACTCCTGGTAGCAGAATACAAGGATATAAAGCATTATCGGCTAGGACTTTATTCTTTAACACTTCCGAAGAAGAGTTGTTTACACATTGTGCTGATAAGGAACAATCTCCAAGAGATATTGGCAACTAAAACAAAAACAAGGCCCTGGCTGGTGTGGCTCAGTCGGTTGGGCGTCGTCCCACAAAGCGAAAGGTCGCCAGTTCAATCCTTGGTCAGGACACATGCCTGGGTTGCAGGTTCGGTCTCTGGTGCATTTGAGACGTTTCTCTCTCATATCAATGTTTCTCTCCCTTTCTTTCTCCCTCCCTTCCCCTCTCTCTAAAAATAAATTAAAATTTTTTTAAAAAAAAACAAGGTGCAGAGCAACATATATGGTGCCAGTGTGTATATGTGCATGCGTTTAATCACATTTTCCTTGTAAGATTAAATCATCTGTTAATAATGTTAACTCTGAAGAGGTGAAACTGAGATGTGGAGGTGGAATAAGACACTTGCTATCATATACCCTTTGGTACTCTTCAAAAGTTTTTTGTTACTATCATTATAATACAAAACTAATTAGAAAAAAAAAACAGAAAAAGAACATAAAACCATCTGAAGACAAGGCCATAGCAGTGGTTAGAAGCTCAGGCACACAGCTTGAATCTGTACTGCCATTAACTAGTTGTATGACACTAGATGAGTTTCTTAACTTTTCTAAATTCAAGTTTTCTCATCTTAAAAAAAAATGAAGGCAGGTGTGAAAGGATCTGAGCACCGAAGTATTTAGAAAAAGCCTCCATTCTGTTTTCTCCAGGCCCCAGACTGAGCGCTGGGATTTTATATACATAATTTATTTTGCAATACCTACTGTGAATAAGCCAGGTAAGCACTAGTTGCTAGGGGGAAAACAAAGCAGTGTCTCCCTATTTGAGAAATAACAACTATCTGCTCCTTTTGCCCCATTTTAAATTATTCCTTCCCCACATAAATAGGGAGGACAGCATTGCTTTTGAGGAGACAATAATTAGGGAATATCAGATATAAATCATTGATTCTTATCCCAAACCAAGCAAATTATAAGTAGGAATCCTACAAAAGCCCAGGGAGTGGGTCGGCACAGGACCACATTGCCCAGGAAGCATCCCGAGTGCCCCTCACTCGGACACGCAGCACATGCTTCGTTTGGAATGTTGATGTCCCTCCCTGCTCCCAGCAGCACTTTGCTGCATTCTTCATGGCCTCCTGCAGCAGCTAGGAAGAATGGTGTTTCTCCATTCTAACAAAAGGAAATATGTTAAAATTAATTACCTCTTGGCACGGAATGAAATTACTTGAGAAACAACATGCTTTCTCTATATCTTTTATGTATAACTCTTAGTAATGGATGGTGCTTATTAAGCATCTATGTGCCAGCATACACTGCCAAGGCCATATGCTTTGGCTCAGTTAAATTGCATAATAGCCCCCTGAGGTCAGGATTAATACTACCCTCTTTTTACAGATATGGAAACTGAGCCTCAGCTGAAAAGTGGCAAAACTGGGATGCAAGTCCAGCTGTTTGGCTCCAAAACCTGCATTCTTAACTATTGGTTATACAGCCTCCTTTCAGACTTTCCCTCCACCATGTAATAATTCTTAATCTTCCCTCTTAACCTTTATCAATTTATCCAGCAAACATTTATTAGACACCTACTAACCAGACACCTCTTAGATACTACTGGGCACTGGGACTGGAAAGACAAATAGGACACAGACCCTACCCACCAGATGGTAACAGATTGTTAAGAAAGATAATCGCAGAAATAAGGAATTATGATGCAGTGAAACATACAAAAATAGAAGTACACTTGTATCAAGTATAGCTTTAACCTTTAAAACTGATTTAAAATGTTGTATGTCACTAAAAAAAAAGTAATACGCTGTCTTGGTAATTAAGTTTCCTAAAATTTATGATAAACACCAGCAGGACAAAAGCGAGTTTGGATTAGGCCAGAACATAGAGAGAAAAGAAGGAACTGGTCTCACACAGAAGAGCTATTTGGATATTTTCCCCTCCTTGTGCGGATTCTTTCCTATAAATATTGGGAAGGAATGCAGAATTCCTTCCTTACTCCCCAAACATTTCCCCCATTGGATGCTAAGAAAAACATCCTTAACAACCGCATTAGCATACATTCACAAGGGTTTACTTGTAGCTACTTAGATATGAACAGCCATGCTGACAGGGATGCAAGAGCAGGGAACAATATTCCCATTCCGACAAATTGGAAAAGCTGTATCCCAGGCTGTTTTACCTGAGTGCCTGGGACAGCCATCTGTTACAACAGAATTTCTCTTCATAATCTACCTTCTCGTTTTCCAGGAAAAGAGATGCCAAAAGGCAAAGCCCAGTGGAAAAACATTTGCAAAATGTGAAGGAAAGAATTCACATCTTTAACATATTAAGAGCCTAATAAATGTTCATATCTTTGATCCAACAATCCTACCTCTAAGAATATACCAAAAAGAAACAGTGAGGAATTCACACTAAGGTATGTACGAAGAGGTTCACAATAGCACAAAACAAAGAAGCACTGAAATAAACTAACTAAATATGTAACAGACTAAATGAATTTGGGGCCGCCACTACAATGTGTAAATGCATAGGAACTCAAAGGACACTGGCAGAAAAATATATCAGATGTACACAGGACAATCCTTCCAGCGCGGGGAAAATATGAACTGCTATTTATATTTATGCTTATCTCAAGATTTTAAAATGTCTATTTCTGGCATCTGTTTTGTAACACATTTATCTAATTATAAATGTATATGTGATAGGCACATGCACAAACTTTCTTTACTGGTACAAGTTGGCTACCAGCAAATACTTGGACACAGCTGCTCTAGTGCATATTCACATGGGTCACTCCAGCTGCCCTGGCAACAAACAACTTCTACAGAGAAGCAGAGGCAGCCTGAAACCCTATGAGTACTGTGGGCCTTATCCAAAAGGCTAATAATATCAACCGACACTTTATGCAAATGAATCCTCTCACAATCTGTAATTACACTTTGTTGGATGTTATGAGTTCTCTCCAATGTGCCCTAACTGGAAAATAGTTAAAAGGTGGATGAAACCCAAATGCGCACATTCCAATGGTAAAGCACTAGAACCGGGCAAGCACAACGAAGACTTTACATCCTGTGACTGCAGGACTCGATCTCTATATTGATTTATGAATGCAAATCATGCCTGGGGCATACCCGGGGTGATTCGTGTTCACTTTCAGTTTCTAAAACATTGGCCCTGACTTTCATTCAAATAGACCAAGTTCCTGGAATCTTCTTTAATTGAGTTAAATCAATTAAACCTGGTCATCAAGCCAGAGGGTCAGAAAAGAGTGAACTCACACACACAAAACGAAACAAATGGAGGCTCTATTTTTGGCCAGGGTCCTCAGCTAAAAGCCTGGCTTATATTCTTCTGGAAACTGGAAGAGAAAATAGTGAAAGTGGTAACAGTACATACCACTGATACCAACAATAACCACAGTCCCATTCATTGCACCCAGACAACACCATAATAACAGAAGATACCACTTGCTGCACACTTACCACATGTGTAACACAGCCTTTCCATTTAAAGCTCCCAGTGGCCTTATGAGACTATTTTACAGGTGAGGAGATTGAGGCTGAAAAGGCCTAGGTAACATGCCCAAGATCAGCCAGCTGGAAGAGTGATGGAGCCAGGACCAACAGTCAAAGCCCTGCTTTTAACCTCAGCATGTCCAGGTCCAGCGAAGCATCAGATCAGGCTGATGGGCTTCACTGGCCCAAAGGGAATATACTCTTGTCCCAGGCATCACACATGCTCACTTGCGTAGCCTTTAGTTTCCATTATGTTACCCACAGTTGCTGTTTTTATGTCCACACCCCACTGGTTCTAAGTCACATGTTCTTTCATATGTTAACCTATCTGAGATCGGAACCCTTCTCGCAAACTCTGTTGACCAGGCAGCAGGTGTGACACAGCTGTCATTGCTCATTATGTGCAGAATGGCTGTCCCTGGCTTAGAAGACAATCTCAGAAACAATAGTGGGGCACCCTTTGATGACACAGAGGACAATATTTTGTTTGGAAGAGCAAGGACCTCAAGACTCTGAGTAAGAAAGGGATTTAGAAGAATAAGACTCAATGCGTGAAGTACAGGAATACTTAACTCCCTTATTTGTTCCTTTACATATACATAATAAAAAATATAATATAAAAATCTAAAAAACTCTTTCAATAAATACAATGTATTCTAAGAGACAAGAAAGGATTTTTTGTGTCATAGTTTAATTGGCAGGATTATTTTGTAGTATTATATAAAATAATGATGTGTCTTACAATCCATGGTGTCTTAAATGAAATGATTACTATATAATATTCCTTATAGTATCTCTCAGGAGAGGTGCCAAGTTTAGAATTTATCAGAACATTAAAGTCCAAGAAGACTCCACTCATCTGAGTTTCCAGAGAACCAACCCAAAACTCATTGACCCAAAGGTTAAAAAGTGACTGACTATCCAGAGTGAATGACACGAATCTACCTCCACAGCCACAGCCTCTCCACTGAACCTCAGACCCAGTTTTTATCTCCCTATTCTCCACTGAACCACGGACCCAGTTAACCTCTCCCTATCGCTCCCCACCTGAATATACCCCACTGCCCCCCCCCAGGCACTTCAAAGTGAACCCATCTAAACCCTTTACTATATAGCCCCTGCTCACCTGCTCCTCCCCTGTGCTCCACGGCTTAGGGATGGGTACCCCGCCATCCCAACAGTGCAAGCCAGAGAGCTGGAGGTCAGAAAGCCTCTCCTCTCCCTAATCTCTGGTCCTAATTTCTGTGGCCCCCTGCTTTAGCTTATCACCTCATCCTGTTTGCAGCCCACGAGTGCCTTGATGAGAGGCTTTCCAGAGCTTTCCATAGCTCTTGCTTTAGCCATCTGCACAGTCACCTGACTGGGATCCCCCACCCCCACAACCTCTCCAGGCACCATGACAGTTAGTTACCTGCCTACACCCAAGATGGATCCCCTCCTTCTTTGCTGCTTCAAACCCTTCTGCTGCCAACAGGTCAAAGCCAAACCCCCTGCCTGGTAGGTGTAGCCTTTCCTCACCTCTCTGCTTTGGCCCACTCTGCTCCCACCTTTCCTGGCCCACTTGTCCTTTACTTGTGCCCCACTCAACTTGTAACCCCCAGGACACACCATGCTCTTTCACGCCTCAGTTTCTTTATATGGGCTCTTCTTCCTTTATCTGAAATGCTCTGTGCTTGCTTGCATCCCCCTCAAACCTCCTCCTACCATTGTCTATTTAAATGGACCTGGATAATGTATTACCTCCTTGTGAAGCCTGGCTGATTTCTGAAACACAGTTTCCTCAGGGTCCCCACAGCAAACTGTATAGATATATATTATTTAATTTAGCCCAATATATTATTTTGGCATGCCCTTCCTGCCCTATAGGTTTCTAGAATAAGTATATATACTCTACCTAGCATAGCATACATAGTAAACATTTTTTTGATGAATGAGTGAATAAATAAATGGATTAACAAATGAATTGCTATAGGTTACTTAAAAGAAAAAAGTAGGAATCTTTCGGCATCACATTTCACACCCTGTGACATGAACATCTTTGTTTTCTTCTCATTCCTTTCTCAAAAGTTACCCCTGCCACCCTTGTGAGCCCCATGCCCAACTGTGATGAGCACCTCCACGTACCTCACTGATCTCATTCACCTCTTCCCGGCTGGGAGCAGCAGCTGCACCGCAGAGCTGTGACCATGCTTCGCCGCAAGGTGCAGGGCCGTGTTCCCCTCCAGCAACGCAGACACACTCGGGCAGCATCCGCTGTACAGAGAACACGCCCTTTTTCTGGTCAGGCTGCAGTGGGGCTTCTGGGAGGTTTCGTTTGGTTAAAGCTGTGATCCAGGCTGTGGGCCGCATTATCCACAGTTTCAAGTGAAATTTGTAATATTTTAAAGTTTTAACTAAAAATACATTGCTGTTGGAACTAAAAGGAAAAAACTCTCCATACTTTTTGTTAAATCTTTGCTGCCAATTTGGTGGTAAAAGTAGAAAAATAAAAGTGATTTCATATAAGTTCTGTGAAGGTAAACTGGTGAAAATTTTAGCGATGTACCCCAAAGTAGTTTTAAAAGTATAGAACTCTCTGGCTGCAATTTCACACCCAGGAATTTGTCCTAAGAAAATAATCAACGCTGTGACATAGATACAGATGTCCATTGGGGGTTCCCTCCCCAGGCAGGTGGGGCTGAGCCTCCAACAGACCCCAGGGGAAGAAAAGAGAGGAGTGGAATCAGAGGACTGCAATGAGAAGGAAAACCCGAGTAGTTTATTAATTTTAAAACCATTTATCGATCAAAAATGGACAATCTGTCCAATCCAAACTGTAAAAGTGGGGTCATTTGACAATCTGGATATTCCATGATTTTCTCTGACTGTAGTAACAACTAAAAACTCCACTAGTGACCAAAATGCCATCACCAAAATATACACCATCATTCCCCTTCCTCTTATTCTTTAACAAAATAAAAGTGAAAAAGTGAATAAACAAAAGTCCAACTCACTTTGTCCTTTTCTGAAGTATGCAGCTCGAGGAAGATAAGTTTTTCTATCATCTCGACGTGGCCCCTTTCAGCGGCCAAAAGAAATGCTGTCCTTCCTTTCTGAAAATCAATCATAAGCCTCCGGTGTATATTACACACTTATTGAACAAGCAAGACGCCTGACGAGGTAGGCAGTGTCTTGAGGATGATGAGGAAGCTGAGACGGTGTTTCTCGTCAGAGCATTCTGGGCCCTTCCTGGGGGGAGTGGTAACAATTTCTCTAAGCCTATACCTGATCCAGTTCTGACTTATTCCCCCAAACTTTGGGAGTTCCCCAGTCATCTGGGGGAAGCACTGCTCAGAAATGGCCTCCCCAGCAGCTGGGAAGGTGTCATCTCACAGCTGGACAAGTTTCCCTTTCAAATGCAGCCGTTTTACCAATCTCCTGTGTTTACTGAATAGTTCTTTCACTCAAGGATTTTATTACATGCCCGACCTGTCTTAGGCACGTGCATGTCACACATTAAGCCTTGTCTTTCTGACGAAAATGTCTGAAGCAGAAGTTTTCCAGGGCTCAATATTTACATGGCCATCCAAACATGACCTTTTAGCCACTGCTCCTTTATGAGGCCTTGCTTGCTTGCTCATATGTTTATCTCCACCTTTCACTCAGAATCAGGAGAAAAACTCTTGAGAATGGTCTATGTGAAATGGAATCAAGAAATTAGGCATTATGCAGAGAACACAGCTTAAAAGGGGTGTCCAGGTGTGATTTTGGGGGAAGGAAAGTTCAGTGCAGAATTTTCTGATTATCATAATTTCTCCAATTTCCCACATTGCAAATGGAGCCTGCATTTGTAACAGCCAAACTGTCATCAACAAAAGTAAAACATCTATAGAAACTTTAATTTTCTAACTCAACATATTTAAAAGGAGAAAAAAGGAAGTTGGGGCAGCAAAATGGAGGCAGAAGTATTTTTTTTGACTAAAGAAAACTCAAATCGGCTTGGTGTGTTATTAACTAAAAGCTTAGCAAGATGTGTGAGATGTGAAAAACAAGACACAAGCCTCTTTATAAGAAGGTCCCTGAGTTTGAGATTTGTCATCTGATCTCCTGCTAAGGTGGGGTAATGAAAAGATCATGGTCACTGTTAACCTGAGATACAGTTCATGATTTCCCAGAAACCAGAAGAAAAAGGAAAGAAAAATGCTGAAATAATAAATGGCAAAAAAAAAAGCCTACAGGGATAGCTCCATATCCATGCATACATAGAGGCTGGAGAAACAACTGGCACCAAAAAGTTCAACTAAATCTTCATTCTTGAGCCAGATGGGCTGCCAGTGAGGCCTACATTTCCAGCTCTTCAATGTGCTGCCAGTGGCCAGGCCTCTCCTGCCCCATGAAGTGGTCACATAACTCATGCAGGTCACAGTGATTGGTTCTGGGTTGGGCATATGATTCCAGCAAGGCCAAAAAGAGATGTTTTGGAGATTTATATATGAGCATTAGATGAGTGAGAAATTTTCTTTCTTATGAATTAAAATCCATAAAAATCTCCATAAGAATATAAACTTGAGGCTGCTAGCAGCCATATTTCCGACCTTGTGGCCTATCAATAATGCCAACACAGAGATAGCCAAGAGATGTGGGAAAAAAAAAAGAGCTGGATCCAGCCATGCCTGAAGCTAAATAGATATACCCTCAAACTCTTTAGTTAGGAGTTAAAAAAAATACCTTTATTGCTTAATCTAGATTAAGCTGATTTTTTTTCACTCATAACAGAAAGCATTCTAACTCATACATATTTAATAGTTTGGGGAAAAATACTACTAGAAGTATCAGTGAGTCTGTTCAACTTTAAAATGACCTTGTTGCTTTACCCTTGCTCTGCAGTCTAGCATTTCTGTATATCCAAACGAAATGATATTCACCCAAAAGAAATTCTCATCTGGCAGGAAATGGGAGGTTATCACAAATGAAGCATCTTTCCTTGCCAAAAAACAGTCGTTACTTTAAACTTTGGATGCCCTTTAAAAACGTTATGATCAAAACAACAACAAAAAGTTAAAGCGAAATTATACAAAGTAATCTATATTTTATAAATATATGAAAATAACATAAAGTAATATATATGTTTCTTTAAAGTTAAGATTACTGTGGAAAACAGTATGGAGTTTCCTAAAAAAATTAAAAATGGAACTGCCATTTGGCCCAGCGATCCCACTCCTGGGAATATATTCTAAGAATCCCAAAACACCAATCAGAAAGAACCTATGCACGTCTATGTTTATACCAGTGTTATTTACAATCACCAAGATCTGGAAGCAGCCCAAGTACCCATCGGTAGATTACTGGATAAAAAAGCTGTGGTACATTTATATAATAGAATACTACATAGGTGGAAAAAAGAAACCCTTACCCTTTGCAATAGCATGGATGTACCCAGAGATTATTATGCTAAGCAAAATAAGTCAGTTAGAGAAAACAAATACCAGGTGATCTCATTCACATGTGGAATCCAATGAACAAAATAAACTGATGAACAAAACAGGACCAGAGGCATGGATGCATGGGACAGACTGACAGATCTCAGAGGGGAGGACTGTAAGAGATTAGCCAAAGAACATGCATGCACGTATGCATAGCCCATGGACACAGACAACAATGTGGTGAAGGCTGGGGGTGGGGGGCAAAGGTGGGGAAATAGGGGACATCTGTAATAGTGTTAAGACTGAATGAATGAATAAAATTAAATATTTAGTTGGCTTTATTCAACAACTCATGAATTGGGCAGCACCTCCACTAGTAAATAGAAAGCTGTTCCTAGTATCTTACAAACGTATCGAAAATAGCATAAAGATAAGTAACATTAAAATGAGATACTTATCTTTTCTCCTGCCCTAGAACATGAGGAAAATACATGGCACCCAATAGGAATTTCAAAAATAGGTTTTTAAATATAGTTTCCTATCATGTCTTATTTCAGTTTTAGGCACTGAACCCTTTTTAATGGATAGGCCGTGACCCAGTGCAACCCCATAGGACTGCCCCTCACTTGGGAGGCAAGGAGACAGGAAGATGTTTCAGCCAGGACAACAGTGGAGCCTGGCGTCAGAACCCCAGATTTGGGGTCCCAGACAAGTCCCAATGCCTTCCCAGCTCAGGATCCTGATTCCCTTTCCTAATTAACAAAAAATAAGGAGGCCCCAGAATTCCTGCTCCTTTTTTCTTTTATTCATTTAATGTATACTTAACCTAGGATGTTTTAATTCAGTTCATTTAAATTTTTTTGCATGTCAATAAGCCTGAGGAGTACCAATTGTTTATTAGAAATGATTTTTCATTTTTAAGTTTACTGCCAGGGTTATAAATTTGACAAGTTACCAAATTCAGCAAGAATTTTTATAAACAGTCGTTAAATTGGCACCCAAAGTCCCACCTGACCATCCCTGCCCACAGGGATCCCAGAGATGGTGCCCTGGGCAGCCTCTGAGGGAAGGAGGCCGGTGGAACCCAGCACACAGCGCCCAGGGCCTTGTGCACAATGGACGCCACACCTTTTCCCTTCTGCTGGGATCAGGAATTCATAGCAGAACACCAGCAGAAGGGGGAAACCAGCAGGTCCCTGAATAAGCAGAGATCTGAGAGGGAAAAAGAATGTTGTCATAAGGTAGAAAGTGCTGAAAGAGCCAGCAGTGAATATGAAGTTGTGTGCCTAGTATAGGCAGGGTTAGCTCTTCCCTTACACACCGCAGCCAATAGATTTGTTGACTCTAAGGCTGTTAAATACTGCTCTCAGGTACACAGAAGAAGATATGTCTTCTCAAACCCCTCGTGATCACTAGTCCCAACACTTCCAAAAAAAAGCTTCTTTGCATTTGGATCTCTAGCGATTTCCTATATAGATTCCTTTAAACCAACACAAGTTTCCATATATCTGCAGCTGAAACCAATCTAACACTGTACCACAAAATTCTTATAAATATTCAAGAAATATGTGAACGGCCTCTGAGGCCATACCTTTCTGTGTCACCCCTTGTAGTCAGACTACTTATTTTTGATCACCAGATGGGAGTTTACATGGAGATTCAAAATATGTAGCCAAATTTACCTATAACTTATCTGGCTGCTCCAATCTCTGTCCCCTGGAAAGGCCAGGTGATTTCTAGAGCTATAGGGTTGGGAGCAAGTGACGCGTGCACTGCCCAGCAGTACCCGTGGCACCGTGGATGAGTCATGAGACAAATCCACGTGGACTACCGAGGCCCGTGGAAGAACAGGGCCGGTGTGGCTACTCCCTCCAGGGGGGAGAGCCTCCGAACCACCTGGCCACCCTCTCAAGGGGACAGTGGCTTGGAGTGGCCTGGCAACTCTCTCAAGGAGAGAGAGAGCGCGCTGACTCTTGCTTAGAGAGCCTTTAACTGGTTTTCTTGCACAGGAGTTCAGGTACAACTTATTAATCATCGTCAGGCAGTAAACAATACATAGTATACAAAGAACCATTAGGGCTTCTCCCAAGTCAGGGTGTGTCAGCTAAAAGGCTACCGAACTTTGGGAACATAAACGCACTTTCTGCTCGGGCCTTTATCATTTAACGAAAAGCATTCTCAGCAAAGCAGGCGTCACAGGATTGTTAAGAATTCTTTATCTTGCCAGAGTACCCCGGCCCTGTGCTAGCTGGTGAAAGGTTGCACCGTCTTCCCTGTCACAGGTCTTCAGGCTTAAGTGGATTAGAGCCAGGAAGTGCTTGGGGACATGGGGACTTGGGCTTTGTCAAAGCCTAGGGGTAAGGATCCATCACTCCCTCTTTGTCGCAGCCCTCTGAGTCCTTCCATGATGGCCTCCCAAGTGATGTGTCTGGCCTAGGCTGCCCCTCCTCTGAGGGGTCTCACCTGTCTCTGACCATCTGACCATACCTTGGGGGCAGGGAGAGGAAGCAGAGGCAGCGTTTGCTACCAGAGATACCAGAGACAAGCTTTGTCTCTTTGTGGCTCGAATTCCAGAGAGGTCGCTCACTCGGCCTTAGGCACGAGAGACGGTTTAAAATTCCTGAAACCAGGCAGAGCAGTTCCCAACAAGCAAGGTCCAAAGATTTTCCGGTGCCCTCCATCTCTCCTATTTAACCAGGCCACACAAACTCTCCTGGTCTAGTTAAATCCATTTTATTAATAAAGACCTCACAGCTGGCCTGCCTGGTTAGCTTTTGGAGTTCCCTCCAGGCTAAAGAGAGGATTTCACTAACTCTGGGCAGATAAACAAGATCACTTTCTGTTGAGGAGACAGTACACCAGAGGCCCAACTGTGAAGGTGGAGCAGTCTTTTCTATCAGATGTGTTTCAGGAGCTTCACAACACTTCTAAGTGAACACTGACAAAGCACCTAGTGATGAATTAAGAGACCCTGAACCCCTGGTTTCTACTAGCTTATGCCAGCATCCTCGATCCCACTCACAGATTTCAGAGGAAGAAGAAACTGTCTGCCTTTTGCATTGATCAGTCCAGGTTTCTGACGGGACTAAAAGTGAACTCAGAGATTCTTCTCTCCCTAGACAGCCCAGTAGGCTCATTATTTGCTCATTCCTCATAAGTCTCTAAACCCATCTCTATTTTAAGATCTCTCGGCAGGACATGTGACTTGCACAATCTGTTGCCAGGGCTCCGTGGCCTTTTACCCGGCAGATAGTCAGAGGATGAGGAAGAGGAGTGGAACAGGACAAACCCAGACCAGCTGAAGAGACAAGAAAGTTGCTGGCTGGCAAAAGCTCCAAAAGTAGGGAAGGGTCCCCACAAACGTGCATTGGTCTTTGAGCTCTTTCACCTGCCTGGTCTTCCCTGCACTGCTGTTCTCCCATGAAAGCAGCCAGAGTCCACAGAAAGGGAAGACAGTCCTGTGTCTTAGGTATAACAGGCCTTTTCTGCTCAACTGAACTGAATGGAACTCATTTGGAGGCTGCCTCCCCACTTAGGATCAATCACACTGGGATGATCCAACTTCTTCACCCTGGCACCTGATGCTATTTGACTATGATGATCAGTTTGAGGAAATCAGGCCATGTACTTTATCCTATAACGGCTGTTATAACAGCAATCATTTAGTGAGCACTTGCCATGGGCCAGGCTCCTTGCTTGGTGCTTTAGTCATGAACCCATTTAGGCATCCCCAAAGTGGCTGCTCCAACATCTTCTACATAAGAGTGGTTTAGGGGTGGTATCTGATTAGAAAGGGGTGATAGACTAGCTTACCATGAAGCTCACTGGCATCCTCATTTTTACGGAATCTTAATACCAATTTTCTATATCAAAGAATGGAGGTGTTACCAAAAAAGAATTATAGTGCAGTCAACCCACCCTCCCCAATCATTCCCTTGATGCCACCAGAAGCAGGTTTTATTATTCTCAATGTACATATGGAAATACTGAGGCTTCCAGCAATTGGGAAATTTGCTTAAAGCCACATAGCTAGTATATGCCCAGACCATTGCCCAAGTCTCTGCCTCTGAGCTATAAATGTATAATAGTTACTTAGTCACACTCAAAGGAAGTAAAAGAAATTTATAGCCCTGGCTGGTGTGGCTCAGTAAATTGAACTTCAGCCTACAAACCAAAAGGTCTGGTTCCATTCCCACCCAGGGCACCTGCCTGAGTTGTGGGCCAGGTCCCCAGTTGGGGGCGTGACAGAGGCAACCAGTCAATGTTTCTCTCCCTCTCTTTCTCCCTCTCTCCCTTCTCTCTAAAAATAAATAAATAAAATCTTTAAGAAAAAGAAATTTGTAGGCTTTATTTGAAGAAGTAGTTTTTTTTATCATTGTTAATTTTAAGTCTAAAGTCAGAAAACAACATAAAGGGTTTTTTTTTCATGAATGCTACTAATTAACTTCTAGAGACTTATCAAATATAATGTTCTAAAGGCACAGTGAAATGGTGGTCCCATTCAAAATAAAACTGCCAATCCCACAGAGAATACTGCCCTGTGGGAAAAAGCCTAAGAGATATCACAGAGAAAAAGCAATCCCTGGTACACGGGCAATGACCACGGTCATCTGGAAAGGGAGACAGTGCAGCACAGGGACTGGGTCAGCCAGACCTGAGCGCAGTGCCTGGTTCTGTCACTTTCTAGTTTTGGAACTTTGGATCAGGTACTTAGCCTCACTGAGCCTCAACTTCCTCACCTTTAAAAATAGACAAAATATTCCCTTCTTTATAGGATTATTGTGCATATTGATAGGATAATTCATTCATTCAGCAATGAACTGTTTAACATCCATGTGTGCCAGGCTCTAGCCTCTTACTGAAATGAATGTAAGTAGCTTTCCTCTCTACCTAGCCCACTAATAAATACTCAAAAGTAGTACTTGCTATTATATATCTCCCTATGAAAAAAAAGAATATAGACAAATATGGTAAAATTGCATTACATTTCATGACTCATTGCTGCAGAGCCTTGGGTCAAATACATTCCAAAAGGGTCAGGCATAATAGCGTAAAATGCGGTCACCCATTCTGAATACCAAACAGGGTGGATGCTGTCCACACCCCTGCCAGCATGAGGGAGCAGAGAGGGAAGAAGGAATCCCAGGGCTTCCTTACTACTGCCTGCGCTCCCCACATGCAAGTGCCAGGGCCACCACCAGCACCTGCGCTTTCCTTCTGCTCTGTGGTCCTCCAGGATGATGGAGGAGCTTGCTGCAGGTTCGTGCTGGCTGTGCTGGCATCTCCGGCAGGGACAGAAAGAAAGCCGAATTTGGTGGATATATGTATCAGATGTGTGCCACCACAGCGAGCACACCTCATCAGGCTGGTCCAGGTTCTTCAGGTGCAGATCTTGAATGAGGTACTCCACAATGCGCACATTATTGCTCTGAGCTGCAAAGTGGAGGCCACTCATTCCATCTTGGAGAGAATCGAGGTACAGGAGGTAATCACATAGTGATCTCAGGACCTTCCCCTCCTGTATTGTGAGGTGGGAGCTTCTGTCCAGGTGTGACCCCCGTACCTACCTGATTCTTGGCTCTCTGGTCTGCTCCGGCTCTAACCAGCATGAGCATGATCTCGAGGCTCCCGGCCCAGGCTGCAAGGTGAATTACTATCAAGCCATGTTTCCCCAAGAAGAGAGAGAAAAGAATCCATCACTTGGATGAGCCATACCACATAATCTTAAATCACCAAAAGCCAAACTGACAGTCGACTGTAGAAAATTAAGAAATAGAGAGAGAATTTCATATACAGCAAAGGTGATATTTCAGTTCTACGGGGAAAACAAATATATTTAATAAATGATGTGGGCACAAGTGGCTCGCCATCTGAAAGAAAATAAAATTAAGTCCTATATGTCATATTGCAAACACACAAAAACACAATAACAATACATATATCACAGGTAAATGTAGACTGCAATGTACTGTGCCTTCATCCAGACATTATAAAGGGAAAGACTGATGATAAAATCAGTAAACAAAGGATAGATTCTTTAAACGTTTCTAAATAAAGATAAATGGTTACTTTCTCTAATATATGAAGCACTCCTACAAATCAACAAGAAAAAGGCAACTGAACCAATTGAAAAAGGTACCAAAAGTGGTATCAGTGGAAGTGAAACCAACATAATTTAAGCAATCTGGCAAAATCTATTAAAATATTAAAGTAACCAGCAATCCCACTCCTGGGAATCTACCCCATGAAAATAAGTTTTAGGGCCCAATGTTATATAATCAAGGATATTAATTTTTTTTTTTTAGATTTTATTTATTTATCTTTAGAGGGGAAGGGAAGGAGAGAGGGAGAGAAACATCAATGTATGGTTGCCTTTTGTGCGTCCCCTGCTGGGAAGTGGCCTGCAGGGAACCGGCCTGCAACCCCAGTATGTGCCCTGACTGGGAATCGAACCGCGATTGTCTGGTTCACAGGCCTGTGCTCAATCCACTAAGCTACACCAGCCAGGGCGAGGATATTAATTTTAACACTTAAAACTGAGAGCAAGGTTAATGTCCATCAATACAGGAATGCTGACCAAATTAGGACACACATCATGAAGCCATTCAAAATAATGAATAGAGCTATAGCAATTGACTGAATTGGAGTGATTTCCATGAGGTAGCTGTTAAAACATAGAAAAGAAGGTGCAGATAAAATATAACATAATCCTATTTTTATAAAATAAGCAATGACCAAGAAAAACCCTCATATGTGTATATATGTATATATACACATATGTATACAGTTGGCCCTCCATATCTGTAGATTCCACATCTGTGTATTCAACTAACTGTAAATTGAAAATATTTGCAAAAAAAATGTTACATAGTTGCTGACATGTACTATGCAGTTAGGCCTACATACTCTATTTAAATATTTACAATTCCAGTAAAAAGAAAATGTTTACCAATTTCTGTATTCTTTTCTTCAAGGAACAGCAATGTACAATAACTAGTTGAGGTTAGCCTTCTCTATAAATCGATGTTATATACTCGGTAAAACCAAATCCAGTTTCACATATGGTCAAAGAAGAGGCCAGAAATATTTGAAATAGAGGATAAATCATGTTTTGATAGGAGCTCAAGTTTTCCCTAAGAGGTCATTTCTAATTTCAAAGCCACAAACACATAAACATTTCAAACACTGATCATAAAATCCAAAAGCCAGAAATTCAAGCTGCAAACAACCTGAGTCTCTGAAAATATAAATTCAGCGTGGAGCCATTATTCCTCGGAGACAAAGAGTGGCTGTTCACCAGTGCCGGTTCCGCCACAAGAACCGTCATAAAACTAAGCCTTCTGATATAGAACTGACATGCCTGAGATGGTATATGAGCATGTGTCATGGATTACACTAGTGGTTGGTACACGATGCTCTGTAAAGTGTTAAATGCCCACCACCACTCACAGCCTGGCCTCAGTACAAGTCTGGTCACAGGTGAAAAGGTCAATAACTTCCTCTGGGGAACACTTGTATTTAAGGAGTTTCCAAAAAATAAGAAGCTCTGAGAGCAGATGCTTGTCATTATTCTCTGAGCATCATCTGCACTCCAGCTGAGATCCTTTCTTCACATCTGGAGGAAGAGCCTTCTTTTACCAGTCTGCCTCTTCCCAAGCCTTGAGGATGCTGTCCACTTTGAACCTGGAGTCTTCAGCATCTGGGCTATGCATTTGATCCTTATGTGATGTCTTGAACAATGCACATCTCTTACAGTTCTGGTCCTTGCTTCCTTAGTAGATTATCAGCCCCTCAAAACAAGGACTGTATCTCATGCCAGTACTTTCGGACACAATCACCTGGGGATCTTGATAAATCACACATTCTAATTCAAGAGGTCAGGGGTGGGCCCAAGAGTCTGCATCCCTAAGAAGCTCCTAGGCAATGCCAGTGCTTCTGGTCCCAGGACCACACTTTGAGTAGCAAGAATTTATATCTACCAATAGTTGAAACCCCAGTAGTTGGCATTGGGACTTATCCATGACAGTCACTGAATAAATATTGATGGTGAAGGGTTTCAACTGTTGACTCTTTACAAAGAGATATTAGAACTTACAAGACAGATCTATTTGCCAAGACAAACTCGGGGCTCATTGCCCAGATAAGGGATCTTCCACATCTGACCAAACATGGCCTTGCATGAATTATAAAAATCATTTTATTAGTTATGTACTAATTTTCCTATGAGTAATAAAACTACTCACAGAAATACTTAACTTGGTGAACCTTCAAGGCAGAATATGGTGATACATCAGAAATTACTGACAGCATTTCAGTCTCACAAGGTAAGTTACAAGGGGCTTCCAAATGGCAAAGGCCTCAAAGAGAACAAGTTGGTAAAAGCATTTTGGGATTAACTGACTTACATTATAACATAAGCCAATAGTATATTGAATATATTAGAAACATGGTGTTTAAAAGAAAAGATGCTATTCAACCTGAGCAATGGATACACAGTTGTTTATTGTATGATTCTCCTCCGTTTTAGATAATGTTAAAGATTTGGGTTTTCAGTCCTGATTAAGATGGGGTACATATGCTCCACTCTGTCTCTCTCACTAAATGTGACGGAAATATCTGGAAGGAATGCACAGAGCAGCTATCTGAGAACTCTGAGAAGTAAATGGTAACAGGTAGATTGGGAAAGAAGCCAGAACCCAAACTATAAACAGTAAGGATTTCCTGATTTTTTCTTTTGCCTTCCATATCTTTTTCATGGCAGTGCAAATCACAGAACAGCACCCCACGCATGGACAGAAAGAGCTCCATGAGAAGCCCTCTCTAGTCTAAGGAGTAGAAGGGGGACCCTATGGGACAGAGAAGGGAAGGGAAACCCTGTTTCTTTTTTCCCTTCCAGACCTGCCCAGGCAAGCCTCATTCCCAAAGCTGCAACCCTATGACAGGAGGGGCAGAAGCTGTGACTGAACAAGACACTAAACCTCTGACAGTGGGAATCCTTCTCTCTGACCAGAGACTGTGGTCAGAAAAGGGGATGACGATACGGGTGGGGAACCCATTGCTTTTTCTCCTTAATCCCAAAGAGAGAACCAAATGTGGAAAGTACACAGTGGAACTGGGAGACTACACCCTTGGCTCTTTAGTCAGAGGAGCAGAAAAGGTGGGGAGGGGCCCTGGAGCTGGAGAATAAGGGAGAGATAATCTTGGAGATGTGGGAGGTCGAGATAGCAACCCCATTAGGTTGTGTATGAATTCCTAGCCTCACCTCTGACTTATGTATGGAACTGACCCTAAACAACATGACAAAGGCTTGGAGAACTGAACTAGGGGCTAGGTCACTGCCCAGGTCTCAGACTGGCCCCCGAATGGCATGCATGTGGGACCGGTCCAAAGAGCACTGTAAAGGTGTTGAAAATGTAGTGGCATTGGTATCAAATGGTGTTGGTGAAACTGGCCATCCATACGCTAGAAAAAATAAGCAAACAAATGAACAAACAAGAACCTGGAGCTATTCCTCACACCTTATTAACTCAAAATGAACAACAGATCTAAATGTAAAACACAAGGCTACAAAGTTGGGTGGTTGTTTTTTGTTTTTTACTCTGAAGGTATGTTTATTGAAGATGGGAACAGTGAAACAAAGAAGGGCCTAGAGTAGAAGTAGCAACAAGAGACAGCTTTGGCTGGGCTGCCTTAACTCACTGGGAAGTCAGAGAAAAGAGGGTGCTGTGGACAGGTTCAGGGCATTAGCCCAGGACAAGCGGCGATGCCCATTGTGCCTTGGTTAAAGTTCTATGGGGACCCTTAGAGTTTAGGATATTTGTGCCTGTGGGAGAAGAAAACAGGGAAGAGGGGAGGGGAATGGTGTGGTTTGCTCCCCAGAGGGACAGCATGCCTATAAAAGTTTGGGGGAAAAAAAAGAGAGAAAATCTTCATGACCTTAAGTTACGCAAATCATTCTTAAATATAACTCCAATATCCAGATTCATTTAAAAAATATAAGTAAATTGTACCTCACCAAAATTAAAAGCTTCTGCTCTGAAGTACACTAAAAAGCTACAGGATGCCAGGATATATTTGCAAATGACATATCTGATAAAAGATTTGTATCCAAAATACATAAATAATTCTCAAACTCAATAAGACAACTAAATTTTTTAAAAATATTCAAAAGATTTGAATAGATACACCACCAAAAAAGACATGCAAAGGGTAAATTCTACAAAAAAGACATCAATATGCCATTAAGGAAATGTATATTAAACCACAATGAGAAGCCCATACAAAGCTGTTAGAATGGCTAAAACTAAGGAAAAAAGTGACAATCCCAAATGCTAATGAGAAGGTGGCACAGCTGGAGCTCTGCCGTGTTGCTGGTGGGAATGAAAATGGAACAGCGACTCTGGAAAACTGTCCGGCAGCTTCTTGTACACAGCTCACTGTATGATCCAGTCATCTCACTTCTCGGTATTTACACTGGAGAAATGAACTTATGCACGCACAAATACCTGTACGTGGGTGCTTATAGAAGCTTCATTTGTGACAGTCAAAAAACAGAAACAACTCTCATGTCGTTTAACTGGTAGAATGGATCATTAAACTGTAGTACATCCACATATTGGAATGCTATTCAGGAATAAAAGGGAGGCATTAGTGATACAGACAACATAAGTGAAGCTCAGACACGTTTTGCTGAGTGAAAGAAACCAGTGTGAAAAGTGATATACACTATGCAATATCATTTATATGGCATTTTCAAAAGGGAAAAATTATAGCAATGTAGAAGAGGCAAATCATTGCCAGGGATAGGGAGGGTTTGACTACAAGCCCAACATGAGGGAATTTTCTGGTTAATGCAGTTTTTGTGGATTTTGGTTGGTTTACTGGTTACATGAATCTATAAATGTGTTAAAATTCATAGCACTGTATGCCAGAGAGTGTTAATCGTAAGTATGTTAATTGAAAAATTAAAGTAAAGTAAAAAGTTATTGTATCAGGGTTTCAATGTCAGAATAATAGATTCTTGGCAATCAGGTCTATGACCAAAGCATCTTTTGTACGCTAATGTTAAAAAATAATCAACCTAAGAAACATGTTCCTTCAGTACCATTACGATAATACAACTTATTACACTTACAACATTGGAGTGCCTTTGGTGCTGATTTTTAAAAAGGGGTAGTTCTTTGTTCTGATTCTGTTATGGATCAATCTACTTGCCCACCAATACCAGAGCAATAAAACAGACAGAGAGGGGTGTACTCTGCTTGTGAAACAGAGAAATTCTCATCATTATCAAGTCTAGACCACGTCTATAATTGCCAACAAAACTAACAAAATGACCAATTGGTTTGAACTGACTTCATTCATTTATCTTCCAAAGACTTACTAAGCAAATACTGAATCCACGCCCTGTAAGACATGTAGGTACAGCAATGCCAAGTCTTACCCTCCAAAGAGTCATTTCGGAGAGGAAATAGAATAGCTCTGTGGGAATCTGCTGAATGGTTTATCTTTAAGAACCATGGTCCATTGAATTAACCAAAAACCAAGCCTATCATCTCTTTCTGCAACTAGAAGTGATAAGCATGATGTTGGATTTCTCCATCCCAAGTGGTTTCCTTGTGCCATTAGTAAAGTATTAAAAAAAAAGTAGGCGGAAAATCCTCAGGATGTGGGCTGATGTATCACTGGCTAATGGTATGGTCTCTGGAATCAGTTAAGCCAGGTTCAAATCCTGCTTCTACCCTTTCTTAGATGTAATTTTTGGGGTAAGATATTTAACCTCTCTGTGTCTCAGGTTCCTTGTCTGTAACTTGGGTATTAATTCTCTTCCAAGGTTGAGGGGCTAAACGTTAAAGTCCTAAGACAGATGTCTAGTATATACTATATGTTTAAAAAGTCTATTTATTTATCAGAGTTCACAGGGCAAAGTCCCCGAGGCCAGTTAGCTTCTGTCTGCCATTGCTCCAAGTTACATTCTGGGCAATCATCTTATTCTTATAAATGCATGCCACTGACAATCAGGTCAGCATGGGAAAATAAGTAAAAGCCAAAGTCCTATAGGTAATGGGTAAAGAATTTAGTCACCAAAAACAAGGAGCACGCAATACATATATTCTCAGAGAGACCTTTCTGAAATGAATACTTCCAATGGAAATATTTTATGTATATGTGAAGAAAAGGTGACCAAAGTGACTAGATTTCCCCATACATTCGTTCAGTTCCAATCCATTTTACCAAAGGAGGAAGACTTTACATTATCGGCAACATCCACCCTGGCCTTGTGATTAAGCAAAAAATCCACTGCAGATAAATGACTTGCCCGCACTGCAAAGTGCAAGGCTGTGCGGTTCATCTGAGGAAACAGAACTTGTGTTTTCAATCATCTGGTTGTTCTTTAGCCTTTTTAAAGTTCCTGTTTCTTGAATGATCACAGTTTTCTACCAGGTGCTTGTATTTTTTATTATTTATCCACTCTGTATTCCTGTCTTTGAAAGTAGTAAGAATTGGGTCTAGCATAATCTTGCCTTCATTTATTACTAGATAATATCAGAGAATTTGGCAATCCACCAAAGGCTATGCCCCAAGCTGACATCCACTGAACAACCTATCATTGCTTGTAACAATATAATGGATTTCAATTAGGGAGCAAAAGTTGTATTTTCCCCCATATACAGTCATTAAGAATGATACTGTATTTTTTAGACCATAAGACACGCCTAAGTTTTAGAGGAGGAAAATAGGAATAAAAATTTTGAAGCAAAAAATGCGTTAAAATATTTAATAACATAAATAACATAATATTTCATCAATGTAAATGTAAACAGAATTCAACAGCAGCATTAACAACCATTATTCCCCCCAAATTTGGGTGGGGGTCAGAGGAAGGGTGTGTCTTATAGTCCAAAACTATGGTGAATATTTTCTGGTTAGAATATATTGATAATGTTATAATAAAATTTTTCCTACATTTATATATATGTATAGTTTTTTTCTTCTGTAATTTTTTGAACTGCGAATTTTACTGAAGCAAACAAATTGCTTCTGAAAGGAAGGGAGGAGGACAGGAGAATGAAACAGACACAGAAAAAGAAAGCTATGAATGTCTTTTGCGTCAAAGGAAAGCCACCAGGTGTTCTAGAGACGTCCAGAGTCAGTCCGATGCATTCCAAACGCATTGTTTTGATGTTTTGCTTATAAGTAAAATTCATGTCATATTTCCCATAATCTAGACACTGCTTTTGTTTCCAACAAAGGTGCCTGGGCATGGATTTACCAATCTTTGTTTCACATAAATAATTTATTGCAAAAATATGAGAAATGTTGAAATTAAATATTTGACTTCCTTGGTAGCTAAACTGGTGATAAACTAAGTTTGACAAAACATTAGTTATCTTGGCATTGTCTGCAATTAGAGCTATATTCTATTATGTCAAATTTGGGCTTACACAATTCCCCACTACCTTTATTTATTTATTTTTCCCACTACCTTTATTTTGAATAAAAATGCAAGCCAAAGCAACATCCAAGATAATTCAGTAAAATCACCTGCATTTTTTTTTATCTCTATCAACACAGATTTCAAGGAACATCACAAGTAACCATGTGAATAATTTGCTGTTAACAGGCCTAAGAGGTGGTATTAGAAAGTATAACACAATTCATCAGTAGTTTATAATAACTTGCCATACTGAATGTAAGTTAAAGCGGTCTAAGTTGCACTGCTTCTCCAAGTACTTTTATATAAAAATATGGTTTAAAATATCAAGAACTTGTATAACCAAAAAATGGTTATAAAAGTATCCTGAAGAATGTATTTCCTGCTACTTGGAAAAATGATTATTGCTTTACTTTTTCAACCATCGATCTAAATAATAGCTTCAAAAGTCCTTGCTTAGTTTTTACTTTCTCTTTCTTCCTTGATTCCTTGATGTTCTTGTTTGTTACTAAAATTGTTATGCTGCAAAATTTGCTATTTTTCTACTCTTTCCAGGATGTCTATAGACAATGAATACTATATACACCCATAACACATCAGAGATACATGCACACATGCACATAATATAAACATAGACACATAGATTCCCACATGTGCATAAACACATACTTCTTCAAATACACACATGAACAACTGCTAAACATCCTTCTACTGCATATGATGCAAGACTTCAGTTTCTATGACCTCACCGCCTGGGACAGATTCAGGTTTTGTGGAACTTGAAGTTTATACACTTTAGGGAGCCCTCTTTAACACCAGAGTCAGGAAACAATAGATTGTAGTTAAAATTTCCCACTTTTTCAGATTTTACAAAGTCATACAACTATGAGAACATAATCCTAGAACCCTTCAAGTGCCTTGGAAGAGGGCTATATAAGGAGGGGCCCTAAAACTTCTCTTCCATTTAGCATTGCATCTACCTCTGCCACTACTACCTCGAACCACTCCACAAATTGTCCTACACAACTGACACAGCCCAGCCAGTTCACTTGAATGAGCTCTGCTTTGAGGGGCTGTCAGGAAATCCCCTCAAAACCAAGCCAGAGGAAATTCATATTCTAGCAGTGGGCTTCTCCTGCCAAGTCGAGCACGTGAAAAACAACTAAGCCAGATTTCCAAAGAGGCCCCATTGTCCAACTTGCAGATGCATTTTCAAAAGCAGTAGAATGAAAACACATATTCTCCTTTAGATTTTAAATTTGGAAGAACCAACCACAAAGGACATAACTGGAGAGAAAACAACCCAGATTGTGTAGCAAAAGATGTTCTGCCTTCCCAGGATGTAGGAGCCAAAGTCATCCACAGGTCGTAAACTAGGACCGAGTCCAGGCCCTGAACCTTGACAGCTGGCTTTACTGCCCACCCACAGACTTTGCACAGATGTGCCTAAAGACCCATGCACTTCCCCTCTGTTAAGATAAATTAAAATGCTAGGAGCCTATTGCACCTTTAGCATAAACACTCAAGTTACCAACAAAAGAGATCTGCCTTACCTCATCCAGCACAATCATTTTTATTTTTATTTTTATTATATTTGGTTGACCTGTGTAACTCAAACCACACTTAGAGCAGTCACTGTCACATGTGTGACTTCCACTCACATTGTTCACAGCATTAATGTTAACCTTCTTTTCAAACAGCTTCTCCATAAGATCCAAATTATTGCTTTTAGCAGTATTCTGGAAGCTTCTCTCACTTGGCAATACTGAAAGACAGCAAGCAAGCAAGCATGACTGAGAGAATTTATGGGGAACGAATAAAAAGCAAACATCGTTTGGTAAACCTTTTAACTCTAAAAACTTGAATCAACAACCTTGAGCCTTTCTCATTTTACCATTCTGAACAAGAAAACTCTGCTTCGATATTTTATAAGCTGTGTTGTTACGATTCCACTTTCTCCTCGCTCTATAAGTGTTTTCACATACTTAAAAATATTCCTGGTCCCAAACAAAACATTATTCCCGGGGACCACCCCGAAGTCAGTAATGCAGTCTCTGGCTCCAGGAGATTGTAGGGTGGCCAAGGACTTCCCAGGGGACGTTGTTTGTAAAATGTTTGTATAAGATTAGACAGGGAGGAGCCTGAATGCTCCATACAGAGATAAAATTGTTGTCTGCAGAACCCTGTACAGATGCCAGGCCTGCTGAAACAAAACTTTAAAACGTAGCACATCACATAAATATATACAAAGTCTAAAAGGGATGAACGTGTTTTATTCTCATTTATATGAAAGGAGATAAAAGTAGATCCACAATTATTATAAACATTATATATCACACACACACACACACATTCAGATGGCAGGTTTCATTACCTAGCAGAGAGAAGATTGAGATTCATTTATTTACTGTCATGTGGGGGGGGGGATAGAGGGCTCACAGGGGACAACCTCAACACTAGAGGATAAAGTCAGAATTGGAACAATGTGAAATCAACAATAGACCATCTCCAAAAAGAAAGGAACCAAAGAGAGGTTTTATGGATATGTTCCTGAGTAGTTTCCCTAGTATCTGCCAAAGACTCTTCAGAATACCATGAAGTCCAGTCGAAGACCAGGGGGCACCTTCATTCTTCCTATCCTAGGTCTCTTTTTTCCTTTCTACCAGTCCTACTATTACCACTCTGTGACTTCAATGTCCACAGAGATGAGTAATCCAACTCCTTAGTTTCTCAGCTCCCTGACTCCCCTGCCTCTAATAATCTATCTGACCTCAGCCATCCAATTTCAGGGTCATATTATTGGCCTGATCACCCTCAAAAAACTACACTACCTCTGACATCTTCAAGAATCCCATTCCCTGAACACCACCTCATCCATTCAGCTCCAGTTCCTCCAGTCCAGAAATTCTACAACCTCATCAAGTCCCCCAATCTACTGTTCTCCCACCGTTTCATATTCATCCCTCATGTCCTTACTTCCCTCCTTACCCAGTTTCGATCCCACCTACCTCTGAAATCACTTCTGTGTAAACACCTTTCCCTCCCTCACCATGTTGGTCAGAATCCTAATTCTGAGGTTAAGACCAACTGCTATTTCCTGCACTTTTGTACTTTGACACCTAAATGATTCTGGAGAAAAGCACACTGCCATGCTGTGGTAGACACTGCTAGTGTTCATCAAAATCTGGTTCTTCTCCTATCCTTCCTGAACACACGATGAGTACACATCTGAGCCTACGTGCAGTTGGGTGAGGTAAGTCCAGTGAACTGAGGGCAGAGGTGATGGTGTGTCACTATGGGGCTAAGTCAGTGAAAAGCCTGTGTCACCTTCCAGGTCTTTCTTGCCCTGTCTTGTCAACCCTGAAAGCTATGTGTTTAAATGTAGGGATGTTATGACTATATTGCCTCCCCTCAAAATCATATTTTGAAGTAAATCCTAAACCCCAGAACCTCAAAATGTGACTATTTGGAGATAGGTTCTTCACAGAGGTAATCAAGTAAAAATGAGGTCATTAGGATAGGCCCTAATCCAAGATGACCAGTATCCTTATAAGAGAAGGAGTTTCGATATAGACACAGCAGAGGACGGCTGACTATGTGAAGGCAGAGGAAGAAGAGGAACATCTACATGCCAAGGACAGTCCTCAGAAGAAACTAGCCCTGCTGACATCTTGATCTTGGACTTTGAGCCTCAAGAACTATGAGATAAATTTTGTTGTTTAAGCTACCTAGTCTGTGGAAGTTTGTTATGGCAGCCCTGGCAGATGACTGCAGGTTACAAGGCGGTGGCACCTCCATCAGCATGGTATTGGGAGACAATCCTCCACGGGTCTCTTGCATTTCTGCACATCATGCAAGCAGAATCACTGACTGCTTTGTTCTGGACTGTCTTCCCAAGGATTCTGTGCAGTGAACTTCATTGGAAGAGAGAGATAATGTCTTCCTCTGAGCAAAAGGCAGCTTTGCTGACAACCTAAAAAAAAATAGTGAGAGCCCTGGCTGGCACAGTTCAGTGGACTGAGCACAGGCCTTCGAACCAAAAGGCTACTGGTTCAATTCCCAGTCAGGACACATGCCTGGGTTGCAGGCCAGGTCCCCCGTCGGGGGCAACCACACACTGACGTTTCTCTCCCTCTCTTTCTCCCTTCCTTCCCCTGTGTCCAAAAATAAGTAAGTAAAATCTTTAAAAAATAGTGAGAGTAAGGCATCCTTACTGCCCATTACAAAAGATGTGGGTTTCCTAAGTCAAGAGCCTCCTGTAACACAACTCACAGCACGTGCAGGTCAGTATTATTTTATAATACTTGGGGCTCTTTGCATCTCACTGTGGGAACTGGGGCTTCAATAAAACTGACACTTATGCTGGCGCTCTGGCTACTGCTTCTGCTGTGAGTAATAACATCCTTTGTATCCAGAAGTGTCTGCCAGCATCTACGATACCATGGTAGGCTAACTTGGTAGCCTGCAAGAAGAGTAAAATCTCAGACTTTTTACAGTTCTTGACATGTGGGGTCCTGAGAGTCTAGGTAAAGCAGACGCCCTCCCGACCCATGTAAGATGTGTTGTATGAGCAAGAAATAGATCTTTACCCAGGGGTTCAGGGGTTATTTGTTACTGCAGGGAAAGCTAGTCTATCCTGACTGACACACGTACTAACAAGCAACAGGTAACAAAGATACTCCTACATTTTTACCCACTACTTTCAAGGAATCTTGAAAGTATCTTTTGGAATCTTTTGGAATTAGGAATTTTTTTATCTCTGTACAGCAGTCCTACCACATTTCCCTAGGCTTCCATTCTCCAAAACTTCATGCCTTTTTCTTTCTCTTCGAATATCCTAATCTATTAATTTACCTTATTGGCCACCATTACCATCCCTTAATTCTCAGTTTATAATAGTGCATGGAGAAAGTATAAGCAATCAGATGGGAATTCCCACATCTTCTCACCAGTAAGTCTACCCACGTATGCACATTTACACCATACCCTCTGCGTGTTTTACTGTTACAGTCAGTGAAGATCCCTGTGCCCCACCAAGGCCAGGCCCTTCCACTTGGGCTCTGGGTCATGCCCCTTCTTACCAGTCATTTCATGTATCAGTTTCCTAGAAATTATCTGCTTGCTCCTCTGCATCATTTAATCATTCACTTCAAAATACCCAGCAGCAATGTTATATATACCTCCAATGTAAAAAAAAAAACAAAACCTGTCTCTTAATTTCACATTGCTTTCCAACTGCCACTCCATATCTCAATCTCCTGTTACCCCCAAGCTTGTAAGTGTTCTATAATTTCTGATTCTACTTCCACACCTCACAGTCTTATCTCAACTCATGTTAATTAAACATTGTTCTCATCATTCTACTGAAATTGCTCTTGTCAGGTCAAGATTGAGATTTGTGAAAATACACTCATCACTTCTCTGTCGTGTGCGGCAGATTTGACACAGAGGATGGCACTTCCCTTGTAACATGTTCTTCTCCAGGCTTCTGTTAGACCACCTATTGCTTCCAAGTCTCTTTTACTGGCTCTTCTCTACTTGCTCTCCAAATGCTGGAGCACCCTAGGGTTTTTATAAAACGACAACCTCATGGAGTAGGCATTAACACTCCCATCTCACAGATAAGGAACTGAGACTGGGAGGGGAGGAGGTGAAACCACTTGCTCATGTCTTTTTTTTTTTTTTTTAATTTATTTATTTGAGAGAGAGAGGAAGGGTGAGAGAGAGACAGGGAGAGAGACGATTTGTTGTTCCACTTATTTATACATTGATTGGTTGATTCTTGTATGTGCCCTGACCAGGGACTGACCCTGCAACCTTGGGATATCAGGACAACACTCTAACCAGCTGAACTACTTGGCCAGGGCCTGGTCCTTTGATTTTTTTAAGATTTTACTTTAATTCTCACCAGAGGATACATTTACTGATTTTAGAGAGAGAAGAAGGGAAAGAGGGAGAAAAAACATCAATTGATTTGCCCCCCCACACACACCCCGGCCAAGGATGGAAGCTGCAGCGTAGTTACATGCTCTGACCAGGAATCGAACTGAGAAACTTTTGGAGTATAGGAGGATGTTCCAACCGAGTTACCTGACCAGGGTTGGCTTACTAATTTTTGACGAAGGTTTGAAGGCTTTGACAATGGAGAAAGGACAATTATTTCAATAAAATGTATGTGAATAACTGGACATCCAAATCAAACAAAATATACCAATCTTGATGTAAATTTGAGACTCATACAACAATTAACTGAAAATGGATAATAGATGTAAATGTAAAACACAGGAGGAAAATTTCATTGGCTGGGGTTGGGCGAACAGTTCTTGGACACAAGAACAACAGCATGACCATAAAACAATGATAAACTGGGCTTCATCAAAAGTTAAAACTTTGTTCTGTGAAAAGTACTATTAAGAGAATAAAAAGACAAGCTGAAGGAATATACTGGCAAGTCACACATCTGGCAAATGAACTATATTCAGAATATACAAAGAACTCTGGAAAGCCAACAGGAAAACAAATAGGAAAAAAGACTTCAATGGACCAAGGAGGAACATTCTCAATTTTTGGAAACTCAACAGCCTGCCTCGGTTTATAATATAAATGTATTCCTGAGGCATAGTTGATCCGTTCCATGCTTTAAAAACCTAAGTACAGAAACATTAAGTGACTTATTGAAAGTCATACTGTTGCAGGAAAATGAAGCAACCAGACACCGAGGGTTTCTGGAGTACGAGGTTTTATTAACATGCACAGACTCAGAGGAGTCAGTCTCCAAATTCTGAGCCCTGAACAAAGGATTCTTGGGGTTTTTATAGTTTCCAGGGTCTTCTTGTCTACGTAGCAAAGCGGGATACAGAAGCGGAGTGCGGAAGTTAGTTCTAGCTATGGGGCAGAAGCAGAGTACAAAGGCAAATTTGAAGGTCAGTTTTTAACAGCAGGGGTGTTAATCTCAGTCCTAGCTAATGCACTGTTTACTTATCCTAGACAGCCCCATCATTCTCCCCAGGGCGCCTGGGGCCTGGGCAAGTAAAGGTTAAACAGAGGTTCTTCAAAGTTTCCCGTATCAATACAATAAATCAATAGGTGAGTCAGGATAAGAGATAAGAACACATAAAACTCCTATTTGTAAAAAGGCTTAATCATTCCTACCAGCTTCCTCTTCCTTATGAGGGCAGAGTAACACTTCCCAACCCTCCCACAGGGCAGGTTTAACCCGGAGTAAAAGCACCTGGGCAACGTCGTCCCAGACCTGGGTGGGGGTGGACTCCGCAGTGAGCGTGGCCCGCCGCCGGGCCCAGCGCCTCCGCCCGCATCCCCTCCCCGGCTCCGCCCCGCCAGGTTCCGCGCTGGGGACTCACTGAGCTCTGGTCCCACTGCCGCCGCCTCTGGAGGCCCCTCCTGCTTGGGGACACCGGACCGGCCTCTCGGGTCTCGCCGACTCCCTTTCCCTCGGGCCGGCGGCGGGGGTCGCTCCGAGCCCCGCGGTTCCCCGCAGCGCGCCCGCCGGGAGGCCCGCCCTCGGGCGTGGCGGCGCGCGGCAGGGCCCGGTTTCACCTGCAGTAAAACGCGCCGAGGAGACGCCCAGCTCCCACCGCCGCGGCTCTGCGTACAGTTTTGCAGAACTGTGGAGGCTGGACTTGAACCAGTGCTGCTGGACTTCAACAGGAAACCATTTCTACGTGGGCTTCCAGCATTTTCTTTGAAATAAAGTACACTCTCAATTTCTTCTCCGCAGGTGTCAACCTTGGTGTCCCATTTTGATGCAGCTGTAACTTACGGGACTTCTCACCTTGGGTATTATCGCTTTCGTCGTTATAAAATAAAGAACTGAGGAAATACAGCAATCTATTCTGGCCAGTCACGGGCCTCCTAAAATTCTGATCACGTGCAAGACAAGTAGAATATGGAGGGTCGACCAGGATCTCTGCCCTCATCCCACAGTGCGTACAATGGACTACAACAAAATAAAATAAGTCTGGGGGAAGTTTTGCATATTCTAGGAGGGAAAAATTTGAGAGACCTCATAATAGAAGTAGGTTTGACCCCAGAACTGACGTACCCTTTTTATGTGTACACACGGGCACACACGGATAAAAGTGCTATTAGGGAAGCATGGTCTATAAAATGCACAAGATGGTCAAGAAGGGAAAAAAAACTGATGAAAGTTGAGAAATGAATTAGAAGGCCAGAGATTAAGCACCTGATATAAAGGTCTGACAAAAGGAGTGGAAAGTAGATCTTTTTCAAGAGGCCACACCAGGGTAGACAGAATTCAACAGCAGATAAGGGGTTAGCAGAGGTGGTGTTTGTATGTGTGTGTAATGTATGTTTATCTATGTATACATATGTATGTATGTATGAGTTTGAAATTATAATAAACTTAAGATACTGAAGCTGGAAGGAGAGGGTTGGCACCATTTGCTTCTCAATTATCTTGTCTCCCTGAGACTGGTGTGATCAGCAACAAGGAGATACCATCACAAAAGAGCTCACACTTGTAAGGGGGGTAGTTCAACAGTATGGTTTGCTTAATAAATTGAATCATGTTTCCAATTCTCACCCTACCGTCTGAGTTTTTCTTGAACTGTTAATCCAATTGTATATTTCAAAGAGAAGTGATTATCCTTTAATTGTACAGCAAAAGAAAAATTTGTGCTCCAGGGAAACAAACACCACCTTTCTGAAGTTCACCAAAATCCTTGCAGGTATGTTTAAACATATCACTGCTGTTAAATGGAGCATTGCTTTAAAAAAAAAAATCAGCACCAGGCACCAGGTATTGTTTTCAAAATGGAATATTTCCTCAAAACGCACTTTTAAGCTCTAGGTTAACTATCATATTTTGAGCCTTCTTCTAAATATTTCTAAGCCACCCCAAAAGAACAAGTAATAAAACATTTATAAAGTAAACCATTATCAAATAAAGGGAAAGAAATGCAATTCCCTCTTTCTGGAATATCCATCCCTTAGGGCCCAGCTTGAGTAGAGCCACCTACATGGGCCACCACCCTGTCTTCCCAGGGCAAAAATAGTAAGATAGTAATAGACACCACTCTTTGGGCACATACAGCAAAGCTACAGCAAAGACTGTTTCGGGGTCTTTATGGAGAAACAAGACCACGAAGGAGTTTCTGATCAGTTTTTCCAGAGGACAGGGACCCTTTCCTGAAGGTGACCCTTGGGCTGAGCTGAAAGAAGAATAGTTGTGTACAGTGGGAGAGGCCAAAGGGACATTCAGGAAGCACATTGTGGGTGGAGGGAGCAACTGAGCAGGACTCCAGAGGGAAGAAATAGCTTGCTCTATTCAGGGACAACAAACTATGCAGTTATTTGGTTGGCCTTGAACGCCAAGCCCAGTGTTTGGTGTACATCGTGGACAGTGGTATGTGGAAGCTAGCTTGTACTGGCTTGCAAGTGCTGGTTGCTGAGTTCTCAGGAATTTTTTGAGAACTGGTTGATATGTCCACAGCTTAAAATCTGTGATGGTATTTACACCACAGAAATCATCATTCACTGAAAATCAGCTCCCCTTTTCTCACCCCCTACTGATCTTGGAGAGAGTTAAGAGCTTTTGAAATCTTCTGTTTTGTTTCTAACATAAGAGTGACATTATGAAAGTACTATTTACGGCTAATCTGCAAAAAAATGCACAAAACAATTTAGACAGGGAAAGCTGAGAAATCAGTTGGAAGGCCATAGTTTAGGCAACTAATAAGGGCTTGAAAAAAGAATGAAAAGAAATGTTTTCAGAAGGCCCTACAAAGGTAGACAGAACTCAACAACAGATGTCTGAGTGGGTTGGGTGAGGTTCCCTGGTTGGCAGTACTTTGCTGCATGAGTTGTGCCTGGTTCCTCCCGGACTTTGCCCATTTACCTCTTTTCCTTTGCTGATTTTAATATGTATTATTTCACTGCAATAAACTGTGACTATGAGTATAAAAAACAGCTTTTTTGAGTCCTGCAAATAATTCTAACAACGTATTTGGCCTGAGGGTAGTCCTACAGGCTCATCACATAGTAAGAGATCACATTTAAAAAAAAATCTATGGATAACCATTCACGCAAGCATCGTTTATTTAAGCCACTACTTTTTTGTACCGAGTCATCTACAATGTCCATGCCCATTCAATACCACTGTTAATATGTTGTATTACTATAGCTTTATAGTAAATTTTAACATGTTATAAGGTATGTCCTTCTACCTTATTCTTGGGCCTTTGCTCTTCACACTATACCATTTAGGGCCTACTCAACAAATTCCCAGGAAAAATATGAGGTATTTTGTTTTGAATTCCACTGAACTTATAGAATAATTTGGGGAGAATAGTTTTAAGGTAGTCATCCTTCCTATCATGAACAGGGTTACGCTTTTCATTTACTCATATGTACAAGTTCATCTTTCAGTAATATTTTGTAGTTCCCAAGTTACTACACATTTTTTGAAAGATTCCCCACCTGCTCTTTAAATGGCTTGTACCTTGTTGTTACATAGGAGATTATTTTTATTATATCTTCTAACTGGTTATTACAATGGTACCGGGATGCTACTCCTTTTGTGTACTGATTTTTCAGTCATACACTTGTTGAACTTTTATTAAATGTAGATTTTAAAAAATGTAGACAAACATACCATCTGACAATAAAGTTTTATTTTTATTTCTTTGTTTCCAGTTTTCATTTATATCATTTATTAAATTGACTAGGATCTCCAACAAAGTAATAGAGGGCACCCCTGTGTTATTCCTAAGATATGCTTCTAAAATTTCACCATCAAATGTGATAATTTGTATAGTTTTCAATAGGAAAATTCTTTAGAATTATGAACAGAACCTGTTAATTCTATTTGGGGTAGCAACATGCCCAACTAGAAACTGCATTTGCAAGTTCCCTATAATATACAGAAGCCTTATCAGTTGCCCTATGACCATTTGAGATATAAGTGGAATTTATGTGGGGCTCCCAGGAAAACTCCTTAAAGTGGGACCAACCTGTTGCCCTTTATCATTTCTACTTTCTTGTTTTCCTATGTGGAACACACGTGTAAGGCTGGGTGTGGAAGAGCCCATCTTTTGACCACAAATTGACTGTGTGAGGCTGAGAAAGTCAGAGACTTTGAGCTCATCTTTGAACCACTGAGCCAATGCTAAGCAATGATATTCATTGCAAAGTAGATCCAATTTTTTAAAAAAGACTCTGATTTGGGTCTTTGTAATACACAGCTAAAGTGAAATTCTGAACTCACAGAAAGCAGGGTGCTGCGAATAACAAAACCTAATATATAGTAATGACTTGGTATTTGAGGGAGAATTTTGGGGAGTGGGAACATGAATACCACTGGCTGAAAGGCTGGTGATTTATTTGGCAGTGACAAAGTATTTGGTCAAGTTGTCAACTGCTGTCCTTTGAAAAGCAGACCAAATGCTGATTGAGGCTGTAGCATTAGGGGAAGTACTCGGAGAAAAACTCAAAATGTTGGTGTAGGATGGCTCTCTTCTGCTGTGTTCAGCAAAGTCCTAGAAAAGCAAAATGTACTTTTTTTTCTATTAACACTAGTAGATTACAGAGACAGAGAAAATATCTTACTAAGCAAAGCAATTTCTGCCATTTTTTTTCAGTTTTTATTGCAATACAAGTCACATGTGAACAAGAGTGTATAAAATATATCTGTACAGCTTATGGTGAATATAAATGCCATTACCACTCAAGATTAGAAACAGAACGTTGCCCTTCCCTGATCACATTCCCTGATCACATCCCCTACCATTCCTCAGAAGGAATCATTGTTTTAATTCTTGGGACAATTAACACACTTGCTTTTGTTTATAATTTCATCTCATATGGATACACCTGTAAAACAATACAGTATAGCTTTAACTGTTTGAACTTTATATAAATGGAATCATGCTGATTGAATGACTTGCTTCTCTGACTTGCTTCTTTTGCTCATTATCTTTGTGATATTCATGCACAGTCTGATCAGCTATATCCTTGATTTTCACCACTGTGTAGAATTTTCGTTTGAATTTACAATGACAGAATTTAACCATTCCTCCATTGCTGAATACTTGGTTGACTTCCCATTCTTGGTTCTTACAGTGCTGCCTAGGAAACATGTTCAGTAGTTTCCACAAAACAATGTATTTGTTAGGGTTCTGGCAGAAAAAAAATTGTAATTTGAGATGAGTTTAAGAAAGGGATGTGGGCAGGGTATGGGGAAATCCTGAAGGATAGTGCAGCTCCCCAGGGCTAGGAGAGCAGGCTCTGTCGCCACTCCTTGGTGAAGAGGTGAGGGAAGGAAAGGATTATCAGAACCTGGAGAGATGGCAGAGAATGCAGTGTCACTGTGGCCACGTACAAGAAGTTGTGACCTTCGGTTAAGGGACTTACCAAAAAGGTACACGAAGGCATAAATAGCCAACTTCATCTTTCTTCCTCCCCAAATCTTCTGCAGTGCCCCTCCCCCCACAACTGCCACGGCACCTTGCTGAACATAAGGCGGGGTACTGAAGGCAGAAGAATGATTTGGAGGGCAAACAGAAAATAACCAGCAATGGTGTATATTTTGTATAAGAAATGTCACTGAGTGTGCACACCTTCACACCTACTAAAGAAGGGCAAGGTGTTTTCCAAAGTGATTGTTTTCAAAGTAAGAGTTCACATTGCCCCACGCCTTCACCAGAACTTACTTCTCAACGGACCTTTTCATTTTTGCAAATCTGGTAGGGATGTGATGATACCTCTTTGCGTTCTTACTTTTCATTCCCCTATTACTAAAATGGCTGAAAATGGTTGCATGTTTCTTGGCCATTTAGATTCTTTTTTTTATGTCAAGCACCATTTAAAGTCTTTTATCCAAATTTCTATTGCTTGTCTTTTTCTTACTGATTCACTTAAATCGTTTACATATTCTGGATTATATACTCTGTTTTTCCCTCAGTTATTGTGTTACAAATATATTCTCCTAGGCGCTTCCTTATAATCTGACCTTATAAGTAGGTAAGATTATGGGTGTTTATTCTTTGTAGCTTTGCTGCATTTTCTAAAAATTCCCCAAAGGGAAATTATAATAAAAAGAAAAAAGTGAGTTGGATATTAGATAAAACAGGTAAGAAAAAGATGGGAAAAGAATTGTGGGAAAAGAAAATAAGACTAAAAGCACTGAGGAAGGAAGAGTGGAAAGGAAGGAAACCATTTCTATTGGCTAAAAGATCAACTAAATATTTTAAATTTTATTTTGAATTATTATTAAATATGTCTAAATGAAGGAAGTATAAGGGGACTCAATGCAAATGGAAAAAACACAAAAAGATTAAATAAAAAAATAAATAGGTCTAAATGATAACATTCAATTAAATAAGTCATCTAAATAAAAATAATCTAGTATTTAATGTTGAAAACAATAAAAATTAACTTGAGGCAAGATGGAAAACATCTATGGTACAATCTATTTTTCAATACATTAAATTGATGTTTCACAGAACCTAATTTTTTACAGATTCTGCAAAAGTAAATCACACAATCAAGAACCACAGCACAACGCTGTTTTCACCTGTGTGTACAATAACAACAGGCATGGGATTGGCATGCTAATAAACAGTAAGCCTTATTTTAAACAATCTAGGAATTTAAAGTCAAGTTACCACTTTTGCCAAAGGCTGTGCAAGATTGTACTTTAAGCTGTTCCTAAAATATGATTTCCTTATAAATTTAAATGAGGTGAATTTAGATGAAAAGGAGGTATCCAAATATTAAATCATTGTTATAACCTGCAACTAAGGTTGTATGTCAACTAAAAAGAAAAGTAGGATAAAAGAAAACAAAAATCTAAGAGAATAAAAGATATGGTTCTTCAAAGATATGGTAGCCACAAAATGGCTACCATCTTCATGTTTCAGTTAAATAATTGTTTCTGATAAACACTATTACTCATAGCACAAAATTATCTGGAGCAACTACTTAAGCTAACTACTTACTGTTAAGCTGTCTTCTTTCATAAATATTAATAAAAATATGACAGAAATATAACTAAGATATACAAGCTACTGTAATACACATTCATTTTTGAACTGTGCATTTTTCTCTATAAGGTTTTATAAAAAATAAACTAAGTGTACAATTTATTCTTTATAGATTTGCAAAGAGTACAAACATAACCGCCAGGAAATTAAATATTGCCATTTAAAAGTCCTAAATAAGAAAACAATTATCTTACACCTTAGACTAAATTTTTTAAAAAGTGGACCAAGTGCTTATTCATAAAAAAAGAGTTTAAATTAAAAAATCAAATGAATAATCATATTTAAGCAAAACTCTCTTAACACAGAAAATAATACTGTGATATTATCCTGAGAGGAACAGAACGTCTCGTGCTAGCTCTGCTAAGGTTTTTTCACAGAATGTATAATAAATATTAATCAAGAATGCTCATGAGAAATCTGAAGGCAGTAGGAGCTAAAATACAAATATACGAAGTTGTAGAAGATACTATGATCAATTACGGCAGACCAGTGCCAACAAAATGGTTAAGTACTGAAAAGCTTTTATGCTAAAAAAGGTTTGGGTGAACATCAGAGCCCTTATAAATACATGGTTTTACATTTCCTATAAAACTTAATAAAGAAATCACTTATTGATCCCATTCCTAATTTCTCATTTTAAAAGTATCTCTAACAGGAAGTGCAATTCTTATGGTACCAAAAAAGTATACAAAAGTAAATTAGTAGGTATATATTCCAAATTCATGTAAGGGAAATATCACTGGGGGGGATTACTACATTAGCCTTCCACTAAATGAATCTGTAAACTTAAAATGAGAAAAAATACCTTCAGTGATTATAAAAAACAAGTTCCAATTAAAAACTAATGATAAAAAGTTCATTGTTCATTTAAAAAATATATCAAGGGTATTTCTGGGATTGTCTGGTTTAATTTTCTTTGACGCTGAGTACTTTGTCATCAGTCCTGATCTGAAATTAAAAAACAAAAACAAGCAATTAAAATGCAGGAATAGATTTTCAAAAATAATTTTGCAAATAATTGATTTTTTAGAATTTTACTTGATTATAAAAGGAAATTTTAACATCTAAAAATTCAACCTTGAAATACGAGTTTCTCAGGTAGCTTTACTCAAGCTCAAATTAGCCATACCTCTTTGTTTTTGTTACAGCCTTCTGTACTCTGCCTGAGTTACCTTCAGAGGGAAGAGAAATGAAGAAATTCCATAATGAATAATAAGAAATAAATAAAGGATTATATAAAAGTTAAAGCTAACTGATATGAAGATGATAATAAAAAATTCATTAATACTACCTAGTTCATATTTATACATACCAGAGACTAACTTTACAGCATAATTTATTTATAATTGTTTTATTAGTATTATACTTAATTTTATTTTTGAAATTTGGCCAGAATCATAGCTACCAAAAAAACAAGTTAAAGAGGCTCTCTGGCTATGTAATTATCAATAATTTACCACTGTAAACTTAAAATGAGAAAAGGCACCCACTGTGCCTTGACAAATGTTCTCTGAATCTTTTGATTACATCACTCAGCTCTCTTAACCTTTGAGTTCATTCTGTGCTAAATCGAGCCCAAACCAAAGTTTTCCCAAAACTTAACACCTACTGGCTTCACTTAATTCTAACTTAAGGTAAAGTAACTAACATTGACCTAAATGGCATATATAAACAGTCCCTTTAAGAGTGGGTGTTTCAGACCTAATAATGATCTCAATTTTAATAAAATATTCCTAGAAAATTGAGTTCTTTAAAATGACTACAAACTCACCGGTATTTCTGGTGCTTTCTTTGAATTGGTTTACTGGATTAACTTTATCCTTTTTAAGTTCCTGGATTATGCCTTTATTTAAGCAAATATCCACATGCACATTGAACTGGGTAAGATCTGAAGTTTTTTGCTCTAGGTTACAAACAGGACAAATTAGAACCTGGTCTGTTATCTCTTCATATAAATGCGGCTGGGGGAGTTCTTGCCTTCTCAGTGACCCAGCATCTTCGCTTTCCAGTGCAACAGCACAGGAAGAATTCTGATGACAGTGTTCAATATCAAACGACGTGCTTGGAAGGCTAGAACATTCCTCTTTGCTATGCTCATTACTTAAAGCATCTATACTTTCTGCTTCAGATGGATTGCCTATAGTCTCTACCAACTCGGCACAATCTTCTGAATCGATTTCTGCATTCTTCTGATGGGTTTCATAATCCCGATCCTCACAGAGGTGAAAAGAATGATGCACGTTTTCTTTCTTGTTAACTTCTGTAGAGGAAGCATGTGAACATGAGAACATTTCACTCATCGAAGGTCCATTAAGACATGCATCTACATGTTTATTAAAGGCTTCTAGACTGATGATCCCTTGCTCCCTAAAGCAAACAGGACAGGTAAATATCTGATTGTTATCTGAATTCTCTGATGTGTCCAAATTCTCACTCATCTTCTTCTTTAAAACTTGTAATGATTGTGATGTCTGTACATCTTGTCCATTCACAGTTTCACACTTAAATGTGTCTTGGTGGCTCCATTTCTTTTCTGATCGTTTTTTGTCAAAAAAACTCTTCTTATGAGACATTTCTACAGGTTTTAAAAACTGGTCTTTGTCATTTTTCTCTATCCACCCAGTGCCTGGCAGGGTTTGGTCTCCAGCCTGTAAGAAACCAACAATACTCCTTTGTTGGCGTTTCTTACCTTCTTCACTGAGAAAACTAGACAGCCGGACGCCTAAAAGAAACCAACCGCAATTAATCAGTTTCAAATTCAACAGAACCAATTTACTCATAATTCATGAAAATATTTTGCAAATACTTTTGTGACATATATAAAAAGGGCTGTTTAGAGAAAAGTAATTAGCAACACTGTATATTTTCTGAATTAAAGGATGTTTTTCCAAAACTGTATTTTGAGCTGAAATTTATTTTTCAAATAAAACTGGGTATCACTAATTAGCAAGGGCCTACTGGAGTCAGCATGATTATACAGGTCTTTCAATTAAGCTCTTGACACATGATACCATTTAATAAATACTAAGTAATTAGTTGGAGTCAACTACATAGATACTTTAGCTCCTTTTTTTCAATAGGTTTTAATTTTTAGAGCAAATTTAGGTTGAAAACAATAAGTTCAGTTCCCAGATATCCCCTGCCCCACACATACAGCCTCCCCCACTATTGACATCCCCCACCAGAGCGGTACGCATGTGACAACCAATGAAGCTATGCTGACACAACACTATCGTTCAAAGTCCATCCTTTACATTAGGATTCACTCTACGTGTTAGTCACTTTGGGTGATACACATTCTAACATTCTGACAAATGCATAATGACATGTATCTACCATTATAGCATCATACAGAACAGTTCCACTGCCCTAAAAATCCTCTGTGCTCTGCCTATTCATTTCTTCCTTCTTGAAAATCCTTGATAACTACCGATACTTTTATTTATTTATTTTTTTAATTAATTTATTTTTTTAAATTGATTATGCTGTTACAGTTGTTCTATTCCCCCCTTCATTCCCCTCCACCCTGCCCCCCCAACCCCACCATTACCCCCCTTTAGTTTATGTCCATGTTTCTCAAGTCCTTTAGGTTCTATATTTCCCATGCTATTCTTGCCCCACCCATCTATTTTCTATCTACTGTCTATGCTACTTATTTTCTGTACCTTCTCCCCCCATCTCCTCCTCCCACTCCCCTGTTGCTAACCCTCCTTGAGATCTTCATTTCTATATTTCCACTCCTGATCTAGCTGTTCTTTTAGTTTGCTTTCATTTTACGTGTGGTTGTTAATAACTGTGAGCTTGTTGTTCTTTCACTGTTCATGTTTCTTTAACTTCTTTTTCTTAGATAAGTCTCTTTAACATTTCATATAATAAGGGCTTGGTGATGATGAACTCCTTGAATTTGGTCTTATCTGAGAAGCACCTTATCTGTCCTTCCATTCTAAATGAAAGTTTTGCTGGATAGAGCAATCTTGGTTGTAGGTCTTTAGATTTCATGATTTGGAATATTTCTTTCCAGCCCCTTCTTGCCTGTAAGGTCTCTTTTGAGAAATCTGCTGACAGTCTGATGGGGACTCCTTTGTAGGTGATTGTCCCCTTAGCTCTTGCTGCTTCTAGGATTCTCTCCTTCATTTTAATTTTGGCTAATGTAATTATGATATGCCTTGGTGTGTTTCTTCTTGAGTCCAACTTTTTTGGTACTCTCTGGGCTTCTTGGATTTCTTGGAAGTCTATTTCCTTTGCCAGATTGGGGAAATTTTCTTTTATTATTTGTTCAAATAGTTTTTCCACTGGTGGTTGTGTCTTTCCCCCTTCTGGTACCCCTATAATTCAGATATTGGAGCGTTTAAAGATGTCCTGGAGGTTCCTTAGACTCTCCTCATTTCTTTGAATTCTTGCTCCTTGACTCTTTTCTGTTTGGCCATTATTTGGTTTCTCCTGGTCCACTCCATTGATTTGAGTCCCAGTTTCCTTTTCATCTCTATGGGTTTCCTGTGGAATTCCATTCATTTCCCTTAATTTAGCCTTCATATGTTTGTCTAATTTGTGGCTATAATCAACCAGATCTGTGAGGAAGCTGATGACCAGTGTTTTAAACTGTGCGTCTGAGAGTTTTGCTATTTCTTCGTCGCTTAGATTTATCTCTGGGGCTTTGAGGTCTCCCTGCGACATTTTTGGTCTGTTCTGGCCCTTTAAATGTGAGAAACTGCGCCTTGGACTCCCAGGTCGCTGGGTTGTGACGCTGTATGTGGGGCCGTGGTCAGAGCGGGGAAATGGCGGTGCCCTCTATCGCCGCCGGGCTGGTCCAACCGGCCACTCCCTTGCTTGCGCGCAATTAGGCAACCGCGGTCAACTCGCTGCACCGCCTCCCCACTGCCTCCTCTGCAGTCGCTCACCCGGTGGGTTGCTCCGTCGCTCACTAGGTCCAATCCTGGGTTTGGAACCCGTGCGTCTGGATTCGCGCGTCTGGATTTCGCGCTCGGGTCGACCGAGCCCTCCCTTGCAGCTCCTCACCAGACACCGGTTTCGCCCCTTACCAGTCGGGCTGAAGAATTTGTTGTTAGCGGACTTCCGAAAAGTTCAGTTTTCCGTGTTCTGGTTGTGTTTTCTGATGCTAATATTTAGTTGTCCCTAAACTTGGTTGTGTGAGGAGGCACGGCATATCCACCTAAACCTCCATCTTGGCGGAAGTCCTACCAATACTTTTAGTGTCTCCATAATCTTTTCCAGAATGTTATATGGTTGGAATAATACAGTATGTAGGCTTTTCAGATTGGTTTTTTCAGTTAATAATATAAACTTAAGATTCCTCCATGTCATTTCATGGCTTGACAGCTCGTTTCTTTTATGGCTAAATATATTCTACTGTCTGGATATACCACAAATTCCACTGACCTACTGCTGATGGGCATGTTGGTTGCTTCCAAGTTTTACAAGTTTTAGTAATAATGAATAAAGCTGCCATTAATGTATACCATTTAGTTCCTTTTAGTTAACATATTTTACTCAGCTGATCTCAGTGTGTGCTGTCTTTCGTATATGAAAGTATGGCTAATGACCCACTCTCAGCAGTATACTAAGTTGGCATTTGGGATGCTTATCCACAAATGTTGTTTTACACAGTTTACTTTAGAAACATTTCTTTTCTTTTTTTTTAACCACATAGTGGCTAAAGATGTGGTTTTATTAGTACCATAATCCCTCATCTGCAATTCTGAAATCCAAAAAGCCCTGACAATTGTAAGCAACATACAGTAATTGATAGCTGGATGGATGGGAAGCTCTTTAGAGTATTTACAACTCAGTGTGAATATTTTTTTGCTTTGCTACAGAAATATTAGTGTGTTTGATCATGAAGTGCTTCCTCATATCCCAAAGGAGTATTACAAGATATATTCAGTATGCTTTCTAAAATCTGAAGAGTTTAAAATTTTGCAACAAACCTAGCCCCAAGGATTTCAGCAAATATTGATAGTAAGGAAAAGAACAGCTTTAACTGGGTCTTACTGGAATTAAACTAATAATCACAGCATCACATGCATCAAGTTCTAGGAATTAAGGAATATGGCAGCAGTGTAAATAGAAATTCCTAAAGTTTTAAGCATTAAAATGGAGAAGAGAACATTTCCAAATTGATTCTTTGGGAAAGTATAGCACATTTAAGGAAAAGCCAGAAGAGAAAAGTCATACCCATAAGTCTTAACCTCAGGGGATGTGGAGAATCAGCATCAATTTCTGTTCTTAGCAATTCTTTAGCAAGAGCAAATATTTCTTCTGCAGTAGACACAACAGATGAAACTGTAGATGCACGAGTTTTTACTTCAAAATTCACATTCTTCAGCTTAATGGTAACAGTTCTACCCTGTAATTAACCGAATACATTATTAAATATGGTTTTCTAACTTCTAGAAAAAATTATTTTACAGGTTAAAAAGCTCATGAAGCTCAAAACTTACGTACATATAATATGCAAGTACAATCAATCACTTCTAAAACATAGTAATAAAATTGTCATAAAGAATAACTAAAACCCAAAAGTAATTAAAAAATCCCATTTTAGCCAATAATTACTACTCCCCTCCCAAATAAATTTTTGTAAAAGATGTTTATATAAAGGGCAAAGTTAACTAATCTTTTTTTCCCTAAAACCTCTTTTAGAGGTCAATTCAGGACCTAAAAAAAGGAAAGAAAAAATTCTTTCTAAAGGAGCCCATTTGAAAAGGTCTCGTGGACAGCTCACACTTATTGTGTGGCAACTATATGACAGATAGTATGTTAAACAATTTACATGTAAGAACTCTCTGTACAGTAACTATTTAATGAATAGAACATTTCAGTTTGGGATAATGAAAAAGTTCTGGAGATTGACAGCATTGATGGTTACATAGTATGAATGCACTCAATGCCACTGAAATATATACTTAAAAATGGTTAAAACAGTAAATTTTATGTTATGTATATTTTACTACCTTCTGGAGGTAGTAAGAGTGAATTAAACTTATTGACTCACTTCCAAAAACTAGAATATGAAAAGAGAAAAACAGTAACTTCACAATGGAGAAGCCTAGCAAACATCACCCTAACCAAGTGATGGAGGTTAACGTCGCCCATGATATCAGGTGGCTTTCATATGCAGTAGCTACTCCTTATCTGTGGGGATTTGTTCCAACACCCCCAGTGGATACCTGAAAGTGTGAGCAGTACAAAACCCTATCTATATTTACTATGGTTTTTCCTATCATATATACTTATGATAAAGTTCAGTTTATAATTAGGCACAGTAAGAGACTGACAACACAACCAATAATAAAATAGGACATTTTATAAAATTATAACAATATTACTGTAATAAACGTTATATAAATGTGGTCCCTCTCTGATAACTTATCTGATAACCAAGACCATTACTAAGTGACTAATGGGCAGGCAGCATGTGCGGCGTGGATTTCACTGGGCAAAGGGATGATTCTCATCCTGGGCAGAATGGAGCAGGGCAGCATCGGATTTCGTTGTGCTACTAAGAATGATGTACAATTTAAACTTATGATTTGTTTAATTTCTAGAGTTTTCCATTTAATATCTTTAGCCCGTGGGTAACTGAAACTACAGAAAGTAAAATCTCAGTAAGGGGAGACTACTGTACCCTCCTAGGACGCGAAAAGAAGGACACTTCGCCTCTGTGGTGTTCTTCCTAAAACTCATGCTGTGGTCTGTCTGATCTACAGAAAATCACAGACAAACCCAAATTGGGAGATGTCTGGCCAGTATTCCTCGAGGCTATCAAGGTCATGAAAAACAGGGAAATCCTGAGAAACTGTCACAGACTAGAGGAGACTGGAGAAGACATGACAGCTAAACGCACTGTGGTTCCCTGGATTGAATCCTGGAACATTAATGGAAAGAGAACATTAATGGAAAAGAGATAAAATCCAAATAAAGTCTGGAGTTGTGTGAATATCTATGTACTAATGTCAGTTTCTTAGTTTGGACAAATATATTCTGGCAGTATAAGATATCAATAATAAGGAAACCGGTATATTGGAGCTCTCTATAGTACCTTAGCAATTTTTCTGTAAATCCAAAATGATTAACACATTTTTTAAAAAACAACTCTTTTTACAATCAAGTCATGATAGAAAAGGATTATAAGAAAAATACTCATCAATTATCCCATTCATTATAATAATGTTTTAGTATTTTTAATTTTTTATTGAAGTGACATTGGTTAATAAAATCACATGGCTTCAGGTGTACAATTCTAGAAAACATCATCTGTATATTGTACTGTGTGTTTGCCACCAAAGTCAAGTTTCCTTCCATCACCATTTATCCCCCCCTTTACCCTCTTCTACTTTCCCCTAATCCGCTTTCTCTCTGGTAATCACCATTACATTTTGTAATTACTCTAAATAACTCTGGTTTGAGAGTGTCAGAAAAACACTAAATGTGGATTGCTCTGAGTGAAGAATATCAAATACAAAGTTCAAAGCCTTCCAGATGTTGTTCTCAATGTATTAAAAAAAAAACCTGCATTAGATCCTTGAAACAAAATGCTTACTGTAGAAAGTCACTGTCTGCATGAGAAAAACATTAATGGATGGTTGGAAGTCATTTATAATATGTAAATACAGTTCTAGGAAAATCCTTCCCCCTTTGCTTCATTCTCTAATACCAATGTAACTCTGATTTCAAACTTATTCCAAGGACTTCCAAGGCAGTATAAATGCCTCTGGAGTTATGCTGGAACCACTCTACCCTGCAACTCGCTTCTGCACAGAATGACAGGCTGACCCTCAAATAAGCGTCAGAATTAAATTTCTTTGTTGGTGATGAGAATACTCTTATCTGACATTTCCCACTTTGCATTCAAATGCAATATCTAATTCTTGCATTAAAGTGCACTTTATTATCAGAAAATTTTGAAGCTGAGAGAACACCGAATTAAAACGAAGCACCTTGAGCCCTTCTTTCTGCAGGTCCCGAGCAAGCTCGCTGCAAAGCTCCTGGCACAGGCTGTACTGTTCTTCCGCTGTACTCATCTCACTGAATGTCCTAGAAAGACAAGAATGATCTTGGTGTCCAAAGGAAAAATATAATTCAGGATAATTTAGGAATGATATACTATGTTTAAATGGCTTAGCATTAAGTTATATTTTCTGTAGTACAGAATAAAGTTTTCAGATGAATTAAGATATAATTAAGTAAAAAACATTTAAGATCTTCTTAATAATTGAAGATCATTTAGAAAATGAAGCTGATTAGCAAAGGTATATTTTCATACTTCTTGCTCATTCTGTAGTATTTTAAAAAATATAATTAAAGCCACCAACAGATCATAATAATACCCTCAGAAACTTAAAACACACTAAGGCATATACGTATATAGACTCTGCTCTAAAGGATTATCTTAAGAAAGTACAGATGAGAATATTATTCCAATTATTACACAGGTATTTTCTGAAAGTATCTTCAAGTAGATTTAAAAGGTTGTTTAATGGCACCCAGGTGTAGTTATCTAATAATTGAAAATGGAGGGCTGATTAAATGCAGAAAATTTTTAGTTCATCTGCACGAGAGTGTTAAAAGAAGTTGAAAGGTCAATTAACCTAAAAGAAGAGGCAACTACAGAGAAATCGGAGTAGTTATAAATCATGTGCAAATGACCATTCAGACCTCCCCTTCTAACTACTCAACTACCCTGTTCTCCCCGCAGTGCAGAACCAGTGTTGCTAGCTTTCTATTCTTATGAATTCCTCGAGTAATATTTCATGCACATATAAACAAAGCAAATATTTTCTCCTCATTTTTATATAAGCAGTAGAATATTAGACACATAGTTTAATGCTTTGCTTTTCTCAGTTCGTCCTGGTCAAAGTTCCCTATGAGTAAATAATTTTCTCATTTTTATATGGCAGCAAAATATTCTAGTTTAAAGATGTAAGGTCATTTAACCAGTCCTCCATTCATGGGTATTTAAGTTACAATATTTTCAATCTTTTGCTATAGTAAAAAATGCAATGAATAACTTTGTATACATGTGAAATGACATGCAATTACAACTATATAATAAATTCCTATAAAAAGAACTGTGGGATCGAAGTACATATGCATCTGTAATTTTGAAAGATACTGACAAATTGTCTGTCCCCTGTGGTAGGCACACTAATGGTCCCCAAAGATGTCCAAATCCTAATCCTCTGAACTGAGAACATCACGAAAGGGACTTTGCAGATATGCTTAAGTCAAGTCAGGGAGCTTATCCTCAATTATCCAGGTGGGTTAATAGAATCCCAAGGTTCCTTATTAAAGGGAGGAGGTTCAGAGTCAGAGAAGAAGAAGGTCCTAAATTTGAATACAGAAGATGGGTCCGTGAGCCAAAGAATATAGGCAGCCTCCAGAAGCTTTTGATAAAGAGACCAATTCTCTCCTGGAGCCTCTAGAAGGAACGCAGCCCTGCCAATAGCTTAATGTTAGGACTTCTGACCTTTAGAACTATAAGAGAATAAATCTGTGTTGTTTTAAACCACTAAATTTGTTATGGTACCACTAAGAAGCTAGCACATCCCCTCCTAGGGTTTATACCTTCTTCACTCCCATAGTCTTGCCAGTAGGTTGTGTTAGTATCTTTGCCAACCTTATTAGTGAAAAATACTATCTCAGAGAATTTTCAATCTGTATTTCTTAAATTATAAAGCAGATTGGGAATATTTTCACATGTTTTAAGAGCCATTTATACTTCTCTTTCTGTTAACCAGATTTTTGTTATTTTTTTCTATTGATTTGCCAGCCCTCTCTTAACACATGTTAATAGTTAATATTTTTGTATACTAAGTAGTGTTCTCAGTAACAGACAAAATGGAAGAAAAAATTCATTAAATAAGACAATATTATCACACTCTTAGGTGCTTTTCCCCCCTTTCCTTTGATTGCTTTTTATGTAAATCACAGCCTCAAGGCAATTTTGATCAGTCATTTATTGAGTACATCATCTTGTCAGTGTCATTCAGCTTTTCTGATCACAACCATATACTATGTCCATAGTTTTGAATGTCTCAGTGGAACTTCGGTGCTTGGAGAAAACTAAGGGACTGCACAAACAATGAGATATTTTCCAAAACAATAAGGTTTCCATCAAGATTCCATTTAACTTCTAAATAAGATTGTGAACGAATGAAACAGATCACCTCTAAGCTCTCTTACATCATTGTCTATTTATTTGATGACTCAGCTCATTCACTAATATTTGAAGAGTTTTAGAAAGAATTTCCATGGCCACTTCTTAAATTTCCCAAATAACTTCTCAGTATAATTTTTTAAAATAAAGGATAGAAATTAAGATTTGGAATCCTAAAATGCTTGGTTTTCACTGAATAGGAACAAAATCAACATTTAAAAAAATAACTGTAGTTAATTTTTTTTTCCGTTGAGAGCATAGCAAGTGAAGATAATAAAGCATTGTACTGGGATATTTACTTCAGGAATGTGACATGCTGCATATTGTTCTGTGGTTTGTTCTATTTTAATTTCAGTGATACTTTTCTAAAAATTAAAAATTAGTTTAAAATAGCATGAATTATGAACAATTAATAATATTGAAATATTACCTCTCAACACTCATGCTTTTCCTCTCTCCATCCCTTGAAATGAAGAAAAAAAACCATTTTATTTGCTTTCTCAAAGACTGAGTTCCTTTTAGCAGACCAAGAAGATTTAATATATCAAGTACCCTTCAGAAATCTCAGTGTTTTTGATTAAAATTTATACATCATGAAAAAGTGAGTTTTTAAAAATCTAGGAATAAATCACCCAGAGAATGTAGATAGATAAGATGCTAATATGATCACACATGTCATGGATCAAGTCTACATCTATCTAAGAGAACAAATTTGAAAACAGGCTGATATTGCCCTGGCCGGGTAGCTCGGTTGGTTGGAGCATCACCCTGACACGACAAGGTTGCCGGTCCGATTCCTGGTCAGGGCACATCCAAGAAGCAACCAATGGATGCATAAAGTGAAACAACAAATCGATGTTTCTCTTTCTCTCTCTTTCTTTCTCTCGACCCCCTCTCTCTAAAGACCAATAAATAAAAAAATTCTTAGAAGAAAATAGGTTGATATTATAAACTGCTTCTATTAAAAGCCTGAATATCAAAACCACAACTTACAAAAACAATAGCAAGTGGTGATATAATGGCTTGCAGTTAGTTATAGGATGTAATTAAATTTTAAATAATTTAATATCAATTATCTAGCTTTTGGCTGAGTACATTAACTTCTCTCTCCTATAGCCTGTTCGTTATTCATTGTACCACTCTATAGAACCTCGGGCAGAACTTGGCACACAGCAGCAGGATGAACATTGGGAATGGAATCTGAAGCATCTAGTTTGGTTAGATTCCACCAGCTCTGACAGGAGCAGTTGACACCAAATGGCTGAAATGACAGTTACGTTATTCATTTCCAAAGATTCAATTAACCTGTTCTGAATGAAGCACTGTTCTAGGCCTTGGGGATACAGTAATGTAGAAAACAGACCAAGTACCTGCCCTAAGGAACTTGTATCTTTGTGGAGAGAGACAAATAAACAAATAAAAAGTGAATATGGAATATGTTAGAAGGGGAGAAGTACTACAGATTTAAAAATAAAGCAGAGTAGGGGGCTTAGAGAATGTGGACAGAGAAAAGGTAGATTTGTTATTTCATATTATTATTATATTATATTATATTATATTATTATAACCCCAGATTAATGTGTGAAATGTTTTATCAGGAACTTTATTGTGGTTAAGCACTATGGAAATAAAAAGAGGTTGATTTTTGTATTAAAAGAGAAAGGCTTATTTCTCATTATCTTCAATGTGTGGTTGCCCCTTGTGCATCCCCTCCTGGGGACCTGGCCCACAACCCAGGCATGTGCCCTGACTGGGAATCGAAGTGGTGACCCTTTGGTTCACAGGCTGGCACTCAATCCGCTGAGCCGCATCAGCCAGGGCTCATCATTACTAGATTATGTGTAGTACTGTGATGTCTTTTTCTTATTTTTCATTATATCCACTCAAATTCAATGTCAGCTAATTGTGGACTCAACTGATTGAGAAGCATGGAGAGCTAAGAAAAGCAGTACCACAAGCCTTACAATCTCTGTAAGATTTAGCAGGTTTAATTGATTAATAAAACTTATTTTACATGCCCCAAGGAATCTTTTGTTCTCCTTTATTTTGAGTATAAGACTATAAAGGAGCTATTTTGAGGGCAGGCTGACAGGATGATGACAAAACGAAAAATAGTGTTGTGCTAATTCCCATCCTTTTTCTAATTCCCCTTTTCACCCACTCCCAAAAGTATACCCTTCCAGCTCTAGGAAACTCCTTTTTAAGACCTGGACAAAAGAGAGTGGGCAGGAAGAAAACACAGGGCCCCTCCTCTAGTCACTCACCTGCTAGATCTCTACGTGGTCGGACCCTGCAGGGTTCTGTCTCCCTATGACGGCAGCCAAGCCCAGCTCTTCCCTGGCCCCCTAGTCATTTTTAAGGCCCTCACTGCCTCATTTTCTTCATTCATTTATTTGGTTACTTTCTATCTCCCACACTAGTCTGTAAACTCCAGGAAGGCAGGTCTTTGTCTTGTTTACTGCTATTATCCCCAGCATCCAGAACAGTACCTAACAAAAATTAAGTATTCAGTACTGAATGAACAAATCATTACAAATCTGGGAGGGAAATAGGTCATGAAGGTTTTCAAAGAATCATTCAATCTCCTTGTTTAAAAAGTGAATTCTGGAATAAGAGCCATCTTGCTTTTCTGAAAAATCTGACCACTAGGTCTTCCAGTATGCTTGTTCTGAACAAGGAACGAGGCGTGTACAGAAAAGAGAGTACCCATCATTCCTCTTGTTTCATCTATCCAACTGCTGTAGCCAACAACCTAGGAGTAATTCTTTATCCCTCTTTTCCTTTTCTCCCACATCCAATCTTTTGATTCTAATTAAAAAATTATATTCCAAATTGAACCAGCCCAAAATCATGTAAAAACATGTTATCCTTATAGGTTCCACTTCAATGGTTAGAACTGTTATTTCAGCAAATAATAAATAAAAAGCAGAATGAATATACATATGGATACCTTGTCAGATGTGTTGAACCCAGACCCATGGAAATCTGTAGGAAATAACGCCAAGATGTTTCAGAGAAAAGAAGAGAAAGTAATGCCCTTTGTTGGTAGAGTTCTGTACAAGTTATAATTCCAAGAGCCTTTAACATTTTCTCTGTAACTTTTCCTATTCCAGAAACCTAGAAGAGAATCAATATTTATTATTAACACATTTTTAAATTAAGGTAAGAACTGTTATTATAATCTCATTATGCACTTTATAATCAATAAAAGGCATAAATAATATGACTGTATTCATGTTATTTTCATAAGAAAACTGCTTTAATTGCTTTTTGGCATTTCCTGAATTAGCGTTCCATAAAAACTTAAACGTAAAATTCCATAAAATTTTTAAAAGCACTAAAAAAAGAGGAGTTCTGTGGTCAAACTTGGGGAATGCTAGGATAAGCAAATTTAAATTGAACTCCTCAGTGTAACACTTATAAATCTTTAATATAGTAGTATCTTTGTGATCCATAAGGGTGGTAGATTCCAAGTTATTTGACCCCAAAACCTTTTTTATGGAACACCTATTCATACTTTAAGAAACATATTGGAAAACACTGTTTTATAGCTATACCTTACATAATAAACTATTCAGTAATCATTATACATTCTATATTTTGAGATAGTCTTTCTTTTGAGCATTGAAAAATGCTTTATTTAAATTTACTCATACACTATGTTGAATGAGAAAAGTCCTACCTCTGGGGTGTCCAACTTTTTGGCATCTCTGGGCCACACTGGAAGAAAAGTTGTCTTGGGCCACACATTAAATATACTGCAACACGTAATCACACAAAAAATCTCATAATGTTTTAAGTAAATTTACAATTTTGTGTTGGGCTGCAGGTTGGACACCCCTTTACCTAGGACATCGAATGGTATATAGTGCAATTATTGTTTAAACAGCATATATATATAGAAAAATCTAGAAGCTTTAAAAACAATAAAATGTACCCCCCTTCTTATAACTCCTAAAGTATCATTTTACCATTTTAAACATGGTTATTTTGATGCACTTTTGTTAAAATGAGTAAAATTCTAAATCTCTTTGAAGTATCATATGTGTTAATCTAGCAGCAATCTGGACTTTAGAACTAAGACTGTATATTGAGTTACAGCTGAAAGAACTCTTCTCTGTATTCTTTTTATTCCTCTTCTCCTTAGGAGGGGTAAAGTTAGTCTGTCATCTATTACTTTCTTAAAACTTTTCAGCAAACAAGATTTCTAAACCTCACATATTAAGGGTTTAATAGAAAGATTTCTTCCAATTCAATCATCCATTATAGTTCTTGCTTGTTACCTACTGTTTTAAAACTTTCAGCTAAGAATTACTATCATCCTAAATAGTATCTCTTTCAGAACTCAATCGTATACAGAACTCAATGGTGTGTGTGTATACATATGTGTGTGTGTATATATATACATATATATATATATATAAAATAAGTTTTATATAAAAATCTCACCTTTCTAATGGGTAAGTCCTTGATGAAATCCATCACGGCTTGTCTGTTGGGGAGAATTTGGTATTGTCCATTTGGTTTATTCTTATCACTGCATACTTTTGCTAACATTGTATTTGGGGCAATGCCTTAAAAGAAGAACACTCTGATGACTCAAAGAAGTTGATATGTATGACTTTAAAATACATGATGACAATATAAGAAAAAAAAAATAATATTAAGTGCAAAAAAATCTGAAATGATGTGAAATGCTGTTTTAAAAGTAACAGTGGGTTAAAAAAAGTGTTTTTAAGAAAACAGTGGGATTAAGCAAAATCACAAAACAAAACAAAAAAACTCACAGTCACAGAAAACAGTATGCTATATACCAGAGAGAAGTGGGGTTGGGAAAGTAGAAAAGGGAAAAAGGGGGGATAAATGGTAAAGGAAAGAGACTTGACTTTGGGTGGTGAACACGCAATAAGATATACAGTTAATGTATTATAAAATTGTATACCTGAAACCTATATAATTTTAACCACTGTTAAATAAATTCAATAAATAAAAAATGCATCCATATTTAAAAGAGAATATTCAGATAACAGCAATAAATCATAATAATATGCCTTGTTAAATAAGTAAATAAAAATAAAATAATGGTGGATTATTATCTATCTCCCCTGGGCTTCCTATGGTTTTAGGTAAATCTCCATTGTATTTTAAAGTCTAAGAGTAATTCCTGAGTTTAAGTGATACCAGAAAGGACCCAAGAACCCCAGAAATTTACTGATAAAAATTGTGTATTTATTCTTATGTGTTTAAACTTCAGTCACCTTCAAATACTCTCCATCTGATGAAATGTATCTATTGAAACATTTTTTTTCACTGCTCAAAATAGTTTTTGAACTTGTTGATTCTGATGCCTTTTGGTGCTTCTGCCATTTTTTGTTTTACCTTTTCCACACTGGCAAAAAGTTTCCCTTTTAGAACTTTTTTCATCAGGGAAACAAAAAAAGTTGTTTGGGGTGATACTGGGTGAACAGGGAGGGTGGGGCATGGAGATCATGCTGGTTTTAGTAAAAAACTGTTGAAACTCAGCATGGTGTGGGCAGGTGCGCTCATAAATCATCCATCATGAAATGGGCAAATGTGTTGAAAGAGTCTTCAAAAAAAATTCCCTGAAGCAAAATGCAGCCTCTCACAACACCACCAGCTGGTGCACTGAGACAGAGGGGTTCCTAGAACTCTCACCTAGTGGGGAAAGTCTGTACTACAAGGGCCCCCCCCCTCTAGAAGATAATTCTGGTTTTGGGAGGACCTTCCCTCCGTACTGTTAACTTACATACCATCTGTAGTAAAAGCATAGGCTAGCTTATAAAAAGATCCAGAATATAAATTAGAAGGTATGTTTACTCTTTGAAAAGGTCTTCTGTATAAATTATCCACATAAAAATATCAAAAATTTAAAACAGTAATAATAAATTGTGTGCATCATTTTTATGTTATAAAGTACTACTTTTAATGATTAGGAGAAATTGAAATAAAAATATTACAATATAATCATTAAACAGTTCACTGAAATTTTCATACACATCTTCCTAAATTTTATTACTGTTCTCACGCTTTGGTGTATAAAAGGAGAAAACCAACCTCATCTTAATATGGCTTATATAAGATAACTTGGGATCCTTAAGATGAATATCAACCTCTATGCTAAGCAGTGTCACCCTTATGGGTTACTGACATATGTAAAGCTCTTTTTCCCTTCACTGGATGGTCCTAGGTTGTTATGTTGCCAGTTGGTGATTCTTTAATCTACTACTCTGTGGCTATCTGGGGTCTCTCCTGCACTGTAACCCTGGAAGGGCTGCAGTCTTCCGAGGGAAAAGTAAGAAAGTGCTATGTCCAAAAACAATTAAAATATAATTTGTGCTTAAAAAAAGAAAAGCTACATGAGATTTATAATAGTTTTTTTTTCCTTTGGGCTCAGGGCTTTTTGGCTTAATTCCAACTTACCTATAGATTCTAGGCATTTTAAATAGGCTGTTAGAAGTTGAATAAAAAATAATGAATAACTAAAATGTTACTCTATACTTTATAGTGACAAACTACTAATATTACACATGAATTAGACAGTCCCAAAATTATAAGTATTAAGTATCCTGTTTAAGTACCTGCACTGGCTGTCAGTGTTGTTTTTTGCTCGATTCTGAAACGAATTTCCTTTACCACTTCCTCAGCTGATGTTCCAAAAACAACTGAGTTTTGAATTGTTTGAGGATTATTCTGTTCTTCATTGTTCACTTGGGAAGTATTTCCTGGGGGCTGCAAATCAGGAGGACTATCCTCGAAAAGTAATGGAGAGACAGATCGTTCATGCTCACTCGGTTTATTAAGTTCCTTTTCTGGCTTACCTAAACGAGAACAGGAACAATAATTCACTTTCATCTTAAGAAGCATATACTTCATAAATCAGGTTTTGCTACATTCTTTCTAAACACAAAATAAATAGAGTTTAGTTTTGTTTCTAAGGACCAAGGTCAGAAATGTCATCATTTAGATTTTACAACTGTTTTAAAAAGAAAACAATGATTTTAAGGTTTTTAAAATATATATATTAGCCATTTCCATAGTATACATTTTAAAAGGAAAGATCCTAAGTAAAACCCCCTAATTATTGTATTTATAACATATTACTTTTTTCTTAGAAAATGACAGCTTTCTTTTTGTTTGTTCACTTATCTCTAGGGGAAAAATATCTTTCTTAAATTAGAATTTAATAATGAGAAGAAATTAAGCAATCTAAAATAAATTCCTGAAATAATAAGTTTTGCTTTTAGAGGAAAAAAACTTAAATTTCCCTCATTCATGGAACACACTTTTCATATATTAACATAATCTAAATTTTCTTCTTTCAAATGCTGTTTTTAATTTTTACTTGTCTGTTATTAAAGGATCAATCTTACTAAAGGCATATTTGAAAGAAATAGAAATTACTTCTGGGTATTATACAAATTCTTTTTTTAAATTTACAGTCTCTATTTTACATATTAATATCCATTAAAATATATAAATTCTTAAGGTCTGATTGGAGTAACCATTGTGCCGGGTTCAGGGAAAGAAGCCTTTATTACTATCAATAGGCTATAAACTACTGACTGTATTTTGCCATGTATAAGGCACACTTTTTTGCCCAAAGTTGTGAGGGAAAAGTAAGTATGTGCATTATACATGGATAGTATTAATTCTGTATCTATACAAATATTTTAAATTTCCTTAATTTATGCTTATATGTTCAAAGTGTAATGCTAGAAAGTGATAACAATATCTGTATGCAAAATAATACCATGGAATACAATAATTGGTTTTCTCTAAATATAAATAAATAATTAGAAAACGAAAATGAAAGTTTATTTTTTCCCTGAAAGTTTGGGCCAAAATCGTGGGTGCGTATTATACATGGGAGCACATTACACATGGCAAAATACTATAATATTATTATTAAATAGTACAGTAAAAGTATCTATCTGAAAATTATTACCTCATTTCATTTGCATTTTTCATAAATGGCCTGTAAAATACAGTTAAAATATATACTGGTACTAAAAATGTTATCATGAATAAATCCATTAAAGACTTTACTTTGTAGGCTTAATGGAGAAATGCAGTTTAAATACACTTATAACTAAAATTAACAACAGAGCTTTCTGATCTCATTTCATGATTTTATTAGACATAAATGCTTTCCAAATTAAGGTAAGTACACAATCAAAAATTAAATTTCTACTTCTGGCCAAGATGGAGGCATAGATGGAAACACTGTACCTCCTCACACAACCAAAATTAAGGACAACAAAGATATAGAAATAAAAACACAACCAAAACAGACAGAAAACTGAACTGTATGGAAGTCTGACAACCCTTCATCCAGACCAGTAAGAGGGGTGGAGTCGGTGGCCCATGGGGAAAGGTCACAGCAGGAAAAGGCGGTGGCTGGCAGACCCGGGTGCACAGGCGGCACAGGGCTAGCAAACCCCAGGCACAGGGAGGCAACAAGCAAACCCAGTGAGGCGTGCAAGGTGGCTGACTGACTCTGGACACACATTTGCAGCAGAAAAACCAGGCAAAAACAGGGAGCAAGACATATCATGCAACACAGGGCCTCAGCAATGGGAAATAAAGCCTAAAAGCACCGACTGAAAACACTTGTGGGGGTTGAGGTGCCAGGAGAGACTCCCAGCCTCACAGGAGAATTCACTGGAGAGACCCATAGGGTCCTAGAACTTACACAAGTGCACCCACCAGGAACCAGCATCAGAAGGGCCCTATTTGCTTGTGGGAAGCAGCTGAGGGGACTGAAATATGAGAGTGGAGCAAACACTATTTCTCCCTCTCTGACCCCGCCCCCACATACAGACACTGGGTTGCCCTGTCCTGGTGAACACCTAAGGCTCCACCCCTTACTACATAACAGGCACCACAACACACACACAAAAAAATGGCTAAAACAGAGGAACAGATCAAAGCTCCAGAAATAATACAATGAAGTGACCAAGAGATAGACAACCTATCACGTGCACAGTTCAAAACACTGGTGATCAGGATGCTCACAGAACTGGTTGATTTTAGTCATAAATTAGATGAACAAATGAAGGCTACACTAAGTGAAATGAAGGAAAATACACAAGGAACCAATAGTGATGGAAAGAAAACTGAGACTCAGATCAATGGAGTGGACCAGAAGGAGGAAAGAAACGACCAAACAGAAAAGAATAAAGCAACAAAAAATTTTAAAAAATGAGGAGAGGCGTAGGAACCTCCAGGACATCTTTAAACGTTCCAACATCCGAATTATAGGGGTACCAGAAGGGGAAGAGGAAAAGCAACAAGTAGAAAACTTATTTGAACAAATAATAAAGGAGAATTTCCCCAATCTGGCAAAGGAAATAGACTTCCAGGAAGTCCAGGAAGCTCAGAGAGTCCCAAAGAAGGTGGACCCAAGGAGGAACACACCAAGGCACACCTTAATTACATTCACCAAGATTAAAATGAAGGAAAGAATCCTAGAAGTAGCAAGAGATAAGGAGTCACCTACGAAGGAGTTCCCATCAGACTATCAGCTGATTTCTCAAAAGAGACCTTGCAGGCAAAAAGGGGCCTGCAAGGCCCCTTGGAATACTTGGAATACTTGGAAAGAAGTATTCAAAGTCATGAAAGTAAAGGACCTACATCCAAGATTGCTCTATCCAGCAAAGCTTTCATTTAGAATGGAGAGGCAGATAAAGTGCTTCTCAGATAAGGTCAAGTTCAAGGAGTTCATCATCACCAAGCCCTTACTATATGAAATGTTAAAGGGATTATCTAAGAAAAGGAAGATACAAAATATGAACAGTGGAAAGACAGCAAACTCACAGTTATTAACAACCACACCTAAAACAAAAGCAAACTAAGCAGACAGCTAAAACAGGAGCAGAGCCATAGCAATGGAGATCACATGGAGGATTAGCAACAGGGGAGTGGGAGGAGAAGCAGAGAGAAGGTACAGAGAATAAGAAGTATAGATGGTGGGGAGAAAATAGACAGGGGGAGGGCAAGAGTAGTATGGGAAATGTAGAAGCTAAAAAACTTATGACACATGGACATGAACTAAAGCAAGGTAATGTGGGTGGGAAAGCAGGGTGGAGGGGAAGGAAGGGGGGGAATGGGACAACTGTAATGGCATAATCAATAAAATGTATTATTAAAAAATGAAATTTCTAACTTTAAGACACACATGAATGCATATTACTTTAAAATGAACTTAGAAGATTTTCTAAAGATAATATAAGCAATATGACAAACATCTGATTCATTTCTAATTTTAAAGTATACAATACAAATTAAGTTACAGAGAGATAATTTCCAAATCTGAATCCCTAGGCCATTACAAAATAAGCCTTACATTAGCTGTTATTTGTGTACTTCAGTTCCTTCCATTTGCCATGTTCTGGTTTAAATTGCAGAGCAATTCACAGGGGATTAAGACTGGTGGCTGAAATGCTATTTACTTAGACCCCCTTTCCTCACCTGGAAGGGTGGAAGTCAAGGCAAAGAGAGAAGAAAAATTGCAGCTCAAGGAAGGTATAAACCTGTCCTGTTCACAAGTCCCTTCTGCACAGCCCTCAAGCCATTTTTCTGTTCCTCAGGGCTCTATCACCTGCCCTTGGGTGAGTCACACTGATTGTAGAACACTATACGTGGCAGGAAGCAAAGCATGCAGCCTTCAGTTTCATTGTTAGAGCTGCTGAATGCCATAGTTACCTTTCAAATCCGGTTACCTCTCTGTGAGGTGTGGATGAGCAACTAAATGCCTAAGTGGTTTCTTACTTGCTTTCTGAAAGAAATATCCTTATAATCCCTTAACTGAGGTGATCAAAGTCCAACACTAAGGTTTCTTATAATCTGAAACACTTAAAACATCCACTTGGTTGGCAAAGTGTTAAAAATGTACAGTATTTTAGTTTCACACATTCCTTGACACTCATGATTCAGATTTACACGGCAGAATAAACATAAAATAATTATTTTATTTGTATATACATAGTAGTTAGCAATATTTTTCCAAAGACCACATCTTTTAGAACAGGAGCAAACAGCAGAAAACTGTCTGGGACTTTGGAGGAAGCGGCATCAGTCACCTGCATGGCTCCAACTCTAAGCTTCCCATGGCACAATGGGAAATCAGGTATGCCTGAGAGTCAGCCCACAGATATTTACATATTTCCAAAAAAGGTCAAGCTATTTAAATTGCTTAAGAGTATGAACCTAAGAATAGGAAAGTACATATGTTAAAACAATAGGTATTAAAAATTCACATCTTTGTAGTGAGTCTAGACATATTATAATAAATAAAAAGAACATTAGTAGAGAATGAAAACACTTACCTTAGTCCCCATGTAACTTTTGAAACAACATATATGAAAGTAATCATTATGGAAGGCCCCCAGGGGATGCTTTCACATAATCATTTAATGTCCCCCACCCCTTTCTCTTGTGAAAAGGAAGGAAATAACAAAGTGAGAATTTAAGCAAAGTGACGTGAGGCTTTTTGTGTCACTTCCCCCAAACAATCAAGTTAAACTAAGGAAATAAAAAATATTTTGTTCCAAGCCTCTGTGCAGAAATCATCCTTGTTTATTTTTAATGTTTCTATTAAAGAGACTTAGCTCTTAGAACTATAAAGAAGGTAGAGAAGCGGCTCCAAATATTTGAGACCCAAGCAATGTAAGAGTCAGAATCTTTGCCATTGAGAACCCACAGCCTTTGCTGCAGGGGCACAGACAGAGGTGCCGTCTGAAGCTGTCAGTGAGTTGTGCACCTGCAATGTGGCTGTCAGTGTGAGTAAAAACCCTCTGTCTCTACCTTTTAACTCAGGTGAACTTGGCTCAGGAGTCCAGGACCCCTCAAATATTTGAAATGATCGTAAGTATGAGAGAAGGCTGAAAGCAGTATTCATAATATCTTCATGTTTCTCAGTATCGTTTTGGATAGGTAATAAGGGGACCATTTAAAAAAAGCCTTCTGGGTCACGAAACTTCTGTTTCATCATATAAAAGAATAAAAGTAAGGTCTAAGGCAAGGAAGGGAGTTGGGAGTTGTTAATTTGAAAAATGAAGAAAAAAGCCACACAATATTGTGATATGTTTGAAGCAAATTTTTAAAAAGCTATTTGCAATTACAACAAAAGGCCACCTTAAAGAGATAAGCCCCTCAGGTTCAATGTATTCCAACCCTTTGTTAGTTTGATTTTAGGAAAAGAAATGCTGTGAATTTGCTTTATTCAGGGACTCTGCACAGTCTTACAGTCTAGATATTTAACAATCACATTTGGTTTAAAAGTAACATTTCTCATATTTAACTCAGAAAACCTACTGGTATATTATAAGTTTCTGATTTTTCATTTTTAATAATTTTTCATAATAAAGGTATAGCTAGCTAGTCCTACTACCTATGCATGCTAATAGGTTAACTAGGTTAATTCAAATTCAAAGGGTTTTTTATTTGTTTGCTAGTTTGATTGTTCTAATAAATTGCTTACCATTTTCTAGAGAGTTCCCTGTTTTGATGAAATATTTTCTTTTGTCCTCAGGCCAATTTTGTCTTTCCTGTAAGTGCGCTGTTATATTCAAGTAAGCTTCATCAAGACTCATGGCCATAAAATTGGGATCATAATCAGCAAGTATTTCCTTAACCTTCGAAATGAACAAAATAGTTTAATGTTTGCTGCCATAGCAAAATCTGCAACATACAGCTGATAAGAAAAATTATATTCTTATTTGCAACTATGGAAACAACCCTACAATCAATAGCTCATGGATTTAGGGAATAAATAATTTGCTGCCAGGGCAAACTTGTCCAAATTCTCCTCCGTATGAAAACAGATCGTGAACACAGAAGACCAGGTTTATTTGATACAATCTCTGGGTAGCCACCTATATCTAGATAGAGTAGGTGATTTAAATAAGTCTTAGACAACGTCATTCTGGTAGGCACAGAAAAAAATGGTTAAGCACTGCAATTTTAAGTAGTCGATCAAAAGGAGAAGTAGGGAGGAACAATAGGATCCTGTTCCCCCTCATCTTTTATGATGGTTTTTGTACATTTTGAAAAGGAATAATCTTACATAATGGTATTATGCTGCTTTAGAAAGTAGTTCTATTTCAATTAATTGTAACATACACATAAAACTCCACTCAATACACACATTAATGCATGCATTCATTCAAGAAAACAAAGCTCGATCATCAGGATTTACAGTGGAAAAGATGACAAAAGTCTGTAGTGCTTGTGTCTGTAATAAATGATGGAGAAAAGTCCGGAGTTGCATCTTGGGATAACAGAAACACAAATAAGAGATCAGAATTTCTGTATGATTCCAGAAATGCCTTTTACATAAGACAGTTTTATTACTCATGAAACCAATTTTTTAACTCATTCTTCTATTTATTTATTTTTTCTTTATTTTTTAAGCTCTGAAATATTAGCTGAAATTAGAGGAAATGGTTACCAAAATAATATGTATGTTAGAAAAACATACTTGCTAAATTATGTTATGGTTCCATCTAGTATTTAAAAGCTGTCTGCTGCACCAGGAGAAAGCCTTTCTTTATGATTTATAAAAAGAAAGCTTTTTAGCTTAATATAAGTATGAACAGCTGAGTGAAAGGTAATTTTAGAAAATGGTGACATAAAACTTGGCTACGCTTTGCTCAGAGAGAACCTTAATTAACTCTGTTCTTGTAGAAGAAATGGTTTTTATGATGCACTCAAAAAGAATCTTTCTAGTGAAAATGAAACTCTGGAAAGTCTGTAGTTGGCAGACGACTAAGATTACTCTGAATGAACAGTACTCCTCAGAGGCACTGAGTACTCACTGACTTCCTTTACACAGGACATGGCTTTGAGAATGAGAACAGACATGTTCCAGTAAATAGCAAGTACTTGGGCTTCAAGAACAATTCAAGTGATTCCATTCTTGTGGATAAAACAAAATGGCTTTCCCTAAACTTATAAACCAAGGCATAAATATGAATGTATTTATAGTCACGGAATTTATGCTATAGTTCATTTACACATAAAAACCCATTTGTTATCTGCAAATAAACTAGATCCTACTTAAATTTGAAGAAAAATTTCTCCAACTTACGCAGATAACTAAAGATAACTAAAAACAATTTAGTTCTCACTGTTACACTGTCCAAAGTTTTACTGAATTAAAGTAGGACTTAAAAAAACTTTCTTACAAAGTCTTTGAAAGATGTTCGAACTTATTAAAGGCCTACTTTACTAAAGGTCAGCATTTTATATCTTTCTAATTAGGAAGACAGTCAAACAGATAAGCAGTTAGCAAATGAGAATGTGTTTCTCCAACTCACCCCCTACCAGAGGTAGGCGCAAAAGTGCTTGCTGCCACAGACTGTTCATAAATTTAAAAAAAAATTTGTGTGGGATATCATTTTATTTTGGGGGGGTTCATTTCTAGGGGAAATGAGGTGGAATACAAATAAGAGGAGTGAATCTAAAGACCATGTGCATAACTAAGAGAGAGTAAGTACTAGGTCATGGTTTTTTAAATGTTTCAATTCAGACAGCAGTCTATAACACATTTCATTTTACCTCACTTGTTTAAAGTGTTTAAGGTAGCATTATAAAATTTTAATTTATGACTCACGTTCCAGCACTGGTATAATAGCTAAGTTATCAAAAATAGAGAAAAATGGCAGTTTTTCGTATATGACAGTTTAGGCAATTTTAATGTATAATCAAATCTTTATACTGCAGAGATCCTTTTCAAAGCAATAGATTATTCCCCTTTTTTCTTTATCAGTCTCCTAGATATTGTGGGCCGCTCTGCCTGGTTCTAGGAATTGTAACTCTATCCCCTGTGGCTAAGGAGGAGTCAGTGACCTCTGGAATTTGAGCCGCAGGAGACAAAGCTTGTCTCTGGTAGCAAATGCTGCCTCAGTTTCCTCTCTGCCCCCAAAGCATGGTCAGAAGTCCTTGATGAGTAAGATCCCTCAGAGGAGGGGCAACCTAAGACAGACATGACCACTTGAGAGGCCATCATGGAAAGACTCAGGGGGCTGCAACAAAGAGAGATGGACTCTCACCCCCTGGCTTTCACAAAGCCAGAGTCTCTATAACCTCTGGGAGAAGTGCTTCCTGGCTCTACTCCCCTTAAGCCTGAATACCTGATGGGGAGGGGTGCAGCTCCTTGCCTTGCTAGAGCATGTCCTGGGGAAAAATCTGGCATCACAAAGACTTCCTGACAAACCTGAGAAATCTGCTCTGCTAAGAGTGCTTTCATTCGTATGTTAAGGGTTCAAGCAGGAAACCCTAAGGCTCTGTTCCTGACAGACTCTGACTCATACTGAGCGCTCAGATTTCTTTGAAATGTTATCTACTGTTTGATCCTTGCCACCCTGTATATTATAATCCAATAAAAGCCTTTGGAGGAAGGGGCTCAACGCCTTTTTCCCCTGAGAAACTGGCCACTGCTCAAGGCCTTTTTCCTCTGGGAAACTGGCTACCTCTCCTCCCCAAGCAGATCACATCATGTCTCAGTCATGTTTACTCTCATCTGTGGCACATGAGGGGGTGGGGGACTTGCTGGAAAAGTCACCCCCACACCTAGACATTAAATGCTCATAAGTATCTTTACTAGGTTGTGGGCCAAGGAAAGCAACTAATCAAAATAAGTGAAGTCTGCTCCTGTTTAAAAACATGGGTAAAAAAATTATTCAAAAAAGAGGTTCAAATTAATGACTTGAGTAGATTCTGTACATTATAAATATCAGGTAGAGTCTATATATATAGTACACATTAAGAAAAAAGCTAAAGTTAATTTAGGTTATAAGTAAGGCAATTCAAAATTTTCTGGGGAGACAGTTTTCTAAGGAGATTAAAAAATGTGGAAGAGCAAAGAACTGGGAAGTAGAAGGATGAATTCTAGATATGATATGCAGCTCAGTATTCAGTATACAGGCTGAAGAAGTCGTAGGAGGTGAGACTGAAGAAGTGGTAGGCGGTGAGACTGAAGGGATAAACTTACGGACAAATTCCTACAAGCAAAGGCATGTGTACTTGACTTTGTAGATGACAGGAAATCAGTGAAAGGCTATAAATAAATAGAGGGCGAGACATCAGACTTACTTCTCTACTCACGGCTCGGTATTTGTCAAAGTTTGGAGGCACTATAGTAAGTTGTGGGCAGAGTTTTTTAGCAATAAATCCTGGCATGGCTGCACGGACTCCAAACCTCCTTGCACGGTAATTTGAGGTACTCTGAAAGAAAATGAACCACATGGGAAAAAATATAGAAACCTAAATGAACATATTGATCAATACATTAAAAAGAAACACATTAGTGCCGTGCATTTTCAATTCAAGGACATTTCTTTTATAGGTCATTGTTTCAAATCAAGCTTATTTTTATCCTATCACGGTTTGTATTATGATAGCATTACTCTCTCGCTGTTGTCCTGTATTTATAATGTGACACCAGATAATAAGCAAGACTGTGCTAATAAAAAGGTTCCCTTATATTTCCAGTAACTAAACTTCATTGATTTTAAGGAACACTCGTGTATACTATTATATATCAAAGTTTGGATGAGAGTGGGTGATGTTACATAAAAATAAGAGAATAGCCCTGGCCGAGTGGCTCAGTTGGTTGGAGCGTTGTCCTGTACACAAAAAGGTTGGAGTTTGATCCCCGGTCAGGGCACATACCTAGGTTGCAGGTTCGATCCCTGGTCAGGGTGTACACAGGAGGCAACTGATGATGTTTCTCTCTCACATTGATGTTCTCTCTCTCTCTCTGTCCCTTCCTCTCTCTCTAAAACCAATAAACATGACCTTGGGTGAGGATTGAAAAACTTTTTAAATATTTAAAACATAGTAAGAGTACAGTAATAATATAGTAAAATATAAAGTAACATAGTACAAACAACATAGATGGTACATGCAATTAATAGTATGAAAAGTAACAGTATGGTATAATAGTACGTATTTGAAATTTGGACTATTTGGGATTTTGGAAATTTTTCATCTAGAACAAAAATCAAAGGTCTAATATATGGTCAGTAAAATTAAATCTCCAAAATGAAGTAATAAAAGCTTTAAAAAACTTTAAAAGTTAAGTTTTATTTCTTTTTTTTTTCAGTTTGAAAAAAAATGACATAATTTATTAAGAGACAAAAAATCAGAGCCCTAGACATTATACAAGATTCAGAAGAAAAATAATGGAAATAAGAAATGAAGGGGAGAATGAGAGCTGAGCAATGTGGTATTTTAAACATTTGAGCTTTTGATTTTTTGTTTGTTTGTTTGTTTTTAGCAGCACAATTTACAATAGCCAAGTGCTGGAAGCAACCTACGTGCCCATCAGTAAATGAATGGATCCAAAAACTGTGGTACATTTACACAATGGAATTCCATGCAGCAGAAAGAAAGAAGGAGCTTCTACCCTTTGCAACAGCATGGATGGAACTGGAGAGCATTATGCTGAGTGAAATAAGCCAGGTGGTAAAAGACAAATACCATATGATCTCACCTTTAACAGGAACCTAAACAACAAAACAAACAAGCAAGCAAAATGTAACCAGACACTGAAATAAAGAATAGGCAGACAGTAACCAGAGGGGAGAGGGGAGGGAACTCCAGGGGAAAAGGGGAAGGGTTTACAGGAACAACTATAAAGGACACATGGACAAGAACTAAAAGGGGGTGGAAATGGGAGAGAGGTGGGGAGCACTGGGGGGGGGGTGGGCTGGGATGGGAGTAAAAGACAGAAAACTGTACTTGAACAACAATTAAAATAAAAATTTTTCAAAAAAAAGTTTTATTCCTCAAGACTTGAATATCTTATTTGGTGAAAACATTTTGACTAGGAGATAGAAGTAAAAAACTGAGAGTAAAGAGGAGAACATTACTTATTAAATCCTATAAATGACACCTGGCAACAGTCTCTGTCAATGTGGTAGACCATAGTTTTTATCACAAATGAAATCTTTGTTTGGAATATTAAGTGAAAAGTCAAAGAAATGCAAAACAGAATCTATTAAGTGAAGTAATTATTTCAGAACAATAACATTAAATAGTCATTAATGGTTTTTTAAATAGGATTAAAAAACCTTGATAGTACTCTAAACTATGTAATCCATGGTCAGTATTCTGGACAAAAAATGCAGAGGGCACTAGAATGGCAAACCAATACTTAAATATAAAGTGGTCTAATGGGATTGATATAAAAGCTAGATCTACAGTAGAGGAGAAACAAAATTTTAGATATGACTTCCTTTAACTTTAAGGTTTGTGGTAGATGGTAAATCATAGCCACAGTGTTTTACAGTTCCTCCTATCAAAAGGTGGGTTCTAGTTCCTCATGCCAAGTGACTTGCATTGTGACATGCTTTGACCAAAAGAATGTGAGGGAGTGACATTGTGTGAGTCATGAAGCCTAGGGGTTACAAAATTAGCAGCCTCAGCCTTTGTATTTTTGGAATCCTGCAACCATGTAAAGATCTTAGGTTAGATTAATGAATAATAACTCACTATGAGAGGGGGAAGCTGAATGACTGGAAGCCATTCCTGCCACCTCAGTCAGCCAAAGCACCAAGCATGTTAGTGAAGCCATTTTGGACCCTCCAGACTCAGCTAAATAGCTCTAGCCAACTCCAGGTAGAGCAGAGATTAGCCATCCCCATTCACATTGTACTCTGCCCAAATTATAGAATAATGAGCAAATCAATGGTTGTCCACTAAGTACTGAGGTGTTCATTATGCAGCAATAAATAAGCACTACAGGGTCTAAGTTCTAACTATGAGTGCTAACTTAAACATTGCAAGCATCCATCAAATTCATTCAAAAAGAATTCTAACTGTAACAGACTGTATTAATTGAGTATGTGTCACTATAACCACCAAGATACATTTTTATTAGTTTAATAGGACAAAAACAATTAAGCTTCAAATCTCATTAGAAGGAAAATCTATTAGGTCAGCATACATACAAGGGGAGTAATGTTGTTTAAATATAACAGATAATCACTTTGCATTTGGAAACAATAACCAGTTATTAGGAGGATAAAAATTATAGGAAAGAAATATTTTGTGAATTTAACAATGGGGTTAGCTTTAACAAGACTATGCCACGTGGGTGTAAATATATGTACATATATGTGTACTTATATATACATATACACAGAGTATGCATCTATATACTATATATTTGCATATGTAGCATATACACATAGTTTAATATGTAATGTTATATATAAATATATACTCATTATATATAGCATTATGTATTAAAAAATTTTTTTTAAATTTGTTGATTCTAGAGAGAGGGAGAAAGAGGGGGGAGAGAGAAACATCAATCCATTGTTCCACTTATTTATACAGTCATTGGTTGGTTCTCGTAAGTGCCCTGACAGGAGATTGAACCTGTAACCTTGGTGTCCGGGGATGATACTCTAACTGACTGAGCTACCCAGCCAGGACCTAGTATTATAAATTCCTAATGAAATTAAATGTATTTATGCAAATATAGTGATGATTTATAGGAAAGGGGAGTATCCTTTCAATAAACACTGTTTTGGGAACAGGACTATTAGTTGCCTACATACTCATTGGAGCAGAGATAATGAACAGATTATAGTTTTGTAATAAAATAATAACTTAGTAGGAATTAGGTTTATAGCTAAGACAGTGAAAGGCATTAGGGGACAGGGAAGGACTCTCCTTGTTTCTCTTGCATATTTTTTTAATACCAAAACCCATCTATTCCAGTTGCTACTTTTAATTCCCAACACATTTTTAGCTACATATGGCTATCTTCGTCATCTTTACCTTCGATGGTTAGGCTGGAAATAGGGAAGAGCAACACAGTAATCAGAAGAGCAAAGGTTCCAAGCAAAGGGAAAAACGACTTACTTACAGTACTAAATCAATGATATATGTCACTCTAGAACTGGCTGGCAAACCTTTCCTGCAAAGGTCCAGATACTCATTACTTAGGCTTTATATCCATACAGTCTCTATTGCAAGTATTCAGCTAAGCTCTTGTAGTGAAACAGCAATAATAAATTAATAATGGGTGTGACTGTTTCAATAAAATTTCATTTACAAAAAAGGTGGCAGGTTGGATTTGGCACACAGGCCACTGTTTGCAAACCTCAGTGTTAGAATATCATTTTTCCTTTTTCTTCAATTTTCTTTAACTAGAATGGTTATAAAGTGAGCCCTAAAAAACCTGGAATTTATTTATAAAAAACTGTTTGTTTATTCTTATATTTTTAAACTTCAATTACCTTCACAGTACTGTCCATTTGATAAAATATACCTACTGAAACATTTTTTTCCACTGCTCAAAACAGTTTCTGAACTGTCAATTCAAATGCCTTTTAGTGCAGTTTTTTGTTTCACCTCTTCTACATCAGCAAAACATTTCCCTTTGAGGACATTTTTCATTAGGGGAAACCAAAAAAGAGGGGAATTAAAAAAAAGATGCTCAGGGTGATAGCAGGTGAATAGGGAGGGTAGGGCCTGGGGGTCATGCTGCTATTGGTCAAAAACTGCTGAGCACTCAGCTCCATGTGGGCAGGTGTGCTCATGAATCCCCCATCATGAAAAAGGCAAGCACACTGAAAGTCTTCGAAAAAAATTCACTGAAGCCAAACATGACCTCTCACAACAACACAAGCTGGCACACTGACACAGATGGGTTCCTAATGGGAGAAGCCTGTACTACAAGGGCCTGCCCTCCAGAAGATAATTCTGGTTTTTGGGGGTCCTCCCTCATACTTAAAAAATATAATTTGCACCAGAAAGATACAATGCCTCTCTACCATTTACCAGGTTTGTAACTTTAGGGAAGTTATTAAACACCTCTCTGAGTTTGTTTTCTTATCTGTCAAGTGAAAACGAAAATCTGTACCTTAAGGGATATTGAAAGGATCCAGCAATTGAACACATAGAGCAACCAGAAAAATACTCAGTACGTTGGGAGAAATCAGTAAAGTCTTTCCCCTTCCTAAACCGGTAAGGCTTACTTGAACATATTATGAAATTTCCTTTTTGTCTTTATCTACTTACCAACATACTAGATGATCCTACAGCAATGGGTTTATCTTTCAGCTCTGGATTGTCCCTCATTTCCACCGCTGCATAGAAAGCATCCATGTCAATGTGCACTATGGTATTGTTGAGGTCCCGGCTCTGTTCTAATTCCATTGCACATCTGTCAACCTTAATTTTTAAAAAGTTAATGAACTTTTGACAACATGATATTGTAACACTACTAATCATAACATTAATCTTTTACTAAGCATCTGTTTATCTGTCTCTGTCCATCTACCCATTCATCATTCATCTACCTGCCCACCCATCCATCGACCCACGTATGTGTATTTGCTTGTTGTATTAAGGCTGATAATTGCTTTAATACTCGCAAAAGGGCACCGTGTTCTCAAATATCATTCCTTACCAACTTTTACATTTCTTAATACCCTCAAATATAACAGGCACTTAACATTTATTCAATGAATGAACTATTCCAGCTGCTTATATCAAATGATTCTACTGCTTTATAAATTTGGAGGACATACTGTAACTAAAAGTTTCAGTTCAGGTAATATAAACAACTGCTTCCATCTGACTCACAATATTCATGTCTTAAAATAGCAACAAAGGAAATGAATAACAAAAGATTATACCAAAATATATGTAAACATTCCCTCCCCAGAACTGCTTTTATAAGGCTAAAATTTGATAACTGTTAGTCCATACAAATCAAATTGAAAATTTAAAGTATAATTTATGCTTTCATAAAATTTTAATATATGTGTCAAATATAACAGTAAAGAGTATTAAATTATAAATAATTTTTTTGTTTCTTTAGAGAGAAAGAACTGGATTGATAAGAAGAAAGAAATTAAAAGGGGAAGAGATAGCAAAGTGGGACAGTAAGAAAAGGGTGTATGTAGCCAACATACCCATTCCCAAGGTTCTTTTTTTGTAGCCTCTACTCTAGAGGCTGAAGAAGCTAAATATGCACTTTCTCAGGTTCCCTCTAGCTGGGGGTGCTTGTGTGACCTTTCTTGATCTACAAAACACATGAAGTCAATAAAACTCACAGAATTATGAGAAGAGAGATTAGAAAGCTATTGAGGGTGATGGAATACATAAAGAACACAGGAGAGTAGCTGGCACCTGGTACAAGTTCAATAAATGCAATCTATTACTAAAAGCAACAATGGCTAGCTGCATAACAAAACAATAAAAAATTTAGGGGAAAGCAACCAGAAATATGTAAGTAGGGTGACTGGAATAAAAGTAATTTCCATCATGTAGAAATCCCCACAGTAGGTTTCCTCAAAAGCAGAGAGTTACAGGGGTATAATTTAGCTTTTCCCCTTGATGAACTTGCAACTTGCTTCCAGCATTGCTTGTTAGTGTTATAGTGAGCATTACAGTGATACTAGCTGACCACCAGCTGCAGGTTAAGACTACAAAGTCTCTTTTAGACACAATCCCACTGAATCACGTTTGTCTCTAGTAGCCACAGTAAGACTGTAGAGGTTTGCTCTTAACTTAGGTTGCAACTCACTGAACAACCTGGGGTGCTCCCTGCCTTCTTTAGCCTGTTTCTCTGTCTAAAATGCCCTTCCTAGTTTTGTCGCAAAGCCTTCAAGTATCAGTTCAGAAGTGTCTCTGAGACTTAACTGAATGTCCTCTGCACCACAGAATTTCATGTTCCCTTATTTGTTTTTCTGTTCTTACAATGGCACGTATTGTGTTAAGAGACTAAATCGTGAGTTTAGTACCTAAGAAGAGACCTTATCTCAGATAGGAGGAGAAAGAATTTATATGCCTTTAAATTCTTTCCTCATAAGAGAGAAGGGGGAGGAAAGGAATAGAATTTATATAATTCATATATATATGAAAGTTAAAAAAAGAAGGTAGTATTCATAGAAAAATTTTGGAGAAGTCTGATCTCATGCAGCAAGATACCACACCTAATAAATGAAACCTTTCAACATTAATCTAATTTATCATATAGATTTAAAACAACTATTCTTCCAGTTCAAGTTTAAACTACATACAGAATAGCAACCTGACATAAAAAAAGATGTAAGCAAATCATGGAAACTAATTAAAAAAGGGTTTGAAAACTACTCTATATCAATCCAGGAAATATGCCTAAGATAAAGTCAATTGAGAATAAGAGCAACATCTGAAATATCTTAACCCAGAATCATTGGAAAGGGAAAAGATAATAAATAGATAGCAACCTAAATGGGGGAAATTCTCCTTAGACTCATAAATTAAAACTCTGGCAGTTTCTTCAGCAGTCGACATGCTGTTCGGTGCCTGCAGCAAGTTGCCAAAAGGGAACCTCCCCGCTGATGACTCACATGTTCCATTTTCCTTCACTATCTCCCATTAGTCACCCTTCTCTGAACTCTTTTCTTTCCACATCTAGCAAATGCCCATCCTTGATTTTTTTAAGTTCTTTCTGCTGAAATCCTCATTCATGTTTTCCTTTCTTTCATTTATTTATTCCTTCCGAATGACTCCCATTGTCACTTTCCTTACTTGTGAAGTGGGACTAAAGCAACACCAAAAGGTTGAAATAATTAAAAGAGACACACACATAGTGAACTTCTCTAGGGCTATGTTAAGGGCTTAATGATAATCTCTATTATTTTGAAAGTAGAAGTGACATTTACTTATTATATTATGAGACACGTGTATATTATAAGTGCTTCTTATGTTAATGCATTTCATGGCCAAAATCATTTTAAGAAAGTGGTTATTATTCCTATTTCATAGATAAGGAAATTAAAACTCAGTAAAATTAAGTAAATTTGCCCTAAGTCATAGAGCTGGTAAATGTTAAAACTAGACATGGAAATCAGGTTATTCCTACATCTGTGCTCTTTCCATTAATTAATGCTTCCCTAAAATAGATTTTTAAAAGTTATTATCACTAAAATAAGCTGAAACCAAACTCTGATGTGATATTTTTATATCCATATTACATCTTTTTAAAAATCCTTTTTTTCTATTACATCTAGGAGACTATTTCACAAAATACTGTTTTTCATTTTCTTAATTATTAGTACCCTAGAAAGTGTTGAGTAAATCTGAGTTCATAAAATCAATTGTTTAAATGGTCAAAATGCACTGATTTGCTGTGCAGTTGCCATTTACTATAATATGGATATTTGTCTATTCAGTTATGAACACAGGCTATAATATGATGTTTTGGAAGCTATAAAAATGTGCCTAGAAGAAATCTAATGAGGATGGGGTTGGGGATATTTAGAGAGGTTCTGAATACATATCATGGGAGTTCACAACTACAGAGATTACTTACATCAGCTTGACTGGCCATAGTTCATACTATCTTATCACACATAATAAAATCTACTATTTGGAAATTTTGTAACTCTAAAATAGAAAAGCATTTCCTATGAAAACTTCTCTATTCTCTCAGAACTTCTAGACTCCTTAGGATTTCCTCAATCACCTCCTACTTATACAAGTTTTTAAAAGGAAGCTCTCAAAAAACAAAACAATTTAACAATCAACACAAAACACATTTCCTGCCATTCCCCTTGCAAAAGATGCCAGAAAGCCTCCCATGAAATAGTCAACTAAAACAGTAACAAAATCTGAACTTCTATTCCACAATGTAAAGTTCTTTTCTTTTCCTCCATATTATCAGGATATTTAAAAATATGGGTTCTAAAATATGAGTATGCACAACAAAAAGCTGTATATTGCACCATTCACATGTATATCTTTAAAACTTAATTAAAGATATTTGTACACTATAGATCAATAAAGCTTACCAAAAAGAGGTCTAGAAAGTAAATTGCTTAAGGATTAATGTCAATTTAAAAACAATATTGTTATGGACAGAATAGAATTTTTTTAAAAGCTTGATGAAATGATGCTTACATTTAGTTAAAACAGTGCATGAGAAAAATAATTTTTAAAGAGTAGTCAAGATATTAAACTATATTATTATCATTTAATAATTAAAATTCATGGTACTGATACAGGAAAAGATTCAACTGATTAGGAAAGAGAGTCCAGACATAAATCCACCTACAATGAGAGTTGAGTATATGAACATGCCTCTTTGACTCAGTGGAGAAAGGACTCATAATTCAATAAATGATGTCAGGACAAGAGAATCATTATTTAGAAATAATAATACCAGTCAGGGAAAATATAATACTCACTATTTAAGAAAAAAATACTTCACACCTTACAGCAAAACAAATTCCAAAGAGACTAAACATTTGATTATAACAAAATCTGTAAAAATATTAAAAGCACATACAGACTTGTTTGTGAGGAGTAACCGCTATGCACAAAACCAAAACCAAGAAAAAAATGTAAAAATACTGTTAGATGTTTAATAAACATTTAACACTATATAGGAAAAAAAAACTCTGCAAAGTTAAGAGAGAACAAACAGGAAAAATATTTACAACAAATGGCAGAAAAAAAGTCCTTAATATATAAGATCAATAAATCAAGAAAAAGAGATGCAAATTCCTCTAGAAATGCAGACAAGAGCGTGTTTCTTTGGACTGCTAGATGAACCCCCAAATCCATTCTTCCTTCCTTCTATAGTAATAAAGTTTTAGCTGGGCACATGGCCACCCAGCTATATCTTACAGCTTCTCTTGCATTTAGTGTGTTGTAAAATTTAAATTCTTACCAAAAGAATGTGAGCTGAGGTAATGTGTGCAACTCCTTTTTCACTGTGTAAGAGCAAATAATTTGCTTTTGATTTTTCCCTTTTTCTTTCTTCCTTACTAGGAGCTGGAATATAGATTGCGGCTAACCCAGTTTTGTCAATGCCAGTGAGGATAACACTTTGGAATGATGAACAGTATGATGCAGAACTTGGGTCTTGAAATTACTGTGGTGATCAGAACTGCCCAGCCAGCTGGGACTACTTATGTATTATGTGAGAGACAAAGAAATTCTTATCTTATTTGGACCATTATATCTCTGGGTCTTGTGCCAGTTACTTAGCCTACATCCTAACAAACAGAATAAAAGAGGAAATTCCCACAAAAAGAAATATTAATGGCTAACAAATGTGTAAAAAGACAATTACCTTTTGTGACAGCATGCATGGACCGGGAGATTATTATTTTGACTGAAATAAACCAGTCAAAGAAAGACAAATATCATATGATCTCACTTATTTGTGGAATCTAAAGAACATAAACTGATGTACAAAACAGAAACAGAGGCATGGATACAGAGAACAGACTGACAGCTGTCAGAGGGGAGGGAGTTGGTTGGAGGGCTAGATGAAAGAAGGTGAAAAGATTAAGCAAAATATACATATATATACACATATATACACACACACACACACACACATACATATATATCTCAGAGACACTGACAACAGTGTAGTGATTTCCAGAGGGAAAGGGGGGTCGGGTAGGTGGAGGTGGGCAAAAGGGGGATAAATGAAAATGAGGACAACTGAAAGAGTCTTTGCTTTGGGCAATGGGTGCACAATTCAGTGTGCAGATGATTTTTGTTGAGTTGTACACTTGAAACCTGTATGGTTTTGTGAACCAATGTCATCCCAATAAATTCAACTACAAAAAAGATTAATCTTTCTCTTTCATGATCAAAGGAGAGCAAATTAAACCAACCACGAAATAAGATTTTGGACACTGTATCAGCAGAAACTAAAATAATGATGAAGTTGATCAAATCCAGCTTTAAACATGTGAGGAAACCAGCACTCTTATGCTGAAATTGTAAAAGGATTCAATCTGTGGTGAAACTAACAGGACAGGAGCGCAAAGACATACACATAAGAATCACTGTTACAAGGTTGTATCTAAAACAAAAAACCAGAACTGGGTGGGTTAAGGTGAACTAATCACGGTGCCTCCGTAGAGTGGCATGCTAGGGAGCACTAAAAATGACAATTTGACAGACAAGTCAATCTCTTGTCATGGTAGCAGACCACTTAACACAGAAGATAAAAAATTAGCTTGAGCCCTGGCTGGTGTAGCTCAGTGGATTGAGCGTGGGCCTGTGAACCAGAGGATTGCGGTTCAATTCCAAGTCAGGGCATATGCCTGGGTTGCCGGCCAGTTCCCAGCGGGGTACCTACGAGAGGCAACCATACATTGATATTCTCTCCCTCTTTCCTTCCCCTCTAAAGATAAATAAATAAAATCTTAAAAAAAAAAATTAGCTTGAGCTCTGAGAAAGTATATGTTTAAAAAAATCACACATTATAGTTTGGTAAAAAAACATAAAATTTATGATCTCAGCTCTATCACAAGAAGAATTTTATAGCATATCAGATTAATATTATAATTTTATCATTATGTTATAAAGTGCATTGTTAAACTGAATCTGATTTGATAAACTTACCATAAAACATTGTGTTTTCTCTTAAAAATTCATGCACATTAGGCATTCTACCCTTTAGGTGACATTGTTTTACTAGAACACAATTATGTTTTAAGTTACCTTTTAATTGAATTAGTTAACTTGTTTCTCCAAATCTCTTTGACAAAATCAGCATTGCAGAAAACACGTCACATTAATCCTGTGACCCTTCAGCTGCTTTGTATGTATATAATAAGAAGAACGAAAGCTCTAGCTTTGCCAAATAACCTGTCATATGAAGATAGACAAGTTACTTTAACCTAATTAAGGCTCCTTTCTCTCTCCTGTATAATGAAGGTGATAATGTCTGGATGAGGTCTTTATGTAAAGCAGAGCAATTTCAACAAAATAAAGTATACATTTTTTATAGTATAACAAACATTTCATTTACATTTTATCTTGTTTTTACTTATAACATAACCATGATGCATTTAAAAACCATCAATTACTCTTCTTCCAGCTTCCACTTTATTTACCAAATACATTAATACCTGTAATTGTGCTTTCCTTAGCTGCTGGCTGGTAATTTGAGCTTTCTGTTGTATCATATTTTCAATTCGTTGGTTAACTTGCTTTTCTTTCTTGAGTTCGTTTTCATAAAATCTGGAGCCCTATGTAGGAAAACAAAACAAGACATAAGAAAACGTCTGAAGGGAAGCATCGTTGTAGAACCCGGAGGCTAAAGAGTAGAGACTGCAGAGTCTGAATGACTGACTTCAACACTTCACTTCACTACTTCTAGTTGAGCAACCCTAAAATTAATCTTCCTATTCCTCAGTTTCCTCATCTGTAAAATACATTGGTAGTTGCCTACATGACAGAATCCTTGTCAGTCAGTACTAAGCACAGTATAAACTAGATGAGTGCAGATCTGCACTGGAGAAATAACAATGTGTTGCAGGCGGGATCCTCAGGGCACATCGGGCCTTAATCAAATGGCTCATCGATTATCTCCTTCACTTTTACTTTAAAAGTTATTTTTAAAAATTTCATGTTAGTCATTAAAGAAAATAACTTTTAGAAAATTATCATCCCATCACTGAACATATTTATCTATCCAATCATCAGGCGAGTAGACATTTGGATTATTTTTACTTTTTGGTTATTAGGAAAATTGCTGCAATGAGTATCTGCTTACACAGTTTTGTGTAGACATGTTTTTAGTTCCCTTGGTTATGGACCTAGGAGCGAAATCTCCGTGTCCTATGGCAATTCCACGCCAAACCTTTTGAAGAACTGCCAGATTGTTTCCCAAAGTGGCTGAATCATTTTACAACCCCACCAGCAATGTGTGAGAGTTCCAATTTCTCCACTTCCTTGCCAACATTTGTTATTGTCTGTCCTACTTATTATAGTCATTCCAGACGATAATAGTGTGAATAGTAATCTCATTGTGATTTTAATTTGCATTTCCCCAATGACTAATGATGTTGAACATCTTTTCATGTGCTTATGAGCCATTTTCATAGCTTCTTTAGTGACATGTCTGCACTTTTACCCGTTTTTCAAATTGGGTTATTTGTCTTATTAATGAGTTGTGAGAATGCTTTAATATATTTTGGATGTAAGTCCTTTAACAGATGGGTGTTAAAATATTTTACACTAGTATGTTACTTATCTTTTTATTTTTTAATGGTGTTTTGTGAAGTGCAAAGTTTTTGATATTTGATAAGGTCCAATTTGTCAACTTTTTCTTTTATTGACTATGCTTTTAGTATTGTATCTAAGAAATGTTTGCCTAACCAAAGATCTCAAAGATTTTCTCCTTTCTTCTAAGAGGTTTACTGCTTTAGTTCTGATATTTAAGTCTATTTTGAGTTAGTTTTTTTGAGTATAGTGTGAGGTGAGGGTCTGAATTCATCTTTTTTTCATGTGGATATCCAATTGTCCCAGCATCATTTGCTTAACAGACTATCCTTTTGCCTTGGTACTTCGGTCAAAAATCAGTAAGTGATAAAGATCTATTTCTGGACCCAGTTCTGCCCCATTGTTCTCTGTCTGGCCTTATGGTAGTACCACACTATCTTGATAACTGTAGCTTTATAATAAATTTTGAAATAGGAAAGTCAAACAACTCTTATATTTTTTCCTTTTCAAAACCATTTTGGCTATTTTAGGTGTTTTGCATTGCCATATAAATTTTAGGATCTGCTTGTCAATTTCTTCAGGAAAAAAAAAGCCCTTGAAATTTTGATGGGGAATATTGTTGAATGTATAGATCAGTTTGGGGAGAACTGCCTTAACAATATTAGTCTCCTTGTATCTCACCATTTTTTAAAATATTTAATTTCCCTCAGCACTTTTTTCTTTACTTTTCAGGGTATGTGTTGAAATTTCTTAGAGTTTTCTATATATAAGATCATGTCATCTGCAAAGAGACAGCTTTAGTTCTTCCATTCCAATCTAGATGCGTTTCTTTTCATTGCCTGACCATACTGGCTAGAACTTGCAAGACTGTTGAGTAGAACAGGTAAGAATGAGCATCCTTGCCTTGTTTCTGGTTTCAGGGGGAAAGTTAGTCGTCCACTTCAAAGTACAATGACAACTACAGTTTTTTATAGATGGCCTTCGTGATGCTGTAGAAGTTCCTTTCTATTTGAAGCATTTTTAGCATGAATGAGTATAGGATTTTGTCAAATACACTTTTTCTGCATCTATTGAGATGACAAGGTATTTTTTATCCTTTAGTCTACTAATGTGGTGTATTGTATTAATTGATTTTTGGATGCTAAACCAAACTTGCATTCCTAGGATAAATCCCACATGGTCAAGGTAATCTTATTTTATATATTGTTGGATTCAGTTTGCAACAATTTTGTTGAGGACTTTTCACATTTATAATAACCTAGAATCTTCTGCTTCTCTGGTTTTGGTATCAAAGAAATACTGGTCTCACAGAATGAGTTGGTAAGTGTTGCCTCCTTCTTTACCTTCTGGAAGAGCTTGTGGAGCATTGGTATTATTTCTTCAAATGTCAGGTAAAATTCACCAGGGAAGCCATCTTGACCTGATCTTTTTTGTTTTTCTTTTTTTGGGGCAGAGGGTGGGGTGGGGTGAGAAGATTTTTAATTACTAAATAACTTTATTTAGTATTAGATTTCTATATCTTCTTGAATCAGTTAAAAAAATTTTAAGCTTCTATAAATTTGTCCAATTTATTGGGATTTATTTTAAATACATCCAAAATTCAGTAGGGGTGAGGTAAGTGGGATAGAGAAAACATTTGTGAAAATGTTGGTGCTGGGTGATACTTATCCAGTGATTCAGTTTACTATTCTTTTTAATTTAGTGTATGTTTAAAATTTTCAGATAAAAATTTGTAAAAAGTAAAGTGCACTGCTATGGAGGCAACAATTAGAAAATTCAATTAAAAAAGATATTTATGTTAAACTCCCACACACATATACTAGAGAAATATATGCTACTATATTTTATACTATTATAATATATATCACATGATATATATCATTATATGATATATGTATATATATTTTTTTCTATGATGAACATATATATATAAAATTTACATGGAAGAGCAAAGATTCAAGAATACCCAAGACACTCTTAAAAATAAAAAAAAAAAAACAAAGAGCAACAGAACAACTTGTTCTAGCAAATATCAAGTCTTATTATATAAAGTATTTTCATTAAAATCATGTTGTATAAGTACAAGAACAGAAAAATAATCCAGCGGGTCAGCTGGATTTCTTTAGGAGAAAGCACTTTAGATCAGAAGGAAAAGGGTAAGCTGAGAAGCAAGTTGTCCGCACTGACTGTGTGCAGTGAGTGTATGTGCAAGGGTATATAGTGTCTGTGTTTGTACCCATGAGCTAAGGAGCAGCAGCAAGCGAAGCAACAACAGTGTAACTACCACAGATTAACTTGTTTGTATAACTGAGCAGCTCAGGGATGAGCTGGTAGGATGGTGGGATGAAGACACAGCACTGTATTCCCTTTCATACTTTTTAAGTTTCAGAGCATGTAAATGGAATAGCTATTTTAAAAAATACATGATATCAAAACTTAAAAAAAAAGAAGCTAAAGGATAGATTATTTAATATGTGCTACTGGGACATAGAGAAGAGAGAGAGAAGATCTGACAGAGACATGTAGGATATTTGCAATATTCTAACTCTTAATCTGAAAACCAAGCTTATAGGTTTTATTCTTTTCTTCTTCTTTTATTTTTTTTTATCTTTTTAAAGATTTTATTTATTTATCTTTAGAGGGGAAGGGAAGGAGAGAGGGAGAGAAACATCAATGTATGGTTGCCTTTTTTTTGTGCATCCCCTGCTGGGAACTGGCCTGCAGGGAACCAGCCTGCAACCCTGGTATGTGCCCTGACTGGGAATCGAACCGCGACTGTCTGGTTCGCAGGCCGGTGCTCAATCCACTGAGCTACACCAGCCAGGGCTTTTTCTTCTTTTAAAAAAAAATTGCATGATGATCCCTGGCTGGTATGGCTCAGTGGATTGAGCACCAGTCTATGAACCAAAGGGTCGCTGGTTTGATTCCCAGTCAGAACACATGCCTGGATTGCGGGCCAGGTTCCCAGTTGTGGGTGTGTGAGAGGCAACCACACACTGATGCTTCTCTCCCTCTCTTTTTCCCTCCCCCTCCTCTCTCTCTCTAAAAATAAATAAATAAAGTCTTTTAAAAAATTTCATGGTGAAAACTTCGAAGAAGCCTCAAACAGAAAAATAGATTAGTACAATAAACACACATATAAAATTATCACTGAGATTTAACAATTAACATTTTGCCATGCAGCCTTCATTGATTTTTTTAAAGTGAACTGTTTTAAAGTAAATTACAGATATAATAACATTTAGCTATTCTATACAGTATTTTAGTATGTATTTTTAAAAATAAGGGCATTTCCCCATATAATCATAACATTTTTATAACTAGGAAAATGAACAATGATTCATGAATGTATTGTAGTACCTTCTCCTTATTCAAATGCTCCTAACTGTTTCAAATGTATTTGTTTAAGCCAGGATCCAACTGGGGTCAATATGTTATATTTACTTATTTCATCTCATAATTCTTTTACTTTTAAAATTGTGTCTGCATTTTATATTCTTAAATTATTCCTCCCTCAACTTTTTATTCGGGAACTTCTAAATCTTTAAAAGTTGAAAAAATGGCACAATGAACAGTTACATATCCTCTTTTAGATACAGCAAGAGTTAATATCCTGCGGCATTTGATCGCTTCCCGAAGTCCTAAGTGTGTGTGTGCACACATGCACACACATAGACCTTCTTCCCACTTTTGACTAAACCGCTTGAAGGAAGCTGCTGTGAATATCAGCATGCATTTACTGGGAAAGAGGATATTCTCTTACATATTTATACCTTTCTGCATGTATGTTCCATAATACATGAATGACACCGAAAAAGTGGGAGAACTATTGAAGAATTCTTTCACGATCTTCAAGAAAACCATATGTACTTGACAAATTCAAGTACATAAAAAGAAGCAAACAAAATACTTCTGCCCAGGAGAAACTACCATAAGTAAAATTAAAAAGTAAATGATGATAAAAATAAACACTAATCCAATGAAAAACTATGCCAAGACTAAAAAGAGGCAGTTCATAAAAAAAGAAATACAAATAGCTTTGAAAAGATGCACGATCTCACTTTTCAAAAGAGAAATACAAATTGATTGATTTGACAAATACAAGTTTTGTTACCATTGATTGGCAAATCCAAAAGTTTCACAACACACAGTGTTGGCATGTTTGTGCCATGATAACACATACTTTCTCCTATATTGGCAGTGGAAATGTAAACTGAGACAACCACAACACAGGACAGCTGGGCAATTCATAAAAATTGCACAGGCATATATACGTTAGTGCTCTCTGCATTCGGTGGAATGAGTTCACTTCTGGGACTCTCGCCTATAGCTTTACTCATACATATGTAAAGTTATAAAATACAAGATTAACCATTGTAGTACTGTTTGTAAAAACAAAAGACTAGAAATGATGTATGTCCATCAATCAAGATTCTGACTGGCTCAATAAATTATATCCACACATGTAGCATAAAAAAAGAATAAAGATCTTTAATTCTTCAAAATGATCTTTGGAAAGACCTTCAAGTTATATTAACTCAAACAAAAATTAAAAAAACTCAACGATTACAGTATTCTACTGGGATTTTTAAAAGAATAAAAAAATGCATGTTATTTTGCTTTTATATACATATTATATACACATGAAGACTGGATGGCAAGAGCAATAGACTAGAAAGGAAATTATTCCATACCTTTTTGTAGTTTTACAGTGTTTTAAAATATTAAAAATCACAATAAAAAGGATGTTTAAAACTGATTTTCAATAAGTTACTAAATTAAAGATATTGAAAGAAACAAGAGACTTACCTTTGTGGCTTCCATTATAATTTTGTTTATTTTCTCTTTATCCAATCCTTCCATCCCAGCTTTATTATCATTAAGTCCCATCCTAAGCAGAAGGTCATCTTTGCAACTGTCATTCTTTTCTTTTGTGCTGTCCATTGTGTAGACAAAACATTAAATGGCTTTTTTTATTACCTGCAAAAGCATACAAAACAAAAACTGCTTTTCAAAGCATTGGGGATGGGAGGGAGGTGGACACTTACAAGTTAAAATAATATAGAAATCAGCAAAACAAATAAAAAAGGATTGTTAGAAACAAGGAATTAACATTTCCTGCAAGCTTTGTACCAGTCGCTATGCTTGGTGCTTTACACTTGAACCTCACGCAGCAACCCTGAAAAGTAAATATCATCCCCAATGTCCAGAGAAAAGAAACCTAAGACTCAGAACATGTCTACCGACACAAATTTGCTAGTAGGTGACAACTTCTGTGTTGAAACCCAGGATGAGTTTCTCCGTATGTTTTCTCTATGTTAATGTACCGGACAAGAAAGAAATCTAAAACAATGCTTCCTCTGCTAAATATGTTTGGTTAATAGCATTTATTACCTACTTAATGCAGAGCTCCATTCTTATGGCAGTGAAAAAATATGGAAAAAATAATAACCTATTCATTTTCAAGAAATTATTACATTTTACAATGTTATATCACTTTAAGGTTGAGAAAAATCCTTTCAAATAATAATTCTTTAATATCTTTATATAGTTCTTTAGAATTTACCTTCATATATATTAGCTTTAAAAATTATTTATAATAACCATTCAAAATACATTTGCATGTTAGGAAGAAAGAAACTGGAATTACAGGAAGTTTAAATGAATTGCCCATTATAATTCTGCTAATGAACAAAAGAATTGTGATTTGAATCCAAGTCTTCTTACTCAAAAGTATATTGAAGCTACCATAAAATCCCAGCTGCCTCTAATTTGAGGCTCACCTGTGTTATAAATAAATGACCAGGTAACAGCTGCCATGAATCCACAACAAATTACATCAGTGATTTCTTATTTGCATAATTTAGAGCTCATTTACTTTTATCTAGTTAACAGCCATCACCATACATAATTTTTTTCTTGTGATGAGAACTTTTAAGATCTATTCTTTTAGCAACTTTTAAATATGCGATACAGTATAATTAACTATAGTCACCATGCTGTACATCTTCATGACTTAATTTATTTTAAAACTCAAAGTGTTTACCTTTTGACCAACTTCACTCATTTCACTCCTGCTTCACTCTCAGCCACCAATCTGTTTTCTGTATCTATGAATTTAGTTTTTTTTAAAGATACCACAGGTAAGTGAAATCATATAGTAGTTTTCTTTCTTTGACTCATTTCACTTGGCATAATGCCTGTAAGAGGACATTTTCTCAATGTTGCTTCCATTTTTGGTACCAGCAAAGAATGAAAAAATTATAAAAGGGAATTTGAAATCTGTGATTATTAATGATAGTTCCATTAGAAAAAAAATAGTATATATCAAAGTAGTTCTCAAACTTTGGTGTACATTAGACCCACCTGGAGATATTCTAAAACTCTTGATACCCATCTCGTATCTCATACCACATAAATCAGAGGTCTAGGAGTATGAGCCAAATATCAGTATTTTTAAGAGATGCCCAGGTAATTCCGACATTTCCCAAAGTACAGAAACCACCAGTGACATAGTTTCTCAGTGCCCAAGGAAACAGAGGTTAGTTTTGTTTTTATCATTTGAATTTTTTCTCTTCAACTATCACCGTCAGCCTACTATTACCTGTTTTTTTTTATTAATATTAAATTTTATTTAGTTACTTTTGCCTATGCTTTAGTAACCCAAATACTTGTCATTTTCTAGTAAAACAGGTAAATGTAATTCATTCATAATTTCCCCAAAACAACACTATCGAAGAGTGAAGAAGCTAAATGCAGACATCTGCATTTAAGCTGCCTTGTCCTTTAAATGATGAAAGGAAAACAAACATTTAATGAATGATTACTACTTCACAACTTCGCATATGGTATCCTGTTAGGCCAAAAACTCTGAGAAGAATTGAATTTGGTTCTCAATTAGGTCAGAAGAACTGGGCCATCAGCAATCCTGGCAATAGGAAAAATTGTGATAGAGTTAGTTTTCAGCTATCATCCTGTCTCATTGATGCCCAGATACCAGCCAATTTATGTCCCGTTTCATGGGCATGGACTTACTCTCATGTATAGGCTCAGACCTCCAAGTCTGAAGATCCAGTCCAAATGCATGTCTGACATCTCAAGTTTAGTATGTCCAAAACTGATCTTTTCACGTGCCCCCATCCCCCAAACCAGATTCAATTGCAGCCTTCCTCATCTCAGTTAAAGGCAAGTCTAATCCCTTCCCATTGCTCATGCAGATAAGCTTGTAGTCATTCTTGACCCCACTCTTTCTAGTACATCCCACATCAAAACTGTCAGGAAATCCTGTGGGCTCTGCTTTCAAAATGTGCCCTGAATTTAACCACTTCTCGTTATTTTCACTCTAGTCTGAACTACCATTATTATCCCTTCCCTGGATTATTGCAATAGCCTCTAAAATAGTCTCTTGTTTCTGCCCATCTCCTCCTACTATCAATTAATATAGTAGCCCAAATGATTCTTTTAAATCACAAATTAGGCCACTTTACTCCTCTGCTAAAAACTATACGGTGGTACCTCATTTCACCCTAGAATACTCCAGTCTTTAATAATTTGGATCCCAGTTTCTTGTTTCCTGTCTACCCTCCTATTCACTTCCTATCATTTCTCAATCCAAGGTCACATAATCACATTAAAAGATTAGGAGAAAAAGTGCTTTTCTTAAGTTAATAATTTAAAAATATTGGTAGTTTTTCCTTATTTCAACATTAAATATGTAAGGAGTTCAAGTATATGAGCTTAACCTCCAATTTTATAACTCTTATTTTCCTAAGATATGTAATGGTTAAATTGTTTTTTTTAAGCTTTTAGGACTTGTATGAGAAAATAAGAATATTTTGGATTTACATAACAGAATGTTTGCTAGTCTCCATTAATATTCAAAAGATTCTAGTTTCTATTTATTCTTTGGGAAATTAAGTTGCTTTGTTAAATTTAATTTCTTTGATTAAATACTTCCCAATTATATATAAATCTAAAAAAATTATTCTTCTGTAATAAACAAGAGACTAAGTTTTAGTATACTTGAGTCCCTATCAGTTCCTCTTGGTATTTTCATTCATGTCACTGTGGTGAGCCTGTTTTCTGTTTCTATTATTTGGTATTTCTGTTATCTACAAATTTCTAAAATCTCTCATTAGTCCTAGTTACATCTTTTCTTCCCATTAGTTCTTACTGAGTTTCTTTATCTAGAAATATATAAATTGAAAGGGAGAGCTTCTAGCAGAGATGATCACATAATGCCACAAACTATAGTTTCCATATTTTTCTGGGATGTGAGATTTGATACTACAAATGGCATTGGAAAGGCAGCATATAAAGTCAGTGATTAGTATGGTGTTTGCTATAAGATAAACTCACTAAATAGTTGTTAGTAAGTTAAGCAAATTTTCAAAGCTGTGAAAAATCACTTGCCTTACTTCTCTTTAAGATAAAGAGACTACATAAGGTAACAGGGTACACTGTAAGTAAGCATCCTTGAAAAATGTCAAAGTTCACAGATCATACAAATGAATTTTGTTTTGCTTCCAAAAAAATATTTGTCCTATGATTACTATGCACTATCACATATAAAGTCCCAAAATCTATGAATGGATATAACTGTGACTTTATAAACAGAATTTTTTAACAAATAAAATTGTCAAACATTTTTACAGCTTGATATTACAGAATAACCTGTTTCACTTCAACTCAGAAGCACAAACAGTAATGCACAACTCAAAGGAAAAAACTCCAGGTTCTTGTGGTTAAGCATATTATTTAAAAGCACATTTTCTCTGGAAATATTCAAATTCTTCCCAGCCTGAATCTACCACTGACTATAGTTAGCACTTAAGAAATATAAGGCCAGCCAATATATTTGGTAATAATTAGAATGGAAAATTAGGGTTTTTCAAAAGAAATTCTAAGGAAGTTTTTATGTGCTAGGGTCCCACCTACCTATTAAAAAAGCACGCAAAAATTTGTGTAAACAATATCACAAGCACTAAGCATATCGACCAAAGTCACCTAGAATTAATGTCTCAGAAAAGATACAAAATATACTAATAAGAGAAAGAGAGGGAATGGAGCCTAAAAAGAAAGAAGAGGGTAAAGAGGAGAAGAAGGAAACACTAAACTTCGGGAAGTTCCTAGGTAGAGCTTGCTTCCTATTTCTAATAAACGATAAATAACCAAACCCAATAATGCCCCAGAAAAATCCCTCTATGTTTTAAGAACAAAATTATTTTTACACCCTCTGAATGTTCACACATTTAAGGTTTGTTTGAATAGATTAAGCACCCAGCACAAAACTTCAGACTGTGATTGTATTTTCTTTTTACTATCTAAATTTGAATACAATAAAGAGACTACCTTAATTTTAAAGTAGTAATTTTCAAATGTCTGGCTTAAAAACTTCTTTTTCCAGTTTCATTTCTTAAACATTTTTTAATTTTCAAGAAAATAAAATCACAAGCCCAAGACTTTAACAGAGTATGTTCAATGCTTCTCTCCAATTATTTCATGCAAACATATATGCATACATACTCTCGAACCACATACCCACCATTCTTACATGATAGGAACAAGTATATTTTTTAGCTTCAGCTTTTACTAACTTTACAAAATAAGATGTACAAAAATTTCAACATTACTTCAGAGTGGATTATTTGAAAGATTTTAAAAGTGTGCATGTATGACTGAGAGAAATAACTAAAATATTGTAACCCCGCAATCCAAACCAAGGACATGTAAGCTAAAAGGAAACTCAAGTTTTCACCGAGGACATAGAGACTACTGTGTAATAGACACCGATGCACATATTTTTTTTCAGGTGCCCTTTTCCTTCCTGTGTTTTCTATTCATTTAACTTATTACAAAAAAGAATGGGCAGAGGCGGTCAAAAAACCTACACTCTACCTAATCTTAGAGACATATAAAATGCACTCTTATAGAATAATAAATTGAAACTATTTGTTTCTTTAGTACAGAATGAAAAGTAT